CACGCTGGCAAGCATGAACAACTTAGCACAGGCACTAAGTGGCCAGGGAAAGTATAAAGAGGCGGAGAAGATGCATCAAGAGACGCTAGCACTAAGAGAGAAGATTTCGGGAAGGAGCACTCGCACACGCTGATGAGCATGCAAAACCTCGCTACAACATTGCATTACCAGGGGAAGGATACCGAGGCCATCTCATTAATGCAACAATGCTCCCAGCTGAGAATGCAGATCCTCGGGCCTCAGCATCCTCACACAAAGTCATCGCTTGAGTGGTTAGAGAAGTGGCAGCCGGAAGTCCGAAAATTCAAATCAAGGCAATCTCGCTTTAGATTTGCTATCATCATGGCTAGGCGTGGCTGGAAACTATTCAAGAGGACAGGAGGGCGATATACAGCTGCTCAACCTCCCAAAATGCAACCACCGACTCGCCCTAACATCCGTCGTCTACTCCCACCCCATCCTCATCCTCCTCTAGCTCAGTCCCGCCGCCGACGACAGCGGGCTTCGCCATCCGCAGCATCCGCTACCAAGCACCCAGCACCGTACTCGTCATCAAAGAATTCCACACGCTGCACTGCAGTCCGCCTGCGATCCCGACCCTAGTGGGCGTCCATGTGGGTAATCCACGAATTCCTTCTCGGCGTCAAGGTACTGGTGTACTGCGGCTCGCAATCCTCCCATTGGGAACACTTGTCTAAGTTGCTGCACGCGTGTCAGACCGTCGCGGTGTCTCCAGAGCGCTATTGCAACCTCCCTTTCGGACTTTGGGGGTCTTCGGGCGCTAAAGTGGTGCGCGCGAAGGAGGACTACAACGCCGCGCAGTCCTCCGAGAAGCTCATGGTCGTCTATGACCTCGACGTGCTGATCCTGCAATGGGCGGACTGGAAATACCAGGACCTGCGCGACAAAGTCTTTGGGCTGTCCTTCCACAACTTCTAGTGGAAAAGGGGGTCGTAGAGGCCGAGTACAGCAAGACAGCAGAGGAGATCTACTGCGATTCTGTTGGAACGGTCCGCCACACGAACCGGGGCTACGAGGAGACTGTAAGGTTTGAGCATGCACAGGAGAGTATGCTAGGGGGCAGCTGGGTAGAATTGAAGGAAGCCGTGCGGGCCTACGAGCAAGCGATGGCACACGCGCGGAAAGGAGTCGACCCGGATCCTAGAGGGATGGCTTTGGACCGCCGCCCGCCACACATGAGCTCGATGAACCCAGGAACTCCACAGCCGTCGCTCAATCCGACACTTCAGAACTACGACTCGACCTCCCGAGCACTAGGACGAGGAATGCGAATCGGAATCGAGGTCTGGCCGATGCTGTAATTCCAATCCGGCAATTGGATACAGCTTTCGCCGCGAAGCACCACTCCTGGCCTCCGCAACCCTGGGACAGCTCGGAGTTCAGCGCGTCTGATTTGCACTCCGCCATCCTGTCATTCCAAACCAGCTCCTACAAATCCAACCGCATTCAAACCCATTCACCCTTGCAGAGCTTTAACTTCAAAGCAACCCCCCCGAGGCCCGCAACCACGGGGAAAACGTGAGCGGTAGAGCCTGAGCTGCAACTCCCGCGCATTTGAGAGCAAAAGAAGAGCTGGGAATTCAGGCCGTGGTCTGAGCCATATCACTGGCGGCTACGCTTTCGACCTGGAAGACGCCTGGTGGAAACCCCTCACTTCCCTGGGCTTCGTCTTGCCAAGACCTACCTCCCTCCTCGCCTCACTCATTCCACACTCTTCACCTAACAACCCATGGATCCCCGTCTTCTTTGCCGTTATCTACGGGTAACGGAGCGGCGGTCACCACCTCCCTCCGCCGACTACTCCTAGTGCGCGGGAAGAGGTCGCGCGGTGGCGGGGGACGAGAGATCTGAGGGGGTTCGCATAGCGGTGGTAGGTGCAGTGAGGTAGATGCGGAAACAGCGGTTGGAGTTGGAGGCCTCGAAGAGCGAGGTATGAGTGGGAATTGGACGGTGCAAAGGGACGGTGAAGCCGAGGGGGGTTGTGGAGAGGGCGCTAGCACCCAGAGGCAAGGTGATGGAAGCACATCCCGCCGTCTACGAGCAACCGAGCGAGGGTGTGCTAGTTGCGGGAGTGGGAGACAAAAGGGGATGGGAGGAGGGTGGGAGTGGGTTGACTGTATTTGTAATGCCTGTAAAGACATAAACGAGGGTGAGAGAGATGGGTAATGTAGCATCATTGGCGAAGAGGCTGTATTTACTAGCTGCGGGATCTTCATGCGGACTGTCTGTTACCCGCAAATATGCGAGCGCTATGCGTGCCAAACTTCCCCCGCTGAAGTCGGAGCAAATGCCTAAACCCCGTAAGATGATATTTGGTGCCTACGATAAGTACGGCGGGATGCCCGATCAGTGAACGGCCACCCTTTGACCCGATAACAGCTGCCTGACACGAATCCTTCAGCATCCCAGAAATCCGTGTTGAGACAAGCGTCGAAGTGCTGCGAGGGGTGCTAGATACCTTGACACTCTGTAAACGGGTAATCCGTTAATCTAGCTATGGTTGCCTGGGGGAGTATGGGATCTATCAGCGGTTCAGCAAAGGATGAGAACAAACTCGAACGTTCTGGTATCGGCATTCTGAATTTATTTAGAATAAAGATAGCACGGGAGCTTGCGAATCGATGACCACGCTGGAATCAGAGTGATCGACCAGCCATGTTACAGATTGCTCCCGCTTGGAGAGTAATCTAGCGACCCCACTTGTGGCTGCCTTAGGGAATTTAGGTAAGATATTGTTAGCAGTGTTAGACGTTCGACCGGGATCGAATTCGCATGCTCTGCGATATTAGCAGTCTCCTGACACTTCAGATATTAATTAAGGATAAGGCAGATTCTGACCGAGAAGGCGAAACGGTTACTCCCACAAGCCGGTACGACGAAATATTAATACGCCGCGCGATGGCGCTCTCGGCCGGTCAAGTGGTATAATGAAGTCAGCAAATGCGTGATTATATACGCGCATACGTATGCCGCGGAACGAGGCTCTTGGCCGGTCAAGTGAATTCAGCCAGCCTACGATTACATACGCCGCGCGCCGGACCCTGACCGGCCAAGAGCCTCGTCCTTGCCACTGAGGCTAGAACGGCATCGACGCAGGCATGGCGCGGGCCGCGGCCGCATGATCACGCATACGCGGCGTGGCGAACACGGATGACGACATATGCATATGGGCGGATGTTACGTCGAGCGTCGGATCTACGGCGAGGCGTTCAGGCAGCTGAGACTGCGGTGGGTTCGGGTGACGTAAGGCGGATTCGGGGAAAAATTGGCGAGGGTCCTTGGTGGTGGTGGTCTACGTACTGGGGAATACGTATGCTGAATTGGTAATGCGGGAGTGGTCATGAAGAGGGTTGAGGGAAGAGAGTGGGTAATGTGTCTTCTTCAAGACGAATTGGGATTGAGGGAAGATAAGGAATTGATGAAACGATGAGGATCAAACAATGAAGAATTGAGTACTGCGGGGCGCTGCCTAGCCCAGCGGCGGGGTACTGTAGCACCACGGCTGACCGTTGCGTGCATGCGTCGGAGGAATAAAGACGGAGAGGGTGGTGACAATGAGGGTTCCAGCACCAGGCTGCCGGGACTGCACTGCCGCGCGTAGAAACAGGGCGACAGTTTACACCTACAATGGATAGACCGGCAGAAAGAAAAGCTTTTCATGTGGCTTCCGTATCTGAGTGACGTTGTGATTACTAAGGATGTCTTGGTGTTGACCGACGCTTCCGCTCCGGTCGAAGTCGTAGAGTGGAGCAGAACGGTCACAGGACAGACCGGCAGGCAAACAGCACTCCGGCTAGAAAAGGTAGAGGTAGGCGCAGGCCGAGAGAGAGAGACGACGATGAGGGAGTCAGACAGACGGCGCCGCTCCGGTTAGTTCTCGAAGGCATACTTTGACTCACCGGAGGGTGTTGGGAGTGTGAGACGGGACGCGCAGCGCAAGTAGAGAGAGAAAGCGTATTGCTTGTGTATTGCAAAGCACAGCTACAGAAGTGGAATATAGCTGTGTATAGCAGAATAATCGTGGGCATGCGCTGTGCTACAAGAAGAATTTTCATCAGCTCGACAAGGGACAATTCCCCATGCAATCGATAAGGTTGAATGTAAGCTGTGGCCGTGCGGCCGGGGTGCCATTCGCCAATGTGGGCTACCAAAGTTCCGGTCAACCTGAAGAAGGGCGCCAAGCGAGGACTGGCCACAGCGATTGCAGCGTGGATGCACACCTGCTGCACGTCAAATGCAGCTAAGACGGGACGGCTGCGGGCATGCAGGCGAGCGATTGAGAGGGAGTCACCAAACCGGTAGAGTGACTGTGAAGCGTGCAGAGTTTCTCGAGGAAACATTCGCACGCGCTCGAGGAGGCGGCGAGGCTGGGACGCGTGGGAATGGACACGCGGGAATGTTTCACGCCGCCGTGCCGCAGGAGAGGGACACTCGTCGAGTGTTTGGAGGCCTTGCCAAGGGGAAGCACCAGTAGCAGGATTGGCGCCGGAGGGTTCTGCGGGACAACGGGAACGAGTAGCTCAGTTGACGCGGGAGCAGCTCGAACGGCGGAGACGCCCGGCGGAGACAGAAACTGCACACTGCGCAATGCTGCAGTGGCTGGCCGGCCAGACTGGCGCGGGCGAGGCTGTGCGATTGTTGGTGTTGCGGTGAATTGGAGCGGCGCAGCAGAGGGGTGAAAAGGGCGCTTGACCGGAATGGGCGTGGCTGACGAGAAGCGAACCACTCGCCGGCCGCCACCCTCCTCCTCCCGCCCTACACCACCCTCTCCCTCACGATGTTTCGAGGCGCAGTCCCGTTTGGGGGCCAAGCAGCCGTTCCAAGCTTCGACGACACCCTCCCGTCCAACGGTTCCCCCGACCGACAGCGACAGAGCGGGCAGCCGCAGACGCGGTGGAGATGAAGCCGAGGACTCCCGGTTCAGCAGCAACCATCAGCACAGCGTCGCCCTTCCAACGCTCGCCCGCCCCAGCAGTTCCCCGCGCCCTTTTGCGGCAGGAGTCATCGCGGGTATGGGCACAGGAGCGTCTGAGGAGTCGCGGGTCGAGGGGTGCGAGGGCGCTGGCGAATGGTGTGTGCGTGTCTGGAGCGCGTCTTCTGACTTCGCACTCGTGCCGGGCAGGCCTCTAGCGCGTGTTTTGCGTCTCCTGTCGTCATGAGCTCCTCGTCGGTGCCAGGTCTGACCGCCTTCGCACCGCCTGCGCCTGAGGACGGGGGTCTTGGGCAAGGCAGCAGACAGGGGGGAGCCCTAGGAGCAATTGTGGGGGCGTCCGGCACCCTGCAAAGCGCATGCAAGTCCCAGGCTCCCATCGCGCTAGCTCCGCAGCCCATCAGGCATATATCTCGACGCTCGCTGCCACCTTTCCAGAACCCAGAATCGCCCACCATAAATCCAGCACCAGTCCCCGACCCAGTTGACCTCTGATACAACCATCAGAGACTCAACCCATTTACAGAGCCAGTCCTTTGCGTGCAGCAAAGCGACCCTTCACCATTCCGTCCATCACACACACCCGCTATCCCACCACGGCTCCCCGGCTCCGCTCCATTCTCAAGAACTCAAACACCACCACCAAGATGCCGTCCTTCTCTCGCTCCTCCACTATGCCTACCGCCATCCACCCCAGCGACTCCAAGAAGGAGGCCCGCGTGGGCTTCCCGTCCGAACCCGTGACCAGCGTCCTCCGCCCTGTCAACAGCGCCGAGTCCTGGGCCGCCTACAACTTCGAGAGCCATGCCCGCAAGTGTGCCTACTGCCACAACCCGTACGAGGTCCACCGCTCTCACGAGCAGCTGTGCGACGTCGGCCACCGCTTGGCACAGGATGTTGCCCACTTCCTCTACATCAACGCCGAGGGCGAGAGCTTCGCTACTGAGAAGGAAGACCACAAGGTCGTGCGTGTCGAGATCCCGGTCGGCTACGACGAAGTGAGGGGTCTGTTGAAGGCTATTGAGCGCTCCCTCCGCCACCGATCGCGGCGCCCATTCGTGTCTATGGATAGGACCTACTACGTTTCTGCCCGCGTACCCCTGCCAGACCGGTCACGCTCTGTCAAGATCGCTCAAGCCTCCAAGCCCGTCAAGGTCCACCGACCGCGCTCCGGCGAGATCGTCGACTGGCCCACGCAAGCAGCTACAGCGCAGCAGAAGGCCAAGGTCACCACCGAAGTCTCCCACTCTAAGCGTGGCTCCCTCTATGCCTCCGATGTGGAGCAGCAACGCCGCGACTCAGTACGCTACAACGTCGAAGTGCGGGAGCCGTCGAAGTGGGACATCCGCGAGCACCGTCTCTCAGGCTACTACAGCTGAACGGCCTGACTTTCGCTATATGTGCTTTCTTCATTGCATTATTGTAGCGCTACACGAACACCCTGAACGACATCCATCCAGAACACACACCACACCACCTCACCGCGCCCCGGGCCCCTTCCCGGGCCGTACAAAATCCTCTCGCATCTTGCTTGCACTCCTGCATCTAGCTATTCGCGCGTCTGAGAACGCCGGTACGACTGTGCTTTCTGGAAAAGCATTGCCTTTTGGATGGATAAGAGTTTTGGGTTTGCGCCTAGAAATAGGCGGGCCTGACGGGGAATGGGAGGGAAGGGAGAGATACTCCGCCATGACGGCGTTGAGGTCACCCGCAGGAGCTGGGAGGAATAGGATAGCCCATAGCGGGCTAGGATATCAGGATCTAGACTTGGAGGCTTCGTCCGCAGTCTACTGCAGCTTTTTGCTATATTTGAAATTTAAAGAATTGTTTGAACCGCATTACCACCTCTTCTCTGCCATGTGATTCCCACCTCCTGACATTCTACTCCCCAATGCATTTCTTACCATGACTCCTGAAACAACTATGACTACGAATAAACCTCTGCGCATGAACGTGATAGCCCTAGCCGCCCGTGTGCCGAGTGATGGTCGTTGAAACACACGCGCCTTCACAGTTTCGACCCTCAACCCTACCCTCAAACATGCTACCCGCCGACATGGCACTGGCACGAAACATGTACCAGCTTCACCAAAATATTCCGACGAGGGGATAAATGCGTGATGTTTTGCCAAACGCGCGATTGATGCGTGATACTTCTCCCGACGCGTGATGGATGCTTCTAATTTTACACGTCGTGAAGATTGAATGGCGAAGTTGACCAGAGCATTTTCTGCTCTATTTTGGGGACGCGAATACGACGCCATTGACCTGGTGAGTATTCTCGGACTACGATCCGAGTATGCGAACACAAAGATCTAAGGGTTCGCGCATGGTGATAACTATTCGCCTCCGTCGTCCGATTCCAACTCCTAATTCTCCGTCGATTTCTTGGAGCTTTTGAGTACTACCTACCTATTTGCCAATCCGCATACGACGACGAACCAGATCCCCAACTACTGTAGCCCTCCCCTCGGTCATGAGATTCGCCTCCCGAAGTCCGAGATCGCCGCCCTGCCCGGTGCCCCTCCATCATGACTCAAACCTCCCAAAATCTACCCCTCCATCGCATCAACAGTTCGGGCAGAGGGCCAGAGTCATCGCAATTGCCCAATCACCCCCCGCGCAGAACAATCCGCTCCACTCGCTAGCTCTGCGATTCTGGCTGCAAGACGGTTAGCGGATGGGGGGCCTTACGGTTTTAGATTAATTTTCCTGCAGGAGGTTAAGGCATGACTGCAGACGGCAGGCAGGTAGAGAGAGGCGCGTTGCTTTAAAACGCCACTTATAGGCTCCGGTCAAGACAAAGTGAGCTGAGGTTGGGGAAGGGGTGCGCGAAGTGGGAGTTTTTGCCTTTGCGCGATTGCGCGTACCGGATGCGAGGGTGCGACCCAGACCATTTTTTCTTTCGTGCAACTCGAGAATTTCGCGTCCGCGCACCGCGGCGTCAAGAGCTGCGCTGCGCATGCCGTACCTGCCGCTGTACCTCCTCAAGAAATTTGACATCGCCCCTCTGCCGTGCCCCTCCACACACGCAATCCGTGCGGTGGAATTGTAGCCTCCTGCACCATCCCCGCCCCAGCCCTCATGTGTGTGACAATCGATAGAGAGGTACCGGGGGTGTGCGATTCGCACGGGAGTGCACAAAAGATGGATGGTGGGGCGCGGAAGTCACCAAACGACCCCGGGCTGAGTGGCTGCGCGGCCCGAGGATTCGGGTGGATGTCGAGGGTGCTAGGCTGCGGCGGCGCTGCTGCAGGGTGGAGCGGTGGCTAGGCAGAATCGTGAATCTGAAAATTGCACTGAGGTGGTACGAGTGTTGCATAGGGTGATGGGTGATGGAGGGATGGATGGATAGATGCGGTAATCCGTGATAGGCACCGGGAAGGGTGTTTGCAGTTGAGGTACGAGAAGAGCGGGTTCTGAGGATAGGCAGAATCGCAACTCGGAAGTTTTTGCACTATGGTGGTACGAGGATTAGATAAAGTGTAGAACGGATGCGGTGATAGGTGATATTGTGTCGGCTCAGCTATTTGATGTTGAAGCACGAGTGGAGTGCGTTGTGGCTTGGTTGATTGCTGCGTCCGTGAGAAGATTGAAGATAACCCGTAAAGTGAGTTCTGGAGCTTCTCGTCTTCCATCTAGAGTCTTCTTTCGCAGAGGAATTGTGTGGTATCTCGAGAGATCGATTAGAAGGAAACGTGAGATCGCGAGGAGGGAGGATACTCCAGCACTGTTTACAGAGCTGGAATCCAGCCTGCCAGCCAGTCGGGCATTTTGGCATCGTGAAAATCTGAAGTGGAAGGGTCAAGGTGTGGTGAAGGAGAACGATGTTGCACGCTTCATGATTCTTCCCCGCGGTGTTCACACTCGTCTGGAGTAGAGCGGGCCGGCGCTTTGGCATCGTTGACCGCAAATTAGAGAGAAGAGAATAGATTGCCGTATTCGGATGATGAAGCGATGAATAGTATTGCACCGCACTACACCCTTCAGCATTCCCTCTCCCCACGCCGACCCTAAGTTCGCCACCTCCATATCTCCACGTCCATAGGTTCGTCGTACCGACTTTCGTGAGGCTGCAAACTGGGACCGAACTGTCCGAGTGAAGATCACGAAGCGAAGGAACGCTGATCGTGAGAACACGTAGCTATACCCCAGAGGGTACGCGAGGGTAGACGCGGCGTTGGGTTGGGCTTCGGTCCACGCCGTGCCCAGTTTCAGGTCTGCTGGTGCACACTGTGTATGGCCAGGCACCAGGGCCGGAGGTCGTGATAGCGGCTTTGTGTTTACTAAGGATGGGTTTGTTGATCAATATCCATACGGAGAGCAGACGGTGGCAAATCTGTACTGTGTGTTGTTCATGCCTCGGCCGACTCCGAAGTCGACGTCGACGCCCGATTGAGCTGACAAGCACCTAGTACTCGAGAATCGCGATATTGTGCGGCTGTAGCTGGTGTACGACCTCTTCCATCTGATAGACGGGCGCACAAACCTACCTCCCAAAGTAATGGACCTTAAAATGAAAAACGCACCTCTGGTCAAGATAGCGATAGCAATCCCCATGGCAAAGTCTCAACAACACCATCCGGACCCTCTTTCCCAACGGCGCCCTTAACCCAATTCCACCCACCGTCTCCTTCTAAGTGGACCCGACACGTCCCCATCCGGCCACCGCGCATTGCCAACTCAGCGCCTCACGAGCCGTATCCTGCCCTCCTAGCCTCCTTGGTCCCAAACCAGGTTCCATAAAACCCTCATCTAGCCGGGAGGTACCTGGCGCACGCCCTGGATTTCTGCCATGTAAGTAAGATGGGAGGTTCGCCAGCGCCAGATCACACGCTCGGCGGCGGATAAGTCGGCGCAACGGGCATTGGGCGCGCGCTTCACCGGTCCTTCAGCCAGCATCACATCTACCAGCACGAACCCGGTTTGCAAACCCTGGAATTATGGTGATGCTCCTCTTCGCCAGGGTCTCGATATGGGCCGGCAAGCAAGTGGTGGTAAGCGACTCCAAGCGACAGATCTGCGCGGCAATCGTCCCGTCCTGGGCTGGATGGGGGCAGGATGACGCCGCCGAGGTCACCACCGTCACCTGGCTGACCCTGCTGGCAGAATCACGGCGGATGGGTTTGGTGAGGCGACTGGCGACCCCAGCCATCGCCGTGCGTCGCGGTGAGGTGTCTGGCAGCAATACAGCACCACCCATCCGCAATGAAGCGGATCTAGCAGCGGCTGTTGAGGGAATCATTGCGGTTTGAGGTTTGGGCACCGTCCATCAACTGCGCCTATCCAGCACGCCAGGAGATCCATGATGCCGTCGTCTATCGCGACCAGCCCGGCCCTGCCGCGGTTCTGTCCTCCTTTACACTCGAGGACTACGTGGCCGCACACGGCAGCCGGACACACCGGCTCTGCGCGTTTCAGCTTTTGGCAGAAAAAGGCGTGGCGATTGGCCGGATGGGGACGCTGTGCCGTTGGCTGAAGATGATGGGGATACAGGTTTGGTGTTGTGGAGGTTGTGGAGAGCTTGGCTGACGGATGACAGCTGCAAGATGGGGGACAGGGGCTGGCGCAACGCTGGGGTACGAGCACGTGACCTAACACTGCCACCACCGTCAACCTTCGACCAGGAAAAGGGATACGGGAGATTTCTTGGAACTGGCAGAAAAGAACAACATCAGTGGCCAGATCACGATGTCTCATCTCCCCATCAAACACTAGCCGGTCCAGCTGACGGCACGTGACAGCATCCCGATCAGGCCAACCCTATCCAAATATAGCCGTGCGATGGAGGTGGCTGAGGCACACATCGCATGTTTCATCCTCCTACACCAACCGCGCGAACTACTTCAGCGAACCACATGGCTCTTTTCTGCCACTCCTGCCAAGAAAATCACGATGGAGACATTCTAGACGGCCGAATGTTTCGGTCTATATTTACATTCAGGGGTGGGGAGATCCGCGGGTTCTCGTCGGCTCAGGGAAACCAGCGTCGTTCGTCGTTTTCGGAATTGAGATGGGATGAGATTGGGGGGGTTCCTGAACTGCGGTTGAGATCGAGGTATGTATGCCGGATCCCCACCGCCTGCTGGAGAGGCCAATTTCTTGCTGAAAGGCTGTGCGAGCTCAATTAGCACTTTTTGGGGGGCCCCATGGATTTTTGAAAATCTAGACATGTCAATTCTGGTACTTACTAGCTGGGCTGCTCCTCACAGTGGTGTCTAGTGAGCAAGATTGGAGCCAAGCAGTGATAAATCCGTGTGCCCAGACTTTTGACCTAGTACCAGTGACAGGCCATAAGTCTGTGCACACACTTTTACTACTGCTTAGGGTACCCCCATAGAATTTCAAAAACCCACGCGCGATGTCAAGCTTCAAGAGGTGCAAATTAGACTGCCTCTTGATCGATAGGCTGCTTACTAGCTGGGCTGCTCCTCACAGTGGTGTCGAGTGAGCAAGAATGGAGCCAAGCAGTCATTAAATCCGTGTGCCCAGACTTATGACCTAGTACTGTACTCCTGACGGTGGTGTCTACTGCAAGAGTGGCACTGCTGCAAGAGTGGTACTGAAGCAGCGGAATATTACTCGGACCAGACTCATGACCTATGACTGCTTCTTATTTCTTCTTCGTTATTTTCGATTGCTCATTTGATCCCACTGTCACTCATCTCACACCATGCTTCAAAGTTTCTGATTCAATCATAATGTTAAGGTATTGTGGCAAGCAGCCGCATGTAGGCTTTTGGCTAGGTAATGTGGTCTCCCCCAACTTGCACTAGTCCAAGCTTCCTCCCTACTAGAAACCCCTCTATGTCTTGGTTTGAGAGTGGTACAGGCTCTTGACCTGGACTGGATTTTCCCATGCGTCTCTGTCGTCAGTCCTAGATCTCACCGTAACAAGTGCGAGGGTCACTTCATATAGAAAATCCTTGGGCATTTCATCCTTCGAAGTATAATCAGAAAACCATGACACCCGTGCGTGCTTAGAATAAAAGTCCACAAGGAGTTTCCGAAGAGGCGAGCCCGGTGGTGTACCGTCATACGCGTGGCGTATTGCCATACCAACCGGATACCATCTCTGGCGGTCGCTTGCGGGGGTGAGATTTTTGTGGATTATGGCATCGATGGCCGCGTTTTTGAAATTGTCGTCCATGAGACTTTCTCCAAGGCAGTAGGCCTTGCAGAGATCGATGTACTCTTGGTTCCCTTCGACGCCTCCCACGTCGTGTGCCGTTGAAAGCATGCGAGTATAGAGCCAATCGTGGTAGATCGAGAACACATCTGGTTCATCATCCCTTAGGCGCACACATCGCTCGGCAGCTTCTGTCCAAGGCCCCTTCATCGCATTGTCGAAGAATTTGGACGAAACTCGGACCGGTCCTTCGTGAACGAAAAACGGTACCTCCTTGGGGCCTACGAGGACCTTCAAACCCTCGCCGTAGCTTTACAACTTAGTAAGATGAGGTGAGAATACCGGAAGTGAGTACACATACGTAGGTCTAGCATCCTTCTTGCGGCGAATCTCCATCTCGCACGTGCTGGTAACGACCTAGCCTTCAGAAGCACTTTGTTAGTTGATGATATAAGTGAAGCGTGCCCCAGAAAAACTTACCTGCAGTGCGCTATAGATGAAGGATGGCTCTCGCCGTTGTTGAAGGAGTGTGAAGGTGGTGAACGCTTGAGGTTCACTACCTAAAAGGGTGAAGAAGAGTGAGGTTGGGGGGTGAGGTGGAGAAGTAAGGTGGAGGAGAAGTGAAGTGGAGGAGTGAGGAGCGAAGTGGAAGAAGATGTAGGAGGAAGGAAAACGGTGGGCGAGCTCTGCTTTTAAAGAGAGTGGGTTGACGCCAAGGCGCTAGTGGCTAGCATCAACGATGACAGTGAAGCTGGAGTGACGTGCTTCTCTGCGTTTCCATGGGAAATTGGTCGTGCCCGGAGAAAGTGGGATAATTTAACGGTGTCGGACCACTTGCGCATCTACAACAATTGAGCGCGTGAAGCTTTACGCGTGAAGCTTTACGTTATTAAGGCATCGGGCTTCATAGTCTTAGGAATTGAGACTACTTTCGAACTAGAGCACCTACGCCCGGTTACCATTGTGTGGCGAGCTCCAGTATTTTCAAAAGTTAATATCAAGGGTATGCTTATAATCAATAACGGTTCGATCTCTGCCGCGTAGCCTTCGCTTTTGCTCTGCGTAAATTTTGATGCCCTTGATTATGGTAGGGTAGAAACGGTACTCTACGCCTTCCAAAAGTAATAGGCGGTTTCCGGTTGTGTCTGCTCACGCTTCTACACCACCCTAAGCGCCTTGCTACGTCAATAGGACATATCAAGTGCAATGTTCAGATAGGGAGGCTCAGATTCGGATTCGGCGTTCGATTCGGTGCGACCCTAAAATGAGGCAGCTTTGTGGCTGAGCAAGAAATAACAAACGAAAGGCTGTGCGTAAGTTCCATCGATCCCACGATGTTGACCTGGATATAAATCAAGCATACTGCGAGTAAATAATGTGAAAATTCTCCTTCCTTTGTCTTAGAAACTGGCCAGAGTAGTTTTAGAGCATACTCCGCCCTACTGGTTCAGTAGAGATCGGACCTGTCAGGCTGGCAGAAGGTCGCAGACCACACTGAGCGCTGGAACGGTGACAACGCCGCCTGGAAATATGGGTGTGATGAGAGTGCAGGAATCAGCTACGATGAATATCATGCGTGCCGGAGCCCATTTTGCCTAAGAATTGGCCAGGGTAGTTTTCAAGCGTACCCTACCCTACTGAGTAAGGATCGGGTTCCCGCATGGCGCAAGGCTCGACACACAGTGAACATCGCAGGATCATTCCGGCAGACTCAGACGCAGGCACAGAAATCAGTGAGGAGGGCGTACGACTAGTACCTAGATGCGAACGTCGTGTACTGTGTAACCCATGCCCCCCTAGAAATTACCCAGAGTTGCTGTAAAGCGTACCCCACTCTACCTCAGTAGGATTGGGGTCTCTATATGGCGCAAGGCTCAGATCACAATGAACGCACAGGCTCATCGCAGCGACCAGCTTCTGCTCACCCAGATACGAGAAAGATGAAGAGCGTCAATATGAAGGAGCAAGTTCTGCTTGCTCGGCGCCACTGTAAGGAGCACCCCAGTTAGCATGTATTCAGTCAATCACATAGTAGCCTTATTTCCGCTACGTCAAATTTTACTTCGTATTTAGAGTCAAGCCTGTCGGTATGCCCCACGCAGACGCAAAGAGTGCCCAAACTTATGTCATGGTGCTATATTTTGGGATAGCTATACAGCCGTCTAATTTTAGTGATGCCTCTAATCGGCACCTCCTATCCTCTCAATTCCGCCACCGTCCTTAAAAATCCGTCAACCTCCACATTAAACTTCTCCGGCTGGTCCCTGAAACTCCAGTGACTCGCCCCAGGCACAGTCACCAACCTCACCCCCTTCTCAAACCACCCTGCCATCTCATCATAATTCTTCGGACTGAAATACTGATCATCAGTTCCCCACACAATCAACGTCGACACCTTCTCCACCATCCCCTTCGTGCTGATATTCTTCCCATACGGCGGTTCCGGGTAATTATCGTTATAGAAATGCAACATCCCGTCAATCGGATTATCCTCTATATACTTAGTATTCTCAGCGCGGTACGTCTCGTTCCGGATATCCGCGAGTATATCGAACACCTGCTGCGGCACGGGGTCCCCGGCGTGGTACGCCTCGAGCGCGATGGTGTACTTCGCGCGAAACTCTTGGTCAGGATCGAATTCGATCAGACGCACAAAATTGGGCAGCACGACGGTGTTCACGAGCACCAGCGCTTCCACACGCTCTGGGTGCGCGAGCGCGAAGTACTGTACGACCGCGCCGCCGACGTCGTGGCCGACGATGGTTGCTTTCTCGGCTTTCTCGTGGTCGATGATAGCGAGGAGGTCGGACACGAAGTTGGTGGAGGTGTAGGCTGACACGTCGGGGGGAATCGAGGACGGGGGGTAGCCGCGGAGGTAAGGGGTTAGAACCGTGTGGGTACGGGCAAAGAATGGGACTTGGAAGGTAGACCAGGTGTCGGCGCGATCGGGAAAGCCATGGAGAAAGATGAGGAGGGGTCCGCGGCCGTACTTTGTGTAGTGAAGCGTTGCATTGTTGTTGGTAATGGAGATATCTTTGCCACTTGGGCTGGGGTAGTTTGGTGGGTTAAGATGGGGAACTGCCGAGGATAAATTAAGCGCTGAGAGTGCTTTCAAGAGGCATGATTAGCTGAAGCCATTGACTAGAAAGGCTTGAAATTTGGCTTACAGAGAAGTAGTGTGGTAAGGAAGTACATATTGATCGGACGTCTTATGAACTTAGAATCTCGGGACATATGCGATGAGGTAGATAGAGCTTCAAAAAGACGCTCACCAAGTATTGAGCAATGCCCAACTTTAAGGTCAAGTAAGTCGGCTCATGGCGGAAGTTGAAAGTAATACCTGTGCTCGTGCAGGGCAGGGTCCAAGGTTATGTTTACTGATCCAGCGCTTATTGATTATGAAGGCAGTCAGATTCCATCAACATCCGAACTCTGGCGACACAGCATTTCGCGAATATAATTCTGGCGTAATAATCTAGTATATAGATCTATAGTGGCATTGGGATGGAAGACGTAGTCACGGCGGCGTATGCATCCGAAACTGAATACCCTATCATGATGCGATTCCCACTTCACGTAATATCCAGATATCCTTTTAGCCTTAAGGCCTAACTGACCTGAATACTCTCACAGGGCCCATTCACCTCGTTGGTTCTGCATATATCTCGATTCGCCATGTACAGCACCTAAGATGGTCCTTGTACAACTCCTAGACGCCCCCTCTTCCTATTTCAGTGTGCCCAAATTCCAGGCTATCGTGGAGAGGTACTACTGGGAGTGCGAGGACATAGCACAGATGTGTTCCGTCTCGGCTTTGTGTTTCGAGTAATAATGGCCATGAAGTGAGGTTGAAAGAAGCTATTGGCAGCGGCCGGTCTTTTCCCGGAGCGGAATTTCGCCCCCTGAGACGGACTTCCCACCCCTGAGACTGACTCCCAATCACCTATATTAGTCACCAAGTTAATCACGACATGACGAGTTTCCGTTAACATATCATTAATTATGCTGCAGTACCAAGACTTAAGTTTAGTCACTCCCTGAAACTACTTTGGGTACCCCAGTAGGCTTTCAAAAGTATGAATACCATGTAAACACCAAAGTAATGGAGATTGAGCTGTATTGTAATCAAGCTAAAGCCTGCTAGCTGGGGTGCTCTTTACGGTGGTGTTGGTCGAGCAAGAATGAAGCTAGGTTAGTGAAGAATCCGTGTGCCCAAGGTTATGAACTAGCACTGTATCGAAAAGTAGAACACAGAACTTCTTACCTCTTGTCTACAACTAGACCGCGAATGATGCCTCTTAAGTCAGCTTAGCCAGGCAGCAAACTAATCAGAATAGTACAGATCCAAGACATAAGTTTGGGCGCTCCTTGCAACTGCCTAGGTTACTCTGGCAGGCTCTTGGAACTCTAAAGACGATGCAAAGGGTAACGCACTGGATATTAGACTACCTTTTGACTGACTGAATGCGTGTTACTTAGGCCACTCGTTACGGTGGTAGTGTCAAGAGAGCAAGAGTAAAGCTAGAGCAGTGATGTATCCGTGTGCCCAAACTAATGACCTAGTGCTCCACATACAATGCGCTTTCCCGCTCTCGTTGTTCGAGAAGCAAATCCTCGATTAGACGAGTCGTACTTCTCGTCGCTCCTTACCTACCAAATTGCTCAATTTATGCCATTGACAAGACTCAGTCTCTATCAATCCCACACGGCAGGCAGACCCCTCGGTATTCTCGGCGTCCTTAACGTCCTCTACTATCATCATGTAGATCCTACACACTTCATCAATTACCTGCCGTCTCCCGATGACGATGAGGTACAGTGTTCTGAGTCTAAGCAGCTCTTCTAGCCTGTCAACGATACCTTCTGTCTTCGATAGGAACAGCTCCACGTCTACAACATCATTGATACGCCATTGGCCTTTCAGGCTGTCGTCCACCTTAACAAAAGGGCTGTCGCCCACCTTGACAAAGGTTTTAGGGTACATGATAGGGCAGTTGAGAATAAGAGCCATTGGATACCGGAGGTCAAGTGGCGCTGGCAGTCCTTCCTCGAAAAGAGACTTGTAGTACACTCGTCTGTCCCCATCATATTCAAGCCAAATATCGGAGATCGACATATCAACCGTGCGAAATTGGACGGTAGTAAAGTCATACAACTCCTCTTGGCCAGCATCGAAGAATTTGACTTCACCTTTCCAGCCTGCCCAGGACCATGAGGGGAACCCCGAACGCCGATACACGCTGCCAGACTGTAAGCCCTGATCAGCATGGTACCAGCGTAAGCTTGTACTAAGTGTCCCGTGAACGAAGTCCGTAGAGCTTCCCAAGAACGGTAGGCCCCAGAAATGAAGTATCGGATACTTCGATACCGCGAAGTCGTCTAGGATGCCGACAAAAGCCCGAATTGAATCACAGTCGAAGCTAAGATCTCTTCTAGAGTATTCTCGCACATGCTTTCTCAGCGCGATCAGATTGTTGATTCTTCTGTGATGTTCCACTCTTGTGTCGCGATGGGGACCCCGCGTGCTGAAGATTCCAGAGTGCATGAAGTCTCGACTCCGCGATAAATCGGCCGAATGGGTTAGATTCAAGTCGAAATGCAGACTCTCTTGACAACTCATTCGTCTGCACTCAAAATATAGCTGATCGTCCGTGAATACGAGTCGACGATGAGACAGCACAGCTTCTTGAAGAGTCCACCCTCGCGACGCCCAGATCGATTCTGGAATTGCATAGATTGGAGGGCGCATCGTCGATATAAGCTGTAACTTTCCAACATTTGCGACTGGTTGAGTGGACCTCTTAGAATCATTCACCCCTGGAAGGCCTGCATTCGAGTCTTTCCCGGTGGCAGCGACTATGGTAAACCTAGCTCCCTTGTAGATGGAGCTCATCTGGTTTATTTGGTCGGTAATTTCCTTTGAATTCCCTTGATCAATACACAATGAATCCACCCAGAGGTACGGTGTGTGGACTCCGTTGCAGACTGTGATGGCATCCCGAATGGTCTTGGGTAGATCTTCGGGGAGAGGTACTGCATCATCGGACGGCGTACAGACTTGAGCAGACTCAACTCCACCCCAAACATAGCTAAGGGCGGCATACGGTATAGATGGCCGCGCTTTTTCAACAGTTAGGTTCCGGCAATTGATAACTTTAAGTCCGTCCACAGGATTTCCGGTACTTCGGCAAGCAACACCATGGTTTGAGGAGCAGCGCTTCAGCCATCGTTTCACCACGCTGAGGTCAATTTCTTGCTGCAGAACACGAGGAGATGCCAGCAAGCTCTGCCTGGATTTCTCGTTGTGGCAGAAGATAGGCCTCGCGATACTTCGTGTGAGTTCATTGCGCGGATCGTACCAACTACGACCCATTCCCTCTGGAACAACCGCAAAGAAGACACGATCCTCATTCTTCACATTCTCCGGGGCGAGATGAGTGCCTTTGACGAAGGGTGAATGGAACTCAGACAAAAGCCAGTATGCCCGGAGATGGTACTCGCGCGATGGTGGATATTGCTCGAGCGGTCCAAATCCATGCTGTCGGAACATCCAGCACAGAGGGCACGTTATCGCTGTTGCCCCTGGTCCTTCCAACCGGGAGCTGGCAATTGACGCAATGTATACCCCTTTCGCTGCTGGCCAAAGGGCGCTACGGTCTAACGCGAGGGCTCCCTTAAAGTTGATTTCACGACACTTGGTGCAAAGTTGATCATCTGCAGACTCTTTATCTGGAATGGGTCAGTCGTCATTCGCACGGATGGAGAATGGAGAAGTGGCCATACCGCCTTTTCCTCCGGTCTTTTTCCATCTTTTGTTCCAAAACTGCATCATATCGCAGCCTATCAAAGGTCTAGTGAACCAGCCAGGCCCCGACCGCACCAGATCGACCCGGCCGTGCGTGGTATTACTGGAGACAAAGCCTTTGCCGGACTGGAATTGTAAGTAAAACCTTGCGCATTGGCCAAGAGGGCATGCGAAGGATCTGGCTTCATTTTATCATGTAGTATTTGCGGGGATCAGGTCCCTCATCGATCGTGGAAGGCTGAAATTCACGATTAGTAATCAAGTGTGGGGACAACGCGAGGCTTCAGGTCCGCGGCAAATCTATATCGTCATCATCCGGTAACTTCAATCAGATTGGCCATGAAGGCAATAATTTGATGGACAGGCAGAAGTTTTCCGATTATTCTATTCGCGAATGTCTAGCGACAATCCGGCCCCTAACAGACTTCAAACACAACCATTCAGATCACGTCGCTGTCCCGCTGGGACACTCCACGAGTGTGCGAAACGCCGCGCTATGTTCCTCCCCGGATGGCAGGGCATAGCTATAGCCCATATAAGGACTCACTGGAACAAACTCTCGAGCGAAGATATCAGGAAATTCGACTTTTTTTGGCAAGGTATTAATGAAGCCAGCAAAAGTCCCATTTTCCAGCATGTAAAAATCTTCCATCCAATCCCTACATTCGAAAACATGACATCCATTCCCGCTGCTCCAGACTTGCGGAGCTACTCTTGCAGCGTCATCAGCTCGTAAATGCTCCATCTCACTCCCCTGAAGCGATGTCGAAAGATTCTGACATCTAATCTCGCATCGAATCCACGATCTCAAATCCACACGCTCCAAATCATATTATGTCGTACTCACTGCATGCGCATACATCACATCGAAGCCCCACAATACGCTGTCCACATAAGACAGCATCAACGCCAGCAGTTCCGATTCTCATTGTCTGATTATCTGCCTCTCAAACTACCCTCCAAACTTCCCTTCCTCCTCCCTGCCTCTTACAGTACCACGACGAAAGTTTCAGGCACTTCTCGCCACTGTTTGGGGTACCCCAACAGTCTTTCGAAACTTCAAATACGATGTAAAAGTCACCGCGGTGGGGATCGGACTACCTTTTGACTAAGTGGAAATATATTATCTAGGGCACTCCTTACGGCGGTGACGAAAGAGCGAGAGTGCAGCCAGAGCAGTGGCATATCCGCGTGCACAAGTTTATGGCCAGAACCCCTCCAGCCCATGCTTCAAGACCGTCCCCATTTTTACATAGCGAGTTTCAGTATCCGGCCCCATCTCGCACTGCGTCCAGCAAGTCGTTCCACAGACATTACAAAAGTTTCGTAGAGAGGGGTAGCCGGACGCTTGCCGCGGCCCCTCGGTGCGGTAGACGGTTACGGATGCCGGTGGGGAGATGAGGCGGAAGGAGGATGCGGGAACGCAGGCGTTGTAGCTGAAGACGGCGCCGGAGGAGATTTGACATTTGCTGCAGTGGCAGAGGGCCTGGGGATGTGAGTAGGAGTAGAGGGGACGAGAAGAGAGGTGGAGAAGGGAAGGGGGCGAGGAAAAGTAGTGAATAAAGAGGGCATGGCTATCGGAAGGAAGACGGAATGGGAAGCTGGAGAAAATGAGGCATCGAGAAGGATGGGAAGGCGAGAATAATGGTAAGTGGAATAGGATTGGAAGAAAGTGATGATGTGATAACGGAGAAGCAGATGGTATGAGGGCATACGATAATCCAGTCGCCGGCGTCGAACTCATATTGAAGCGCGCCGCAGAGACAAGCTCCGGAGATTGGCGAAGACATTGTTGGGAGGAAGCTGGTACGTTCGTGACACTTCACAGAGGAATTTTCAGGAAATTCGGAAGGTCTAAGAAGCACCTGCAAGTGAGCATCCTCTCCCGTAAAAGGTAATGAAGTGGCGTCAGCAGTGATCAGCGGAATGGCGTCAGCAGTAACGGGTTGCAGACTAAATTCTACTACACCGCTGAAACGGAGTTCTCTCGGGTCCCCATGAGAGACTAAAGAAATAAGCATCGTCTGCAGAGATCCCTATGGCTGTACCTAGGTACTTACAGTACTAAGTCATAAGTTAGGGCACACGGACACCTCACGGATCGGGCTCCGCTCTTGCTCGCTCGACACCACTGTGAGGAGGACCCCAGCTAGCATGTCTTCGGTCAGTCAAAAGGTAGCCCTATTTCCACTGCGTCGAATTTTAATCCTAGTTTGGGATTAGATAGCCTATCATGACACCCCAAACAAATAGAATGAGTGCCCAAACTTATGGCCTGGTACTGTACTTACCTGGGGATGATGTGAAATGTGTGGCTAGTGCTGCTGTGGCTGGGAAAATGAGTGGGGCTCAGGTTCCGCGGCCAACGCGATGTCCAATTGGCCGTTCACTTCACCACCTCGCTCTTCTTCACCACTCATCCACTAAAGCAACCCCACACTGGCAAGTATTCTTCTGCGCCGCTCAGTCTTACTCGGATGTTGACTGACGTCGTAACAGGTACGGTGACGAGCTTCCTCCGCCTGTTACAGTTCACCTGACCACTGTCCATCCAGCTCTTGGTGAGCTGCCTACGACGTTTCCACAAAGGCAAGTCCTGCTCATCGGACCTACTCTTTCACATCACTCCTCTCGTTCCATGCTCCTCGCCGGGTGAGCAGAATCTGGGTACTGCGGTCTGGTGCCCCGTGCGTCCACTGTGATCTGAGCCTTGTGCCGAGTCTGGGGAGTGCGTCTGCTCTAGAGCTTTCGCAATGGCTCTTCGAAATCAATGGCAGGCGATATGGGCTACAGATCACATGATGTTCGCACTCGGTATCCGCATGTTATCCTCACTGCTCACTGGACCTGTGTTTGAGTGCTGTGCGGGTCTTGTGGTGTTCACTATGTGTTGCGTCCTTGCGCTGAGCTTCAGTCATACTCGCCCGGCTGTCGCCCAAGCCTGGGGAGTCAAGTGCTCCTCGCATGATGGCTCCTCGTATAATGGCAAGCGAAATAGGCGACGGCATACACGACGTTCATTCTGGTCTTAGTACACTCATCACAGCTACATTTCCAGATGGCGTCGGCATCGTTGAAGATTCAGTGTAAGTCGTTCAGTGTTCAGTGTTCACTGTGGGTCGCGTCCTTGCGCCGAATCTGAGGAGCTTTGCTCCGCCAGATCAAAGGCCGGCGATATAGGCGACGGCTCACATGACGCTCACTGGCGATTCTCTTGGATCAAACATGGCTGGCGCCGTGGGATGGCCCGTTTGGTTTGGTGTATTCATGCGCACGCATGGTTTCAGTTCTTGCTCAGCCCAACAAGCTGACTCTTTAGTGTCCCGCAGAATTGATCGCCGAAGTCCAAAAGCATACTCAATGCTCCCATAGCTCGGCGAGGCAATCGAGCTGAGCGAGCTCCAGTCAGGCTCGGGGCACCCCCATGACTTGTCGACGGAAGTAGCACCACAAAGATGAAGGCCTGATTTGGGGACTGTACGATTGTGAATGGCTTATGGCGATGGAGTTGGAATTTCGTGAGAAAGGATGTGGTCGCTGGAAGAGTCCCGGGCCAGGGAAGATAGGACAATCTACTGCATATTTTTGCATCCAAACTGCGCAGGGCACTCGATATGCAAACTCACAATTTTGACTTCCCCAATTTGTCATAGCTTGATGGTGTTGAGTCCTATGATCACCGTAAGAAGCTAATTCAGGCGAAGGTACCGGAGCACTTGCGCACCCCCAAAGCTATCGCTTCCGTCTCTGCCATAACTAAAACCACATTACAGTACCAAAGCCGCTATAACCTCCGTCGCAAAACGCTTCCTTGATTTCCTGTGCTGGAACATGAAATAGTTCTACTTTGTTGGTGCTGTTTGTGGTTCCTCAACACCTCTATAGGTACTAAAGACCATGTCCATACCTCCCTTTCCGTGTCGAGGTTTTGAATGCAACCCCTTCGCCTCTCCCACCGGCCTATTCCGCACTTTCTACTACAGCTCAGACTTGAACCGCTTTCGCCCACATTGTTCCCTTTGGCTGTCTTGTTCCTCTCTCTCCGATGCGGTGCGGGTCCTGACTGCTAAGCTGGGGTCAGCAGGGGCATGCAAAGAACCAGCTGGCTTTCCAGAAGCCAAGTACGATGGTGCCAGCTCCGAGGGCACTACGCCATGCATACCAAACCCAGGATGCATAAATACTCCGCTCGTCGTGCTCCATCGAGCCTGTCGTTCCTGGCTGCGACGACGACGCTGGTCAGCTTCTCGTGATGTCATCTTCGGTAGTCTCTTCTGCTGCCGCTTGGTGATGGTAGGTGGAAGATTGAGTACTCCTGTTTGCCTGATCGACGCAAGGCTGGGTCCAAGAAACTGCTCTTGCAACCGAAGGCACTCTTGCGTCAACTTCTTGTTTTTGTAGACAGTGACAAACATAAGAAGTAGCAACCAAACTTTGCAAGAGTACGCATCGAGAAGCTCCATGCGGGCCCGGTCGGTGGCTCCAAGAAGTCTGAGTTTCGGGACAAGAATATCCGCCTCGCAGTAGCGAAGCAAGCCGAGAATCATCTGATCGAGAAGGTCCTCCTAGATCTCATGCTCTCCTTGAGTACTGAATAGGACTTTTGCCGTAGTGTTTACTTGAAGGCATTGTAGAACCTCCTGCAGAATGCCTTGAAGGATGGGTTCAATATGCGCCTCTGAAGAGACCAGCGCCTTTGCTCGCTGTTCTTGGAAAGTATTGTAGATGATGTGTAAGAACTGCGAGAGAGCATCTTGGCCTTAGTTGAGCCTCATGCCTAGTTCCTTGAGAGACTCCCCGTCCATGACAGCCAGCTCATGTTCCTTGATGCGATCTTGCCTGGCAGAATGGGAGGCCACGGGGTGCACGGGTGCTTGCGATGAGCTCGGTGGCGGAAGCAGGGCGCCTAGGCCGGCGGCGGCGTTAGTCGGATGCTCTTCCATTTTGAGCGGGGGTGTGGATGTATGGAGGAGACGCCGAGGGTGGCCACTGCGTGGTGTTGATGTGTAGTTGATACAGCTAGCTGCGAGAGAGCGATGACACGGAGAGAGCGATGACACAGAGAGAGCGATGACACAGAGAGAGCGATGACACAGAGACAGCTAACCGACCTCGGAGATTGGGTCGCGCAAGTGGTTAGATGAGCGAATGGACCGATTCCGGGGCGGCTGGGTGTCACTGCTGTTCTGTCGATACCGTCGTCAGGAGGACCGCCGCAAACAAGTAGCTGATGAGTCAAGAGGTAGCTCGGTAGTCACGGCTGTCAACTTCACGTCGCACGTAAATTCATGAGCGTGTCCGTGCTAGTTACTGGCATCTTGGCGTCACAAAGTCTTCCTATAACGTAGCCTACCTTGATCCTTCCTCCCCTCATCTACCTCTCTCCACCTCTTGATCAATAGCCGCTAATAACCACCTTCCGTCGCTTGACGAACTACATCCAGACCTGAAGGCGAGTTCTGTTTTGACTTTCTTCTTTTATATCAATGCTTTTTCGCTTCTTCAGGGTGAATAGAGGTTGGAAGCTGCAGGGTGATATGGAGGCGTTCACGGACAGCCGCCTTATCACTTCTTGCTCGGCCCAAAAAGCTTACTTTTCTTAGGGTCGCACTAAGTCAAACGCCAAACCTACCACCGTCCCGAACTCGAGCTGTCCCATCTGTGCAACGAAGACGAGATGGAAAGTCAGGGAGCTTTAACAGACATTATCGGAGGCTGCCTGTCACATCTCGAAGGCACGGAACACCATTTCTACACCACTCTGATCAAGGCTATCAAGCAATACGCAGAGAGATAAAGCTAGTACGGCGAAGATCGAGCACGAGCTGATGAAAGTCTTGATATCGACGCCTGATCCGAATACCATGGAGCAGTTCATGGTGACCACCGTCGAGCATCTTCAAAGCAGGACCATGATAGATATCCGACAGACTAGCAAAGTCTTTAGCATCGCCTTGGATCTCGTTACCCGCTATGGAAGCGATGAAGACCTCCACGTCTTGCTGGCACTCAGGGGACGTCAAGTTCCCTTGGCCTCGATACACTTCGACAAACTATCGGCTGACATAGTACCACAAAGAGGCAAGCCCAACTTGGACACCTCACCACTGTATCCCGCATAGGGCGTTAGAAATTGGTCTGTTGGAGATGGGTTCGAGGGCCCACAAGATCTGGGAAGACTACCAATGTACCGTACTCCATAGGTGTGCAATCGTACTGCGCGAAACACCCAATTTACCATCTCGACATGAGATTTCTCCACTTGAACTTGGCCGTGATGGCATGAAGCAACTGTGATTCCCGCTAAGAGCTGATTCAAATCATATTCTATGTCAGCTTGCGTGCCCCGAAAATCCTCACTTCCTCCTTTGCTGATACTTAAACATCGATGACACAGTACCGAGGCCACTATACTTTCCGTTACCGGTCTGCCTAACTAAGTTATTATGCTAAGAGGTGAAGATTTTACATTTTAGTAGTGTTGTTTATCGTCCTCAGCACCTCCCAAAATTTACAATTGGGTGGGACAGCCTTAACACCGCGAATTAGACGTAGAATACGATCCGATATTCCGACACTGAGGATCTAGAGTCTTTTCCTAAAGCGGCTTTGTTTACAATCTTTTAATACTGTGTAAAAGCTACACGCTGGGGGTTGCAATCTTCACCTCCAAAGGAGAACAGACCTACAAATGCTTACCGCTGTTTGAGCTACCTCAATACCCTCAAAGAATTCTAGATGCAGTCACAAATCACTGCATCACGCAGAAAAAGTCTTTGGGGAGTGAATAGTAGCCTCATTAAAAACCCCCTCATGGAAACCTCGAGAAGATTTGAAGAAGGGGAAAAGAGAACTACATAGAGCTATATACGTGAATGAAGAGCCGAAATCCGAATCCCTAGAACGTCCTAGAAGAGTTTTCTCCAATTAAGGCTACGACTCTGGAGGAACGATCGTTGGATATACCGCGTGACTGAAGGGTGTATGTGTTTCGAGATTTTGTTGAAGGAAGTTGTGGAATTTGGCGCGGTTCGGTGTTCAAAGTGTTGCTCGATCGGTTTCATTTGGAGGTTGCAGTACCATCGGTAGGTATGAGATTTTGCTGCAACTCACCTTGTGCAGAGTACCAGAGAAGTCCGTAAGAACGTTAAACTCATCCCGCTAACGTGGAACATCTCGCTGTCGCTATGCATCCTCCAGGCGCAGGAGCACGAGAGAAGCAGATCTCACGAGCGTTCCCCAGTAGTAGCAACTCACTGTTTGCAGAGCACCAGAGAAGGTTGTACGAGCGCTGACTCATCCCGCTAACGTGGGATCTCCCGCTATCGGAGGATATATCGCTGCCGAAAGACGTCCCGCTAACGTGGAACATCTCGCTGTCGCTATCCATCCTCCAGGCGCTAAGGGGCAAGAGTTTCAGATCTAACGGGCCTGGATAGCATCCACTACTATGTGAAGCTCACTGTTCGCAGAGCACCAGAGAAGTTTGTACGAGCGCTGACTCATCCCGCTAACATGGGATCTCCCGCTATCGGAGGATATATCGCTGCCGAGAGACATCCCGCTAACGTGGAACATCTCGCTGTCGCTATCCATCCTCCAGGCGCTAAGGAGCAAGAGTTTCAGATCTAACAGGCCTGGGTAGCATCCACTACTATGTGAAGAGCTGCATAAACTGCCCGGTGGGGCCCCTTCAGTGGTCTTGATCAACGCAAACTCCCGCCTGCACAGACTGTAGGGTGACCCTCAAAAAAGCCAACACGATTGAGTCACTCCAACGCGCAGGCGGACGGAGGCACAGACTGGAAAGTGTCATTCAAGAAGTGGACGCTTCAGGAGCTGCACGACACCGCCCTATCGCTTGCTGGAGGTTGGTGACCTTCTCTATCGTTGAACTTTGTAAGGAATCGCTCCAGGCACTGTACAGACCTCTGCGTGAACTGAAGAGTGAGTTTCATGAGCAGCGTGCCCAATCCGGTCGCCCCAGGCACCACGCAGAGCCAGAGGAAGAGTAGCGGCAAGCCACGTCCGGGGAACTTCCCGGTGAAACTTATCAATGCAGGCCGGGAGGCCAAGGACTCGTAAGCCGAGGGAGAAGAAGGCTCGAGATTGGCGATATTCGTGAGGCCATGGTGAGAGCCTGGTCTAGGAAGGGCTGGGTGAGACCGGCTTCTGATGAATGGCAGCGTTGGATGCGGGGTAGATGACTTACTCGATGGATATGATTTCATGGAGACTGTGCGTTCGAGTAGATAGTGCGATGGAGTTTTAGTTGAGGAGGTAGAAGAGAGGCGTGCAGGTGGCGACAAATGATGGATTAGTGTTGCTAATGTCGTGCGGCAAGACCGTCGAAGAAGCGAGGTTCATTTGTGGGACGGCGTTGTGCTAAGCGAGTCTCACGTGGTTCACGTGATTCCTAACGCCGGCTGCAAAACAAGGCTCCCCACTCCCGCCAGACGCCCACGCTGAACCCACCTCAAGGCAATCTCCACCTCACCTCCAGTCAAACTCCACCTCGAAGTCCACTCACCACCTTCAACCATGTCCACAGCGTCGCACGGACACCAGACAATCGAATCCGATGCCAACGGCGGTGTCAACAACGAAACTGACGGCGAAGCCACGATTGGCAGAGGTCATGATGAGGATGGCGATGGCTACGACGATGACGAGGATCACACGGGTACCGAATCCTTAGCCGGCTATAGACCAGTACGCTTCTACAAACTACTTCAGCAGTTCGGAGATCCTACTAACAACCAGAAAAGGGACCTTACTACCATGGTCTCTGCATGAAAAAGTTCAAGAGTCCATCCGCGGTTCGACACCATCACTACGGCACGGGAAACCTAAGTGGCGGATGCTGGGTGAAGTACGGGCGTCTTCCTCGGCGTTTCTGGTATAATCTATCCGAGCAAATTCAAGCGTTCGAGAAACTTTAGCTTACCGATATGAAGGAACGACCATGAGAGCTGTTGGAAAGATGGAAAGAGAGAATATTCCAATAACTCTGACCCCAACGCTCGCTATGAATTCGAAGATTTCCCGAACCTGCCGAAGTTCACTATGGCCGACTTCAACGTGCTCGACCAAATCAAAAAGTTTGGGGAGGAGGAAGACGCATTACTGGATCCGGCAACGAAGTCTCTCGATTGGTTCAACTACAAGTACGCGCGGAATGGAGGCCCTCTGAACAATTTCTTCGAGCTTGTCACCGATACGTTCATGACGCAACTGGCACAAGACAATGACGATACCCAAAAACTATCCCAAGAGCTATCCCAGATGCTTCGAGCCCGGATTACGGATCCTTTAGTTCTAGCTCGGATGGCTGCTGCGACAGGTCTGGAAGAAACTGTGGTAGTGGTAATGCAAACCTGGGAGGGTCTGATTAGGAGTCTCAGGGACAAGGGCGACATTCCCGCCGTGCTCATGGAGATGACACGACTGAGCATGTTCGTGGGTAGGTTCAGAGGGATGGAGGGTAAAATCAAAGCGGATGCACTGATCAATGAGCACTGGCAATCCCTCACCAACCTCGACGGCACCAAAGAAAGTGAAGCGGAAGACGAGGATGGTACAGCGACGGTGGCACAGCCAAGATCAACAACAGAAGCTGAGCCTTCTAGACCACCCAAACGCCGCCCAGGAGCGGCTCAAGCTGCCGTACCTCCCCCCAAAAAGCGAACCCAACCGACTAGAACCTCAGCGGCCAAGACGCTGCCCGCCCGCAACGAACCCGTCACACGCTCTCAAAAGGCCAACGGAACGTACGGAGCCAGGAATTGAGTAGGGTGCCATGGAAAGCTGGAGTTGTCCGAGTGGCGTGGGAGGATGCCTGGGGGTATCATCAGTAGTGCAAGGACAGATGGATCACCATCTGATACACGGCCTCAGTACATAAGCTTCAAAAAATCCAATAGAATCAGGCTTTCTCTTCACATTTCCATATGCGTGCCGCTGTTACACGAGCTTCGACACCCTCAAATGATCAACACACAATTGAGAGTTCTTCACCCTGTGGATTAGGACTTGCTCTACACTGACGGCTTCAACTCGTTTGACGTGCTTCGATAACCTCAAAACGATCTACACATAATTCAGAGTTCTATTCCCTGTGCATTAGGCCCTACTTACACCAACATCTTCATATCTGTGCAGAAACGAATAGCAAAGCCATGACCTTATGAATGAGGACTTGCATAACAGAATATATCCACTCGCTTACCACTGTATGGAGTACTTCAACGACCTCAGAATAATCCGGACAAATAGGAAGGCAACCGCCTTGAACATGAACCCCCCTTCCAAATCCTCCTACTGCTCATCCTCCTGCCCCCCATACTTCCTCACAATCTCCACAAAACAATGATCCAGCGTCGCCCTCCCCACACTATAAAACTCCACCCCTAACCTGTCCTTCTCCCGCTCCAACAACCCAAACAACCCCTCCACCCCTAGCCCCTGCGCGTTTTCCATGGACACCTCAAACCTCACCTGCCCACCCCTCGTCGCCCTCTCAATCTTCGCCCCGGGGACAACATCCAACACCCACCCCTTAACCGCCTCCATCTCCCCCTCACCACTATGCGGCGCACTCCTCATAACCACATGCACAAAATACGCATCCCCCGCCTCCCGCCGCATCTCCTCCCTCGTCCCCTGCGCCAACATCCTCCGACTCACAATCCCAATCCTGTCCGCCAGTGCATCCGCCTCCTCCATACTATGCGTCGTCAGCACCACCGCCCGTCCCTTCGCCACGGACTGCAGCGTCCGCCACAGCGTCCGCTTCGCCGACGCATCCAGCGCAGACGACGGCTCGTCCAGCAGCAGCACAGCCGGGTTCCCCACCAGCGCAACCGCGAGCGACAGCTTCCGCTTCGTGCCCCCCGACAGCCGCGCCGCGATCTGCGTCGCCCACGGCCCCAGCCCGCACGCGGCGATGACGGCGGCGACGTTGTGGGCGACGTCGGCGACGCCGCGGATGCGCGCAAAGAAGGTGAGGGTCTCGGTCACGGAGAGGTTGTCGGCGGCGTCGAACTGGGGGCAGACGCCGAGCTTCGCACGCGCAGCGGCGAGGTGCGTAAGGGCGGGGATGTTGGCGACGTGGATGGCTGGGTGGGGGGTTGAGGGCGAGGGGGCGAGGTCGCCGCGGATGAGGGAGATGAGGGTGCTTTTGCCGGCGCCGTTGGGGCCGAGAAGCGCGTAGATGGAGGAGCTGTGCACGGCGAAGGAGACGTCGTCGACGGCGAGGTTCTTATGGAAGCGCTTGGTGATGTTGGCGACGCGGAGGGCTGGGTTGGTGCTGTCGATGGGGGAGGGGAGGTGGGAGAGCTCGACGGCGTTGGAAGGGAGGATATTGTAGGCTTCTGGGTCTTTGGAATGGATGGGGGTGCGGGCGAAGGGGGAGTGGAGGACGAAGCCGCTGTCCCACCATAGGAGGAGGAGGAAGAGGAATATGGCTTGGAGGATGAGGTAGAGGATTGGGCCGCCGTAGAGGGTGATTGCTGCTGGGTTTGAGGTACCCTCTTTATGACATAGTAGCGCAAATTGAGAGAGGCCGATACACAGGGCTTGTAGAAGGTTGACGGCGGGTGAGATGAGCCCAACAGTCCAGTGCATCTTGTCGATCTCGCCGAGAAGATCAATGAAGAGGGAGTTCGACTTGATACCGATCAGGCCGCCGAAGTACACAAAGTACAAGACGAGCTGGCTAAATGTAGCCAGAGCCCATGCTGCAACCGAGGACGGTGCAAACATGGAGATGACGTAGCTGAGGAGAGCAGCCGTGATTCCGTAGAGGAGCATGACAACAAAGAGACACCCGATGCTGAACCAAGCTGGCGTGGCGATGGATAGGAGACCGGTACACACAGCAGAAATGACGATGATGAAGCAAGAGTCGAAGGCGAGATGAGACAGCCAGAGCGGAAGCGGTCTTACGCCGTTGGAGTACTGCATCGATCGCACATTTCGAATTCGCTCAGTAGTCGGGTACAATGCGAAGAAGGCCGGATATGCAACCATGATAAGGCCAAAATATATTATGAATGCAAGGACATTGAAGTCCACAATGTCCGGCATAGAGATTTGTTGGAAGTCGGCAAATCCGGTAGATATCGGAACACCGCTCACTATAATATTAAGCATGTTTTGCATGAGAACACCATCATAGCCGTTGTTGTCGTAGCTTATAGAGTAAGCTAAAGTCGGCGGGTCTGACATGAAAATGCCTCCGGGGTAAAGGGTGTTCTGGAACTTGGAAACGTAATCCTTGAACTCATCCAAAGTCTCAACCATGTGAATGCTGTCTTTTAGCTCACTCGTGTTGGTGAAGCCGCTATACTGTGGATAGGCGGTATACTTTGAGGAGTAGGTGTTGGCAATCTGCTCCAACGCACTGTCGGGTATCTTTGAAGACGGCCCCATAACCGTGAGCAGTCGCCAAGTCCCGGCGGAGAGGTCTGATCGATAGTTACTGATGTCGGTGAAGACTTCAGGTACAGGACAAGTTAAGGGTAGCTTGTAAGATTTTATGAGCATCGGGGCGATGCCAGCACCCACAATAGCGACTGCGACCGCAACGAAATAAGGTACCCAGCTTCGTCGAAGGATGGAAAACCGTTTACGGACAAGGATACTCCATTGCTTTGTCGCAGATATCGGTCGACCGTCCTTTAGTTGACTTATGCTAACATCATCGATTGTGACAGCTGCTTCTTTCTCTTCCTCGGTGGATGTCTTGGCTTTCTTTTTAGAAGATTTGCTTTTGATTTTATGCTCAGCCGTGGTCCGTGGATCATAGGTCTCGCCGGTGAGTTTTAAGAAGAGCTCTTCCATTGTGGGTCCAGAGACTTGATAATCGTGGAAGCCCTTCTGTTCGAGGACTCTTACAAGCTCCGCTGCATGTGCGCCGTCTGGAAGTCGGAAGATGGTTTGATTGTGCGTATCATCACGCGTAATCAAGTCCGATGATAGTGGGATATCAACATCCGTGGCATCGGATAAGGTGACGGTGTAGCCATTTCCGTATTGACTCTTCAAAGCTGCCGTCGACCCGGCGGCCTTCAACATTCCTTTGAAAATGATTGCCACATCATCGGCAAGGAAGTCGGCTTCATCTAAGAAATGGGTGGTCATGATGATCTGCTCATGGTGTTAGCGTATCCTTACAACGCTCGATGATCTCTAGACTTACTGTTCGTCTTCCACGTTCGGCGAGAAGAATATCCCATATCTTTCTGCGGGAGATAGGATCAAGTCCCGTGCTGACTTCATCCACACAGCAGACTGCACTGCCACCTGCGAACATCATGGCGAGCTGGAGTTTTCGCTTCTGTCCTCCGGAAAGAGTCTTGGATTTGGCATCCCGCTTATTGTCCAAGTCGCATGCTTTGATCAAAGCATCGGTCTCTGTTACGAGGTGATACGTGCCGAGGGATTTGAGGGATGTGAAAATTCGAATATGCTCTTTGACAGTCAACTCGCCCCTGCACATGAATTAGCATACATCATAATTTCGTGCTTGATGGTAGTGGAAACGGCTAGAGCTCACCAAATCACATTCGCCTGGGGCGCAAAGGCCAAACCTCCAGCGGGATCGATGGAGATAGATCCTCCGGTAGTCGTTATGGTTCCAGCGATAGCATTCAGAGTAGTCGATTTGCCACTTCCATTAGGACCCAATAATGCAAGAATCTGCCCATCGTAGGCTTTGAGATCCAAATCCTTAACGGCATATACGGTTTTTCTGCCCTTGAAGAGGCTACTCCATCCGAATGGCTTATAGCTGAGAATACACGTTAGGGATCGCCTCATTCATGAATTGATAAAGATGACGACTTACGTTTTGCTGAAGTTCTTCAAATCAACAGTCGGAGCTCTAGCATCAGCCGGCGTTGCAAACTTGCGGCCTTTGGATGCTGTGCCAAAAAGCAGTGCTTCTATACCGAATGCTAGCACAGGGTAGAGGAAGATCTGTATGATCAGGAACACCCATGAGAGATAGCCCTTGATGCGCCAAGCATCTTCCGGTGCTACCCCTTTCAGGCTCATCCTCATATCGTTGAGCTCGAAGCGCGCACAAGTGGTGATATAGTACGTGTAGTTCGACGTCGGGAACAGCAGACTAAGCGCTATGGCAATAGACTGGGTCTCTTTGTAAAGCACCTGAGGCAGTATGGCGAGAACCACCCCGATGACGGTCATGATCGATCCGCTTAGTTGAGCTTTCCGGAAAAACACCGCGCCGAGGAGAGAGAAGGAGACGAGGGCGAGACCGACAAGCAGGTGATATATTATGGAGATTGCGGCGGACGAGCGGGTGAAAACGACGGTGGCAATGACGATGCCGACTGCCAACCAACTCGGCAAGTATATAGCTGTGAAAGATATGTAGGTTGAAGCGAATCGAACGAAGCGAGCGCGCGATGAAGAGCCGCCAGGGATCATGGAGTCGATGAGCTGTGAAACGCCCATCTCACGTTCCACAGCAATGAATCCGGTCATGTGGTAGATAATGCCCACCATTGCGAAGGAGAAAATCGCCCCAAAGATATCAACACAGAACTCGAGGTACTGAGACTTCGTCTTACTGAGTCGATCTTTGTCGGTGTCGTCCGTGAAAAGTATGCTTTCGATCTTCGGAGGCAGCGAACCCTTTCCGGAGATGGATACGATTTGATCGTCGATAGCCTTCTGCAATGGAAGCATGTAAGTTTGGGCATTGTATTTGCCGCTGTTGACATCAGTCAGGCCGAGATTGGAATCGCTGCGGATGGTGTAGTTCCAAGTGCTGGTGGAGGAGGGTTCAGAGGAGCTTGACCAGAATGCAACGCCAGCGAAGCAAGGAAAGATGCCTTGAGCTTGAGCAGCACATTCTGAGGACAACTCTACGAAATCGGCAAACAAACGAGGGGTCTTTCCGGCTTTTCGAATGGTTTCAGATAGAGACGAGATGATCTTGGACACGTTGCCATTCTTGAAGCCGTTGTCAAAAAGGCCTACGAGGAGCCGACTGTTGTCCGAGTGCAATGCATCTTCCAAGGATGGAACCTGTCCAGAAAATGTTAGAGCATATACAATGACATAAACTTACTCTCCTGTTAATTGCTCAAAATTGATGCGGTCTTGAACGTAGTTCTAAGAATCTAAAGGCATGCATCGACGTGAAGTCTAGTTCCTCGAATTGCGCCTTGCATACAGCAAGGGGCCGGAGCATTTCAAGTCTATGCTTGAAGAAAAGATGACACTTACAGTAAGCTCTGGTCCAACTCCGTGGTGTTCATCGGAAGAGAAGAAGTCTTGAGAGTATCCAACAAGCAGGACAATGAGCAAGGGCACAAGAAAAGCCCGAATAAACGTCGATATCGGTCGACGTATCACAGCAATGACGAGGTTCTTCTTCGTGAGAGCCCACACTTGCCTAGGTAGTAGCATCTTCGAAATAACACAAAGCGAATGGTATGATGCGAAACGAGAGAAATGTGAGCAACCAGGAGGCGAAGGAATGGCGAATAGATATCACCCTACTGCCTGAGATAGTGAAGGGCCTCGCGAAGGGACAATCGCATTGTTTTCCCCCAGCATCGGTATGTCTAGGATTGTCATCAGTACCCAGTAGTCAGCCTTGCCAAGTGCTATGGGGCTTAGCGCCTGAGGACGCTTCGAGATCGACTAGTTGCTTGGAACAGTTTCGTACGAACAAGCTTTCCAATAACCAATAGATCGTGATTACCAACCCGTATAAGACGCGTACGCATTGATGCTAGCAGAGGGATAGCGGGACTTGCAGCGAATAGGAAAGATCGCTGCTGGAAAACGCCCTGAAGGATGAGGCCGTGCTGGGCACGGCTAACCTTACTCGTGAAAAACGCCCAGCAGACAGAAATAGGGTTTGGGACGGCTCCAAAGCCACAAGCGCATTTGGTGTGCTCGTTAACTTGTTTGAGTAGACGATAACCTGTATCCATTTAGAGAGGCAGGCGATGAAACCATGCTCGTTGTGTGTTGTCACGGGAATCCCCTATCCTGGATTAGCCTATCAAGCATTAGATGCAGATATATTAACGAATTGAAGTCGAACGATGCCTGTAATGATGATATTCAACCTCTTTCACGCGCGTTTGGTCTATAATTTAGTCTTTGCGTTCCCGAATGAAGCCAAATAAAAAGACCACTTGACCCCTAGCAGATTTACCCAGCCATCCTCGAGGAGCCCCTCTTTGCTAGCCCGGTCGAGTATTCCCTGAAGTGTATCTTGACCTGTAACACCAATGGAAATAGATACTATTCCCTCCGGCTTCCCTTCCTCGCCGCGCATGAAGCCCAGTCGGGCGTTCGTAAAAGCTAGCAGGTCGCGGCTTCGCGCAACGCCAAACATATCCTCCCATTGCCTCGGCGCCTCTTCGTGGCGAACGTCTCCGGGTGCCAGACGGCAAACCAGACCGCCCAACTGTATGTGTGTATTTCGCTTCATGATGGCTGAATAGGCTTTGTAATCTGGGCCACAGGCGTGCCAGGGCGAGAAGGGGGAGGTCAATGGCTTTGGGTTATCTTTCGAAGGGCGATGAGAGTCGAGTTCGGGTATTATGCCGCCTATGTCATGTCAGCGGATAGTTAAGATGGGGTGGAAGAAAGAGATTACCCTTCATGCCACTCGGGTGATACTGGACGGTAACAACATCATCATGCTCGTCGTTGAGTATCACCTTTCCGAGCTTATTCGATGTGATATATTCTCGCCTGGCTGCTGCGTCCTCATTCTGCATTATGATCATGTATCCACCCTCGCCCCTTTTCTTGAGTAATCGCCCTGCAGTCGTGCTCGCTCTCAACGTCGTGGTTGGCGCAACAACCTACACCTTTCGTTAGATAGAGCCGGGAAGGTTGAAGTTTGAATTCGAGCGCCTTACTTCGATGATGTCTCCTCCAATGGCAACTATATATTTCAGAGTCAGCTAGTGGCACCAGCAAGGAGATAAAAAGTCAAGCAGCTCCATACCCAAGAAATTCGCCAACCCAAATGCTCCAACCCTGGGATCTTCGTAGACGATTTCCGTCCCAAGAATAGAAGTCTGCCGCAATCGTCAGCGTCTATTATAGTAGCTTTCTCTACTTAGTTCTTCCTACCAACAGCCTCTTCGCCTTCGCCAGATCATCCGTCACGAAGGCGACCTGCCGCAGCCTCGTCGGCACGATGCCGCCAGCAGATTTGGGACCAGCTGAAGCCATATCGAACAATCGCGAATTCAATTCTTTCCAGCGCGGTAATTCTAGAGACGCGTTCTACATTTTGTAGCTGCAGCGGCTCACTCGTAGGACTAGGGTCAAGGTCCTCGGCCCTGTCGGATTCCCCGCATACTGGCGATGGTCGGCATTTCACGGTGGTTTTACAGGGCAATGGCGCTGCGCAGCCGTGGCTGTTGCGAGAGCTCACGTGTTAGAGGCCTTCTCAAGTGACAATTCCATTCAAGGCCACGATGGATGTTGTCAAAGGTGTGGAGTGCGGTATCGATGGAATAGTGGACTGCGGCGGAGCTCTCGGGGGTGAAGGGCATACGGTAAGTGTTGTATAATCTTAGTCGAGAATTCCCTACCACTTTCTGATTTGTAAGCCATCCTGCGATCTCGGACGGGTATGCTACTTCTTGCGCCAATAAGTGTGCCTCTCTCGTGTCTATTACCCAAAAGATCCGCTTATAGTGGCATAAGACCGCATTCTCCTGCTAGTTCCTCAGCATCGCAGGTGGCATCTATTCTCAAGAGAGCCTAGATCCAACCTCCTCGGTCAGCCCCCTCATTTCTTTTATCAAGTCTATCTCCAGCCGTCACCCTGCCGAGGATGCTACAAACTGTTTAGAGCAGCGCCGGTTCTGAGCTCCACTGTAGATACTTTATCCAAGGAAGCAATCCTGGGAGATTACGAAGACACGCAGGGCGTATATAAGCAGCGGTGTAGCACACGTATCGCCTCGTACATCGCATGGTACACTGCCTCGTTTCCCATATCCTCATATTTACAATTGAAATTTGCTCCCCTACGTCTGTCTTTTTCCTTTTCTAAACTTCCCTTGGCTCAATTATACTCTCAAAGATTGCCGGAACCATGTCCACAGCCACCCCCTCCACTCAAACGGGCTCCTGTCTCTGTGGCGCCGTCACGTACAATCTCACGGGGGCCCCTTTCAGCTCCTTTCTCTGCCACTGCGCCAACTGTCGCAAGTTTACTGGATCCACCTACCAAGCCAACTCGATGTATGCCGGACGCGACTCTCTCACTGTCACCAAAGGCGAATCCAATCTCTCCGTGCACGCCTACAACAACACCACCTCCGGCAATACATTAAGGCGGCACTTCTGCAAATCCTGCGGGTCGCCGCTGTTCATCTACCCGGACGCGGCTCCGGGTGTCGTTGTTGTCATGTCGGGAGGATTGGATGACCCAGCGGCTTTTGCGCCGACGAAGGAGTGTTTTGTGAAGGATAGGCTGCCGTGGGTGACGCCGATTGAGGCAGCGCAGTTTGAGGCGGTGCCACCGCACCGGTGAATTAGGGGTTGGGGTTGAGGGAGGAGGTGATGAGACTTTGATTTGGCAGGATAGGAATCAAGGTTATTTGGAGACTCGTATGGTAGCTTTTTTTTGTATATTACCGACCAACCTACCTCCTCCCATTTCCCATTTGAGTTGACGCCGTATCCCTAACTCGTATCAGAATTTTGCCCAGCTCAACTTCGGCTCAGCCGCTGCTTAGAATGCAAACCTTCAACTCACCTCGCTGTCCAAACTCCGTAACCAGCCTGATTATAGTGCATATAGAATCATCCTTGTCAGAGCTCCTAGTCGACCCTACGCGAAATCTGTCTCCAGAGATGTTCTAGTATAATGGCCCAACACCGAGACGCCAATTCTGGACCAGCATCGGACCAGTGAGTTGGGCCGCCGAGCTGATATCGGATGTGCTGTGGCCGAGCTCCCCAGATTGGCCAAAGCCCCCGATTTGCCAAAGCCCCCCGATTGGCCGCGTCGGCATCCCAGAGCTCTTGCATTTCCGTCGTCGACACCCCTATGCTACCTAGATACCTGTCCGTTGTGCTGCCCATACTATGTCTGATGAAATATACCAATGAGCCCGTGTAATTACGCCACTATGGCCGTCCAGGCTTTCCGCGACCGCACTCTGGCTCCGCGCCCGCAGGCCCCCGAGTTGATGTCCGATGCTGTCGCGACGCCGGCAGAGACCCTGAACAACGCAGTACACGAACGCCCAGCGAAGAGAAAACGGATCGCTTGCCAACGCTGCAGACAATCTAAGGTGCGTAGCGAGTGCCGAGTGGGCAGCTCCACGACGCAGCGGCCGCTCACTGACCCGGCGATTCGTAGCTACGTTGCGAAGCGTCCGACGGAGGTGCTCGACCTTGCCAGCGCTGTTCTCTCCACTCTTGGCCATGCATCACTGAAGCAGAACCCCAGCGCGCTAGCAAAAGACCGAACAGGACGCTGAATGAACGCGCCGATCCCGAGCCGCAGAGTACTCACCATATCAACCCCATTGCATCACCTCCTGCGTCGCAGACGTCCTCATTCAGAGCGCTGGCAGCATCTGCAGACCACGTATCAAGCGAGGCTCAACTCCCCCCCGAGTCTTGGTCCGATCGCTTCCCTCATGGCACTTCTGCTGCAGAGGCAGACGCCGAAGGAACGTCTCCGGCGGGTGGTCGTAGGCGTGAGGCGACGATCAATGGCGCACCGCTAGCGCTCGCTGTTAGGACTGCACGAACGATAGAGACTGTCACGATATATGCCGACCAAATACAGCACTACTTCGACGTGTAATCCTCCTGCTGAATGTTGCCCGTCCGGCCGGCCAATTTGACTGACTGGCGATAGATATTTTTCCTATTATCACAACTCCTTCCCCGTCCTCTTGATGCCTGTTTCCCCAGATGCCGTCTACGCAACCTCTGCTTTGCTCTTTTGGGCAGTCATAACGACGGCGGCCCGTCATGACAGCCTAGACTTTACGCTTCTGCCGGCACTAGTGCCCGCGGTCAAAAGGCTGCTTTGGTTGACCATCGCCTCTCCTCCTCACATGTTGCCATCCTTGGAGGCCATGTCCATACTTTGCATATGGATGTTTCCTGTTTCGTCGATGCCAACAGACCTCACGTTCATTCTGGCTGGCATCCTCAAGTCGTCGGCCATGCATACTGGGTTGCACCGACCAGACATCTTGACACACTACTCCAGCGCCCAATCTTCGTTGAGACCAGCGAAACTCAGAGAAGCCATCAAAGTCTGGTGCTGTACCTATGTTGCTACTGAAGGGTGCGTAGCCCCAGCATTTGCCCTTCTGCCTCACTCGAGCCACCACTCGCTGGTGGCATTCTCCCAATATATACTTCCATGACACCGAACTTTACGTCCACCCACTCCCTTTCTCGACGTTCCTCTTATCACGACACTAACCAGATTGGCGGCGTTGATTAGTGTAGCTATAGGAAACGGGCAACCGCCGTACTTCCCCGCCGACCGTACAATCGAGCAGGCATCTGCTGCGTCGAACCCCTACGAGTTGCCAGAGTCGTTGCACCAAGCAGGAGTCACGCAAGTATTTTGCAGCAAAGTGCATTCAACCATGTGTGACTTTGATAGGCTGGAAGGATTAGCTTCTCAGTCGACGAGAAGTTTGTTGCTCAAAGTTTTGGAACGAGATCTCCGAGAGCTCGAGGAACGGCTGAATACTCACAGATCTCGTACGTGTCCCAAAACATGTCCCTCTGTTGCAGTGCCCTCCATAGTGACTTTCACCAGATCGGACTAGCATCCACTTTCTCTCTGCTTGTTTCCAGCTACGAGCATACTGGCTGTTCGATGATGAGGAATCGTCTGCCCGCAGAGACGGCGTCATCAAAGCATTCGACACGGCTATCCGGTTCATCGACAAACTTCAATATGGAGAGACGGATGGCGGTCCTGTGAGATATCTCACATTCTTGGCTTCACGGGTGTGTTTTGCGGCTGCAGTTCTCGTATCCAAAGTCGTACATTCGAGCTACGGTCTATACGTCGACGCCGAGCGAGGAAAGCAGGCTTTCAACACAAGCATATCAATTTTCAAGCGGTGTTGCGTCGAAGACAACGACATGCATGGCCGGACCACAAAGGTTTTGGCGCAGCTATGGAACATCTACGAAGGTCAATCAGAAAAGTCCCAGCAACCTCCAGGCCTCTCTCTCAAGACCCGGTTGTTCTTCAGCATAGCACACGATGCATTATGGCAATGGCGTGAAGAGTACGCTGGAAACCCGAACAATGGGGCTCCCAGCCCTCCACCTCCACTTATGCCACCATCGTCCACGACGATATATGGTGGTCCGTTATCAGCAGAGCACCAGCCATCCTCGTTGGCACTTTCGCATTCACGAACAGAGCCTGGTAACAACATTGCGCACGCTTCGAACATACTCGATGATCACACTACGTCTTTAGCCTCAAATGCTCGGCAATTCCATTCCCCGGCAGAATTTTTTGATGCGGATCCTACACGAGAACCACTGCCTTCCGCCCCCGACCAAGATCATTTGACACGGAATAGTAGACTCCTCCCTCCAGGTGCCATGCAATTCGACATGCTCTTTCCGTGTGCTGTCTCGGGCTTTAGAGATTCAGAGCAACCCTAGTTGTGATCAATGATATGAAAGGACTTGGCCGCAATTTGTGTTGCAAATGTATCTTGTATTCACCTCCGACATTTTGCTTCCTTGAGTGAAGGAAATGTCATTCTTGGCATGAACGGGTTGCAATGTGTTGGGGAGATTTGAGATGCATTATGACCTAAGGAAACGTCAAGAAAATCAGGTATAGCGTCTCGATTGTTAAGATGTTATCAACTCGACTGGCGAGGGGATTTTGTGATAACAAGCTTAACATTTTACACAAGCCATCATCGTGCACATCCAATCGCTGGAATAGAGGCCCTCCCAAGGCTTGTGGCGCCCGGGGGCTGCCACGGCCTGACAGAGTCTATTGTCCGATTCGCGTTGTGTCCATACCTTCCTATCTGTAAGTAAGACGACTACATACTTTTCGTGGCCGTATTTCGACTTTTTGGATAGCGGGTAACAGATTCGCCGATTTTCGTCACTTCGGCTTGAATAACTTGGCGCTAACTCCGACGCCGAGAGCCTATCAGAGCTCATTCCGATGGCTTCGACAAACTATTGGAATTTCATTGCACCGACTCTGGCAGTCTTCCAGACTTTATTGCGCCATCTCCGTCGCCATCTTTGCATCGATTCATCCGCCTCCGATAGCGTCAAACGCGTGTTATAACGCGAACTTCATATGGAGCGCGGGAAGGGGATCTAATAGTGCTAGGGTGTAGCTGCACATATACAATGCAATAACCACTTCTCCCTTTCTCTTCATCACCGAGTTCCGTATTCGAAATCTCTTCTTGATTGGCTCCGCATTCTTTTCCTTCTGTTTTTTCCTGTTTCATTTGAGAAGTTCTTCGAAGTCTGCAGTGTACGTCGTCCATAAAATGGCCGAGAGACCATACGAACTCGTCCTGCTGGGCGCCACTGGGTATACAGGGAAATTCACAGCACAATACATACAAGAGCATGTACACCCGGACCTGAGCTGGGCTATTGCCGGACGAAATGAGAAGCGGCTCCTTGAGATTGCGGAAGAGCTCAAGCAGATGAACCCTGCTCGCATTCAGCCTGGCATGTTGCTCCGCCTGGTTTGATCAAGGTGTTGCGGAAGCTCATTAATTACAGTTGTCGAGGTTGTTGAGGTGAAGAGCGAAGATCTATCAGCAATAGCGGGCAAGACGAAGGTTCTGATGACCACCCTTGGGCCTTACGCCAAATTTGGCGAGCCTGTTGTCAAGGCCTGTGTTGATGCCGGCACGCATTACCTTGACGTGTAGGTTCTGTACATGCTATATACCCCATCAATGGTGGCTGATGCTTCCATTTTAGGACCGGTGAAGTGACGTTCACATACGACATGATGCGTAAATACGACAAAGCAGCCAAAGCCAAGGGGGTCTGCGTGCGTTAATCCAGGATTGACCGCTTTTCAACCTTTGACTGACGATGTATATAACAAATTGTTCCTCAATGTGGCATCGATTCAGTCCCATCCGATATCCTTGCTTACCTCTGCGCCAAAACCGCGCGAGAAAAGCTGAACGTCGGCCTCCGCGACTGCATAAACTCACTCCAAACACTGGTCGGTACCTTCTCTGGCGGCACATCCCATTCAGTCATCGGCCTTGTCGAAGCCTACCCGATCTCGTTCATCAACGCCTCTAGTAAACCCACCGCCCTCTGCCCCATCGCACCACCAAAAGCTACGCCCTCGACCATCGGGAGATGGTCGTCCCTCGTGGGTTCACGCCACGTCTCTGGCCTAGGCAGACTCACAGACTCCCCTCAAGCGCTCTCGGACACCGGAATCGTGTACCGATCCTGGGGCATATTCGACGCCGGTGCCTATTACGGACCCCAGTTCACATTCACAAAATACATGCGTGTGAGCAACGGTCTCATAGGCGCGTGCGTCCACTACCTTTTCGCCATCGTCCTGATCGGGCTTTACTTGCGGCCCGTGCGTTCCATTTTCAAGCGTCTATCGCACAGTCCCGGCGCTGGTCCAGACGCCGAAGAAGCGGCAAAGAACATTTTAAGCTACAAGGCTGTGGCTACTGCTGACGAGCCGCGGAAGCGAAGAGTGCATGCCACGTACCACTACGAAGGTTCGGTCTACTACATGACTGGAATCACGCTTACGGAGGCGGCGCTGGTCTTGAGTAGGGGCGGCGATTGCTTGGGCAAGAGATTGGGGGGTATGATCACGCCGACGACGTTAGAGATGGAGTATGTGGAGCGGCTGCAGAGGGCGGGAATCAAACTCGGCTGGGGGATGCTTTGATTTCCATGATAGGACCGTGCTCTTGGACTTAGCCCCTGTATGCTCAGGTTACAAGGCGGATATAGGTTCTAGTGGGATCGATTGTGCTCTAAGAGACCTTCGCAGATGTACATGTACAACCAGATCTTATGCAATCTAACCGTGGTGTTTCCAGAATTTGTATTCTGACAACTCTTTCCCGAAACTTCTATCTCTGTACACTTGGCTACCGCCGCCTGGGGTACTCTAGTACGTTATTAAAAGCTGTGAAATGATAGTTTTGAGAAGTCTGATAGCTCGCCAGGCCACCTCAGACAGTGCCAAACAGGTCAAGAAGCTTGGCGCACGGACCCCACGCTAAACCCATATAGCCCCGCGTCACCTCCGCGCCCACCCTCATCTAAACAACAAACAACACTTCGTCCACAGCTACAATGGATGACGACAAAGCTCTCGCGGAATTCATGGAACTTACAGACCTCGACGCGAAACGTGCAGCGAAGTACCTGCGTTTGGCTGAGAACAATGTCCAAGACGCCATATTGCTTTATTTCGACTGCCCGGAAATCTTCAACGGGACAATCACTACTGCCACTACTAATAGCTCCGAGGGAACTAACCGCAAACGTAAATTCTTAGAAGCGGATGATTCGGTCATATTAGACACTTACAGCAGCAAAGACCGGGCCCGCGACTTAAGGATCTCCCAGTTCGCTAACATCACCAACGTCGGGAATGTGCGTGCATCCAAGTATCTGCGCGTCAACAAGTACAATCTCGATCTAGCCATCAACCACTACTGCGACAATCCGAAGCTGTTTATCGACATGGATACTACTATCGTTTTGCGCGGATCCACCAAGTTCACGCTCCCCGGAGACCTGTTCGAATCGGCTATGGACAGATTCGACTCCCTCGTCGAGACCGGCGAGATCCTCTACAGCCCATCGGAACCTGATCGCATCGAGCACGACGGATTCGAGGTAATTGTATCCCCTTTGGCCTTGCTACAATTAATGTTTATTGCCGGTCTCTTTCGCAGTTCGAATTCCGCATCGTCCCGGCCATGGGCTCGAAGCCGCTGCTCGCCGCCGACGATCCCGGCCGCTCCCAGGCCCAAGGCCCCTTCGTCAACCCAGATCCCGCGTTCGTCCTGGCCAACGTCGGCACAGACCACGTCTTGGAGCTTAACAAATTCTGCGTTTTTCGGCCCATGCTCATCCTGCATACCCATAAATACGTCCCACAGGAGGACGATTTGGACGCGTCCGACTTGGCGGCAGCATGGGCGACGTTGGCGACTATCAATGTCGAGGTGCCACATATTGCGCTCTACAACTGCGGCGTTGATTCGGGCTCGTCGCAAGGGCACAAGCATCTTCAGCTCTGGCCGCACCTAAACCTGAAGGATAAGAAAGCATTCTACCTGCCGCCGGATGGGAAGGACCTGCCTTTCGGTGACTAGATTCGCCCCTCTCCTCCTTGATCGTATACTGATCAAGTTTCGATAGATACCCCGACTGTGCTTCCAGACTTGCCGTACCAACATTGGGTCGTTGGCATCCCCCGTTCCGCTAAGCCGGTTGACATCATCGAGTCCTACTATCTGCTGCTCAGGAAGACGAGAGAGGCTTTGGGAAAGGAAGACGATGAGGCTGCAGCCTACAACTTACTCTTCACCGCAGTCTGGATGATCATTATCCCTCGCACCCAGAAGGGCTGCAAGGGCCTCAACGCTAACGGCGCGGGTATGCTTGGCTTGGTGTGGGTGAAGGATGCGGAGGAGCGTGAGGAGTGGACGAAGCATGGCATGACGGAGCATCTCACACGCTTGGGACTGCCTGTTGAGAAGTGATTGTATGGTTCTACGGGGTGAATAGGATACCTGATTCTGGCTATGGTGTCAAGTATGTGCAGGAATACCAAATAGACTTTACAAATTCCTCTCTATTATGTCATATGGTGATCTTTTCTTCTCTCATTCCCTTCATCACCAAACGATTCAATATCTTTCCAGTCTCCTTGCCAACGTCAGACGTCACTCGGTATACTTTCAGATATCAGAATGAGACCGAAGGTCAGTATTTTGAACGATCAGGAAACTAGTCGGGGCACCTTATACGGTACCAAACAGGAGTACATAGATAAGAAAGTGAGTCATTTTAATATACTATTTACTGGTGGCTACGTGCTTAGATCAAGTCTGTATGAAGTTGCACCGTGTGCTGCCAATGTCAGAGGCGCCTCGGTATGTTTTCGGAGATCACAATGAGATCTGATTTGGGTGTTTTGAACGATCAGGAAATCTGTAGGGGTATCTCATACAGTATCAAACAGGAGTACACAGATAAGAAAGTAAGTTGTTTTCATCTATTTCTCACGAGTAGCTACTAAGCGTTGTGCCGAAAGCGCACCGGGTGCTGCCAATGTCAGACTTCCCTCGACATACTTTCCGATGTCAGAATGAGACTTAAGCTCAGCGTTTTGAACGGTCAGGAAATCAGTCGGGGCACCTCAGACAGTGTCGAGCGCGAGTACGTTAGATCAAGTCCATTCGAAAATGTACCGTGTGCTGTCAGCGTCAGAAGTCCCTTAGCATACTTTCCAACGTCAGGATGAGACTTGAGCTCAGTATTATGGTCGACTGGGAAACTAGTCGTGGCACCTCAGACAGTGTCAAGCAAGTGTACACAGATGACAAAGTGAGTTCTTTTGCTATACTGTTCACTGGTACCTACTAACCGTCATCGGCCTCCGATCAAGTCTATATGAAAGCGCACACCGTGCTGCCAATGTCAGAAGCCCCTCAGCATACTTCCGGAAGTCGTAATGCAATCTAAATTCAGTATTTTGGACGATCGGATAAGTGGTTAGGGCACCTCATACAGTATCACGCAGGAGTAAGTCATTTTGATATACTATTCAAGAGTAGCTCCTAGGCGCATAGATCAAGTCTGTACGAAATTGCATCGTGTGCTGCCAACGTCAGAAGTCCCCTAGCATACTTTTGGGAATCAGAATCTGATCTAAACTCAGTATCAGATAAATTGCCAGGGCACCTCATACGGTATCAACATGATGACAAAGTGAGCCATTTTCGTCTATCTTTGGGTGTAGCTACTAATCGTCGTTAGATCAAGTCTATACGAGAGTGTACATACAGTGTGCTGCCAACGTCAGAAGTCCCTCAGCATACTTTCGGGAATTAGATTCAGATCTAAACTCGGCGTTTTGAACGATCGGATAAGTGTCCAGGGCACCTCATACGATATCAAGCATGTGTACACAGATGATCCAGTGAGTCATTTTTATCTCTCATTCACTACCAAGCATTGTACTCCTAGCTACACGCTCAGTGTCCAAGAAGCAGAAAAACCGCCAGAAGTAGCATTATTAACTCTCCCAAAACACGAACAATCGCACCCAAAGTATTACCAGAAGCACCACCAATCGCACCCAAAGCCTTACCATGCATCCCGAAAGCATTACCCATTACGTCCAATATCTTACAAAGTCCGCCAGAAACCACCCCAATTAGGCCCCACTAACAGCACCACTTAGTACCCAAACGTCGTCATGTCGTACGCCGCGCGCTGTCCCGGATCCGACAACACATCGTACGCATCGTTGATTTCTGCCATATGCGCAGTAGCCAACGCGGCCTGCTCCGGGGCCACTCTGTCGGGATGATTGGCCAAAGAAAGCCTACGATACGCGGCCTTGATGACGTCCTGGGTTGCCCTCTTTGGAACTCCCAGCAAGTCATAATGGGTACGCTGTGTGGGCTGACGAGCAGGCGGAGGAGGTGCCTGACCAAAGAAGGAAGGACGCGGAGGGGGTCCCTGTTGACGCTTTCTCTGCTCGTCCCACTCTCGATAAGCCCTCGCCGCTTCCTCCATTTTCGCTTTCTCCGCGGCCTTCGCGGCCTCTTCGCGCTGGCGCTTCTTGTGTTCCTCTTCGTGGAAGCATCTCTCCTTCCACGCTTCCCACCTACGCTTGGTCTCTTTCAGCCTCTTTTCCTTTCGGATACGGGCCTCTTCTTCGGCCCGTTCGGCTAGCTCACGCTCCTTCGCCTCTCCAGCCAGCATCTTGTTCCAATTCTCACTGACTCGAGCCGCTGCGGCCCTCAACGTCTCCTGCTTTCGGTCATTTTCTTGCCTTTTGAGGGCCTCTGCTTCCTCTTCCTGCCTCCGCGTCGCTTCTTTCTCTTCTTGCTCCTTCCGCAGCTTCGCTTCCTTTTCCTTTCGCTCCGTCTCTTGTGCCTCCTTCATCTTTCGCCTCTCTCGTCTCTCTTGTTTGTCATACGCCTCATTCTCCTTCTTCTGCTTCGCCAGATACTCGGAAGCCTGACGACCAAGATACAAAATCTCCTCATCATCGAGTGCCATATCCGGAAAGGACATCATGGGCTTCTCCTTCCTCCTCGTGCGTCCATGCTTCGCAAGCTCCTCCAGGTCGTCGAACTGGCGTCGCAGCTCGGGATCGATGTCCAATCCTTCGTCCGGACTCTGGACGGCCTCGTCCTCTGAGAGCTGGCCGTGAAAGGCCCGAGCAATAGAACCGGCTGCACCAATGCTGTCGACGGGAGTCTTGCGATGGTGAGGCAGCGGTGATGCCCACTTACGCGAAGGAGCGTCCTCCTCAGCACGCTTCGGCGCAGTCTCGCCCGTAGCCTCGTCGTCCACTTTCAGGTTGTGGAAATCCGCAGGCACGAAACCAGCCACACCGGAGTAGTTGAGCGGCGGTGGCACAGCTTTGTATGTTGACCAAGTTCTTAGAGGAGGCTTCTCCCGAGCACGCTTCGGTGCAGCCTTGTCCGTAGGCTCATCGTCCACTTGCTGGTTGTGGAACTCCGTGGGTATATGGTAAGCTACACAGTTATGTTCAGTAATAGTTCAATGCCGTGTTGGTGTGATGACAGACTCCTAGTAGTAGGAGGAGCATCCCTTCGAGCATGACTCTGCGTGCCCTTCTTTTCTGCCTCGTCCCACATCTTGCGTGCTTTCTGCTGCTCGCGCAGGGCTTGCTGTTCTTCCCATTCCTGGGACAGCTGACTTACTAAGAGCGCGCCTTTCTGAGCGCGGTCGTGGGCCAGGAGTCGCTGAGGCTCTTCGCGCTCTTCGGAGTCGCTACGGATGACGATGGGCTGGCGCTGCTGGTGGCGGCTTCGATCGCTGGGTGTGTTGACATAGCCCAGACCAGGATGGGCGTCGGAGGAGGACGATGAGTCGGGGATGGTGGAGCGTTGTTCGAGATGTTCGAGCTCTTCGGAGTCACTCCGGATGACGATGGGCTTGTGCCGCTTGCCCATGGCGTTATGCTGAGACATGAAGAATGAGGGCTGGTTCTTTTTCTGCTCTGATAGGACGCCGGAGGAGTCCTCCTCGGAAGGTGATGCCTCTTCGTCGGACAGTTCGAAGTCTGAAGGCCACTCAGTGACCTCGCCGCCGCCACAAAAACGTGGGCCGATGTTCGGGCTTTGACAGACGGGAGTTCTGGGGCGAAGATCCTTTTCGGGCTCAGGTTCGGTTTCAGAGATACGGCCGTCGGAACAAGCAGACACAACGCTACCTATATCAGCGCTGTCGTCGTCCGAGCCTTTGCGGAGGAATACTGGGCAGTCGATAACACCTACGAGGACAGGAGATCCGGGTGACGAGATGTCTGAAGGTGTGAGAGAGACAACATGGTGGGTGAAGCGGGTGTTGATGTTTTGTCGGCGGGGGTTCGGAGCCAGGACGGAGGAGATATTGAGCGCGTGTGGGTGCGCTAGCGCGTGTGGCCTCGCCTGTTCACGTGGAAACCAGAGGCCGTCTTGGCAACGTCTGAGGTGGCCTGACGGGTTTGCTGGTGCCGCAAAGGGGTGCGATTCGCTCTTGTTCGGATCTCGAATAGTGCGTTGAGGCCGTTCTGACGGCGTCAAGACGGTGTACACAGATACAAAAAAACAATGACGAACCTACCTGCTCACGTGGATGCAGTGGATCTAATGGATAGCCATTCGAGGATGGCGATGTCTGAGGTGGCCTCGCAAGTTTCCTGGACGGTCAAAAGGATGAGATTCCCTCTCATCCAGATTCCTCAAAGCTCAGCGAGGCAGCTCAGACGGCGTCAGGAAGGGGTACACAGTTCTCCGAGATTGAAGTGACAAACTTACCTGCTCAATCGGTGGTGCAAGAGGCTTTTCAGGGGAACTTTTGGTAGTAATGTCTGAGGTGCTCTCACGAATTTGCTAATTGATCAGGACGACGAGCTTTCGCGGCATTCCATCTGAGGAAAGAACTTTGGGGCAACCCCAACAGCGGCAAGAAGGCCTACACGGATATATAAAAGGAAGTAGCAACTGAGCCCCCATTTAACACGCTCTTATGACCTTGTCTAATGAAATCGTGACCCGTGCTATACAAAGATTCATATCCATAGGTACATTTGGTGTTGATATCTTGGGGCGACAACGCAGGAGGCGGCTCAGTAAGTCGTTCAATCGACGCAGCATTCACATTACTACTGCGTATCCTCTCACCTCTACAAACTCAAGATATATGCGAGTTCACCATATCGTCGTCTCACAGCACTCGGGTCTGTCATCCTACAGATCCCGAGAAATGGCTCAAACTACTGAAAAACCGAGCGAAAAGAGGGTGTACAAGTAGCGCTCCCCAGAATCTAAGGGGGATATATTTCGATCTTCTAACTCCCAACCTTCTTCCTCTTTCGACTGCCTGCATTGCGCATCTTGATTATAGCCCATCACATATTAGCATGCAGAGTGATCGCCCCGCTTCCCCGTCGAGTCTATTGCTATACAGTATTACACTCGGGTTGCAGCAACCTAGGATCACCAACTCATACGGTTCACTTGCGTGCACACCACCCCCCTAGGTATCCCTCACTCTCCCTTTCTCTTCCTTACGGAGTTGTGGTGTTTCCTTGCTGTCAAGGGAAGGGAGTGCCTTTCCTTGCTGTCAAGTGCCTTTCCTTGGCGCCTTCCTTGCTTCCAAGGGAACGACCAGGGGAGCGCCCTAGGGGATAGTTCATCTCGTTCCTCTATATAGTCCGCCTTTACGGCATCTACAATACAACAGAGTTCACATCAATTCCAACCTAAGTTCGACGCAATGGGTTGGGAACAAGTTTGAGCATCTTAGGGAGGTGTCCATCTCAACGATTTTCGACCCGCTGTTCATGGTCTCACCAATTGTCCAATTGCCGAGCATGAAGATCTTCAAGACCAAAATGAGTTGGGTGGCCGGTCGGCAGTCACAGTGGAAGTGCAAGAAAGGTACTTCGGCTATAGAAGAGCTCATTCTGCGGGATTATCGCGCCCCAATGCATGCAGCTGTATCCATGGTGGAATCTTGCAAAGCACTCCACACGTTCAAGCTCCATCTTAGCGCACATAGCCATTCGAAGCAAACGTACACCTCGTTAGGAATTAGTATAATTGAGCATAAGCACTAGGGAGAGAGAGAGAACTTTGACATACCAAGGTTCTATTCAGCGGGATTCGGATTGCGGACTCCCATCAATGCTTTTTCAGATACATTTCCCGGACGAGGCTGTCGTCATAGAAAGTAGAGCATAAACTTCATAGTGAATACAGTTCTACCAAATTCATGTGTGCATACTAAATAGATAGCAGTGACAGAGAACGGTACACAGAAGGACAATTTGATTCATCGCTGTTTGGCCTGTATTATTTTACTAACTTACGGAAGACTTGAGTCATTCGAATACGTAGCCCCTAAGGGGTCTGCTAGCTGCACTCAATGTTGCCTAGGTCTTCCGGTACATTGGCTCGATTTTAGTAGAGACGAAAACTCTTTGACGTCACAAACAGGGCATTGAGCATTACTGACATTTGCTATACTATGCAGTTTGCTGCATGTATCAATGATGACAGTGATTCAGCACAGACCACGACAATTGATCTTCTGGGAGGCAAATAGCAAACATGCTTACGAGATGTACAGAACTGGGTCATACGCTTGGGCACAAGGACACCTCACTGTGCGGCGCTCCACTCCTGCTCGCTCGATAGCACTGTAAGAAGTAGCCTATCTAGCATGTCTTCAGTCAGTCAAACTGTAGCCCTATTCCACTGCGTTGAGTTTTACATACTAATTGGGACTCGGAGGGCCTATCGGGATACCCCAAGCAGTTTCTGCGAGAAGTGCCCAAACTTATGGCTTGGTCCTGTACCGTTTGAGACGTGCATCAGGTCTGGGGCAACCTGGGCGTCTCTTAGTTGCGTCGCCCGCGGAGATTCTCGTGACACTTAGAGACCAAACAAATTATCAGGTTCCCTATAAGTAGAAGAAGATTCTTGGTGTTATTATGGTTGAAGAAGGCACCGTGCAACCCCACATACGAAGAACATCGTCCCGTCCAAGGTAGACATTCGAGGATGAAGATCTTAGTAACAGGAGTAAGTGCAACTCTGCTCTCTAACCACGTCTGCATCTACTAATACCTCAAAGGGAGCAGGCTTTCTCGGCACACATCTCGTCGATTTTCTGTTGAACCATCACCATGAAGTCTTCGTGCTCGATTCGGTTTGGACCGGACGTGAAGAGACGTTCGAACATTTCAAGAAGCACAAGAAATTCTCTTACATAAGGTAAGATATAATAACTCCCACAATCTACACCACTCGTTGATCCAGACTTAGCGGCTGCTAATGTTACAGGCAAGACGTGATCGACCCCTTCCCCAACCTTCAAGTCGACCAAATTTACCACCTCGCATGCCCTGCAAGTCCGAAGAGATTCACTGAAGACCCTTTGAGGATACTCCGCACCTGCATCGAAGGAACAAGAAATGCATTGGAGTTAGCTCAAAGATGCAATGCTCGTATCCTGATTGCCAGCACCTCAGGAAAGTCAAATCTAACGTTCCCCAGACCACGTGACCCCTCGACCTAACCGAGACTGCAGAAGTATACGGCGATCCCCAAGAACATCCTCAGGGAGAGACATACTGGGGCAACGTCAATCCATTTGGTCCGCGAGCCTGCTATGATGAAGGAAAGCGAGCTGCGGAAGCATTGGCTTATGCGTATCAGAAACAGCACAACACGGGAGTCCGCATCGCTCGCATTTTCAACACCTACGGCCCAGGAATGCTCCCTGATGATGGCCGGGTGGTTTCAAACTTCATTCGTGCGGCGATGAAGAAAGCGACATCAAGGTGACCGGAGACCGGATGAAATTAACCCGCTCGTTCCAGTATGTCACTGATTGCGTAGAATCTCTGGCTAGACTCATGGATAGCAACGTCAGAACTCCTGTCAATATCGGAAATGATGAAGAGACATACATCTGGGATCTGGCGGATAAGATTGCTACCTCAGTTGCGAGGACTGGGAGACCAAAGGTCGTGATTGAGGAGGCTGCAGCACCGCCAGACGATCCCGTACGCAGGCAGCCGGATTTGAGTTTTGCTAGGGCGAAATTGGGGGTTTGGAATAAGGTGTCATTGGATGATGGTCTTCAACATACTGTGAACTGGTTTCTAAGTCAGTGGAGTGAGACAGAGGGATGAAAAGGCGGGCTAGTTTAAGACGTTGGGTTTTTGGTGCTCGCAAGCACCTGCAAATAGATTACCACTTTCAATATCGATCTACTTCCGTTTCTTCATATTTGCTTGAAATTTTCTTTTTGCATGGAGGCACCTCCTGCAGTGGTAAGTACCTAGAAAAAACCCACTTTCCACCCTACCTAATCTACGCGTTCCAGTTCTTTACATTCTATCCTTCAATTTCATACACCTCTAGACCACCTCCTACAGTAGTATACACATAGAGAATAACTCTGTTTTCGGCACGTTTCATCTACATCCTCCGGTCTATTACATCTTCCCCTCCATTTTACGCACCTCCAGAGTCCTTCCAACGGCGCTGTGAACCTTCCAAACGCATGTGAATCTTACTCGTGCAACTTACACCTTCCTATTTATGTCATCCTCTTCAAGATTTTACGCATCTCTAGACCACCTCCAACGGTGTTATGCACCTGGAAATCTCCTAAATTTTCACCACGTGCAACCTGAACCCTCGAGATCTTTACATCCTCTTCTGAATTTTTGACTCCGTGGATAACTTTAGGCAGTGGCAAATGAGCCCACAGAAATTAGAGTCAAGAAGCAAAATTAAGAAAAGCTCGAATAGACAGTTGCATTTGGAGTAGTTGCAGCAACAAGTAAATACGCTGAGGACCTACACGTACCCAAAGATCCACCAAAGGCCGCCATTCCGTCACAAGAACCACCGACAAACACCCTCTTTTCCGTCACAAGATCCACCAAAACACCCCAGAGCGTACCCTCCAGCTCAGCCTTCGGTCTCATGTTCCGCCGTAAACGTGTACTCATCCGGCCCCTTGCAAAGCCGTCCAGCCATTTTGCCGTCGTCGACGTCGTGGCAGTCGTACGGCGAAATAGTCACATTCGTCCAGAATGTGTACGGCTTGCTACAAATCAGGCCGTGTTAGTCATGGTTTTGACAATAGTGATAGGAGGCTGACTTACCCCGAGCAGATCCAGAAGAGCGACATATTGAACGTGTTGCCGGCCTGATTCACGTCACTTAACGTAATCGCGAACACACGGATGCCAGAACGGTCGTAGACGGCGAAGGTGTCGTAGGCAGCGTCGGGATCGAGGGCAGAAGGGTGTTGCGTTGTATCGCTGGCGTGGCAAGGGGCTGGCTTCAGGACGCCACCGTCGCCGGAGTTCGCAGACTGGCTGAAGCTGACATTCGCGTAATAGACGTGCTGGTCGTGATTGGTGGAGTTGTGCGAGGCGGCGAAGTAGCGGTAGTTCAGAATGTTGTAGCTGTCTGGTTTGCAGATGTCGGTCTGCCCTCCGGCGGCTGAGGGAGACTTGGGATGGACGTTGATCACGATTCCCGGGAGGAACGCGAGGAAAAAGATCAGCGGGAGCACCCACGCTAGGATCTTGAGAAGCTTCCGCCTCGAGATGCGGCCGCAACAGCACATTGGGGTGGGTTTCGGACTCGGCTCGACGACAGTCATTGGCTGGATCGAACGTTTGAGAGACATGATGTTAGTGACTTGGCTGGAGAGACGATGATGAGGGCAAGTTTCACTTTGGTGACGACGACGACGACAACGGCTGCGTGAGATGATTGAGGTCCATGAAAAGGTGAAGGTATGCAGTAAAGTTTGAGAAGGCACCCTGGGCGATGAAGATGATATGGGAAGAGCTGGAGGAGCCGTCGGTGCTGGTAGCTGAAAAGGATTTGCTACTTTGTCTGTGTTTCTTGTGCGTTAATCGGTGAATAGAAGACAAAGCATACTTGACTAGACAGCAATTGTGTAGCGTAAACTCTTCACACCTTGATATCGATTCCCTCATGCTACCGTTTTAACTCCCTTGAAACCCCCAAAGGAGATGCTCAAATTCCCATAAGTCCCTTCAGCCCATCCGCCATCTTATCCCAGCCGGGCAACTCTGTCTCGTAGAAGCCGTGCATAACCGCTCCTCCATCCCCTCCCTCGATGTCGTCACCAAGGTCCAGAATTCGCTTAGGTCCAATCGCAAAAGCGCGGCCATTGACGGTTTTATCATCCGCAAACCTCAGCGCCGCCGTAACGACCTGGCGCGAATCTCCCTGCGGCGCGCCGACGGCATCAAACAGCTTCAACCACTCAACCACCAGCGGAGTTTCCATAATCCACGGCGCGATCAGATTGACCCGGATCCCACGGTCAGCAAAGAGGGGTCGGATGCTTCGGAAAAGCCCACGGACGGCGTATTTGGAAGAGGTATAGCTGCTCATCAGCGGGATGTCAAAGTATGCAGCCAAAGACGCGATGAGAATAAGACTCGGGGGTTCCGATTTTGGCGCTGAGCTCGGCATTTTCAGGTACAGCTGGGCTAGTTTCGCGGTGTAGAAAGCACCAATGCTGTTGACTTGCAAGGCCACGAGGTTTGGAGCCGGGGGATCGTTCTCGAGGGTCACGGGAGCTTCGTCGGCGGCGAGGAATGGGTCGCCGAAGACGCCAGCGGAAGCAACGACAATATCGAGAGTGTTTTTTGTTAGGGAGAAGGCAATGGCGGCCTTGAAAGCGGCCACTTGGGACGACCATGATGTTACATCGGTGGTGATAAATTGCACGCTGGGAAGGTCAGGTCATTCAAGCGTAGAAGTATGAAGGTGTTTAGAAGTACTGTAAGCCTTTTGCTTTGAGTGTCGCAACGTAATCCTTTCCGAGAGTTTCGTTGATGTCTGCGAGGGTGACATAGGCACTTAAAATAGTTAGAATCTTTATCAGTTTCTGATTTGAAGGAAGGAGTCTTTGTGATGAGGACGTACCCTTTCTCTGCATATGCCAAACCGATTGCAGCACCAAGTCCCCGGGCTCCACCAGTAATCAAGATAGATCTGTCTTTGAGCGAAGAGCCTGACACCGAAGCAGCAGCTTCCTCTGGGCTCAATTTTGCGGAAACTGGGATGGCATCAACTCGAGACATGATTGTAGCAGAACGAGGTCAGATGCAGAAGGCAGGCCGACTATACAAAGCAAGTGGATGTGGAGCCAGATACAGGAAATGCGAAACCTAATTATCCAGCGAGAAATTGGACTTTAAATATCCACTCCCAGAAATATACCGCAACGGCTGCGTGCCTGCACTAGGCAATATCGTCCTGTTCGGAGGTCGGCTGGAATCCGGCATACCCCTCCAGAGCTGTCCACCTGCATTGCACCATGTCTCATCACTACCCGTGCCGCATCTCCCCGGCTAGCGGGTGGGGCGTGTGATTCGGCAGCGTCGCGCCGCTTGCATGAAAGATGCACTCTCGGCGACCGAACAGTGAGGGTCAGCCGCGACATCCTGGGGGTATGATTCAGCGCGAATTTGACCCCTAGCTTCGGTCCTCGTAGTTGTAGTAGAGCTACTTCAAGTCAAATCCCTGACTAAAGTATCGTAGCAAAGTAGCTTCTCGGGAACAGGGGCCAGTGGACGTCTGAATAACGCAGTCTTCGAAGCGTGCAACTGGCTTTGTGGAGTGCAGGAGTGATGAAGCGCGCATCAGACAGAACTTTTTCTTATGTCTGGCATCTGGAGCAAAGCAGCTTCTCTGGAGAATCCCAGTGGACGCATGAAGGACGAAAATGTGTATCAAGCGTCTACTGACTTCCTAGTTTAAGGGGTGTAAGATTGATGGGGCTGACTTGCGACGAATGCCTTTTAACATCCAATATCTGTTCATAGCAGCGCAGGTTGTTCGGAGCAGGCGTACACTAAGTATGCTTTAATTTAAAGCATTTACATTGCCTTACAAGAAGCCTGTGTACATTCGTTTGCTACCGCTGGGAGTTCACGGAGGCTTTCAACCATCGGGACAAGATGCAAACGTTGACGTGCGTGGATCTGAGTCGGTGCTCATCCCGTCCGTCAGCTATCGTTCGATGACGAAGTGCAGCTGTGATTAATCGCAGATAATTTCGTAGCGCCCTAACCAATTATCGTCTCCTTACATTATACTCAAACTCTTTGTTGCCTCCGAAACGTTCGAGTAAGGCGATTCATCGATCGAAAGACACTTATGTCATGTCAGCCACCCTCCTTGCCTTATTAGTCGACTTGAATTCCGCGCTCGACCCTTCCTGCACACTAATATCGCGGGTGACGATAATGCCTCCACCGTTCTGCTTGCCGCCTGGGCCTATCATGGTCCTTCCTAATATCCTCCGCTGGCTCGCTGTGTCCTCGTCGCTGATATCACTTCGATCGTTTTCCCCTCGCCCAGTAACAATCGTCTCTATTCCACTCTTAGATCCGCTTTTAGACACATCGCGCAGTCGATAGCTTCCGGGATAAGGTCTCGGGGTGTGGCCGTCTGCATACGAGTTGGGGTCGGTACTGCTACCGAAGACCTTGTTGAAGAGAGGTTTCAATGTTGCGACGGACCCAGCGATAATACCGAGGCCGATTTCAACGGTCGACCAAATTGCAATCTCTGCGATTCCGTCTGTGAAGATGTTAGAAGTGACCGAGAGCCCCTGGGGGCTGACATGTTCTTACAGAGGTAATCGTTCGCGTTTCTGTAAGAGGGAATAGCCTTGAGACGAATCAAAGTTGCCGTGCTTGCGCTAAAGAAAGGCAATGAATTAGCTTTCCTGTCTTCACCACAACGAAGATCGGAGATTGGAACCTACGCGGCTCCCATGCCCAGGATAAAGCAGACGGAGATTTTTAGTTTCGTTCGCATCTGGATGTCCCAAAGAATGAAAGCCGGCATTACTGCACAAGTCCAGTCGGTGACCACGTTTACGCCTGAAACCAGGTAGCTCAAAGCAATAATCATCTCAAGTGAGCTGCACTTCGCGCCTTTGATCGACTTGTCCCAAGTGGCCGCCATGGGGCGACAGGTGGACCAAACCACGACGCATGCCATGAAGGTGCTGATGCATGATAGCACGATTAGAGCCCAGAGTATCCTCCGAAACAGTTTCTTGGTGGTGATCCGGAGGAGGGAGATGCAGATAGATGCCTTTACTGGGACAGTGCTTGTGACGTAGAAGAGTTGCCAGAGTGCGAAGTACTAGATTTGATTAGCTGATCGATGCAACAATGCAATATCAAGAACTTTGATCAACGTACCATCACCCCATCTTGCATTTCAGTCGCGGAAGCGCCATAATTGTGTACGCCAAGACCATGATGTGCACTCATTGTTGACATAGCGACAGTCACAACGAACAGAAGCTAGTCAAATGTCAGCTCTCCTAGCATACTACACTTTCTCAAGCTCCATACCAGGCCAACAAGCAATAGCCAGTCATCGGTGCCCAGGGCTCCCCGAGAAGATCGGATCCATACTCGTAATCCTAATGTGATGCATGCGAGTGATAAGAAGATGCCGTTGACCACCACAAGGGTCAATGCCATCTGCTTCAACATGATTGCGGTGGTTCCAGGCAAAAAACTATAAGATGGTAGGAAGGAAAGGTGTCAGGTTATTGTGAAGAAAAGAAGTCAAGACGCGTGCCAATTTCGAGGTCTCATTGCGGCTAGGGAGGATATTGAATACAAACGAAGCTGAAGAGGCCTGGCCTCGATAAAACGGGGCATATCAATGCGTTCCTGGGGTTTGTGGCGATCTCAAATGCCGTCTAAATGTAACCGCCAGCAGAAGACGGGAAGGAGTTGCGTTGGATTCCCCTCGGTTAACAACGAGGTTGCTACCATCTAGTGTAACGAACGCGCTTTGAGCACAAGTCTTAGACAAAGACTAAAAGGAGGTCCGGGTTGGCAAGTATCCAACTCAGGTCGATCCCTGGGAGAATACTTCAACTCCTTGCTAGACCGAAGTTTGTTCTGAAGCGAACAGCGGAGCCTTCTTTTCTAAACCAATGAACAACTGTGGCAGGACCTAGCCCTCTTCCCGTCACACCGCTCAAGGCGACCATGCTCTTATTGGCGGCAGAAGTTCGGTGCTGGGTGTTGACGCTCTTCCCCTAAGGACCCAAGGGAACTGGCTCTGGAACCCGAGAAGCTGCCGTTGTGGAGTGCACCCGCATTGCTTGCAGTAGTCTGGTATCCATGCAGGGGCCAGAAGCTGAGACGTGACTAGATAGGTGTGCTCTTCTGACCCTCAGACCCACATAATCTGTGTCGAGTCAACGGATTCCATCAAGAATTTTGGCATCTTAGAAAGGGTTGACTCCACAGGAAGGTGTTTTCATCCAGGAGCCTGACTATGTCAACTTGCGCAATTTGGAACAATCATCATGAACCCGGTGCCGTGGCTTTCTGGCGTCTCAATTGCTGGATATTCGCACTGTTACCTCGCACGGTCACTGCTAAGCATAGCAAATCCACTTAGGCAGAGTTTTCCCTGTCATGACAAATCGAGGGAGCGGCCCGTATGTGGGGAAAACCGGTGGCGGGCTCCTTGCCCCGTTCCCAGATAGTGAGGCGGTCTGCTCGGCCATGAAACGTAATGCCACACAACGTTGATTGGCTAACATTTAGCCACACCGTAAGTCATCTATGCGGTGTGTTCAAGCTCCCAAGCAGTCAAAGTGCTAACCGGGCGCGAGCAAATCGGGACTATGAGTTCGAAGTTCAGCCAACACAGTGTTATATCCAACTTTTTCCTAACAAATATCTCAGTGCGTACAAAATGAAAGCTGAACGATGTATCTTTTCTCACATAATTTTGGTTTCTGAGTGAAAAATAAATATGCTTTAGACCGAACGGCCTTCGTCGGCATCTGTGTCCCGAGGTGTACAAGGATCGGTAGAATTGCGATCGCTAATAATCATTGCCCCGACCCTGGTGCTTGAGAAAACCCAATTTGAGGGTTGCTGCGACGAGGTGAGACAGACAGAGGATTCCCCTTGTATTATTGCATTCCGGAGTCCAATGTGCATGATCGGTGAGCGCGGCGGGTTTCTGTCCAAGAAAGCAGCAAACCTGCGGCTAAATAATTGGGTTGGCGAGAATAAATTTACAGGAGTATGGTCATCTGGTCTTATGTATATCCGGTGGCGCGAGATGAAGGACTACCACAGCGTTCAAGGGGGCGGGGTAGTGAGAAATTGCGCAAATTCCCCTGAAGTCTGCGAGCTGGGGTGGCCTGCGAAGCTCAATTGCGGAGAAAATGGGCGTCGCTGCTTCGGTGTTCTCGAATCGTGCCAAGTAGTGTTCGTATCAGAGCGGAGAGGTGGTTCTTTGAATCCTTCCATATCAGTATCAGCCGTCGGTCCTCTCGGACTGCTCAAATCAAGAGTAAGTCAGCAACCATATCGTCCTCGTGCTACCGATGCACGCGGGCCGCGATGCACATTTCCACCGGCAATATCCTCCCGCCTGCCTCTATCGCCATGTTGTCATCCGTCTCGTATGGCATTTGCAAGCGAAATAAACTCAGAGGAGCTCCAACCACCCTCTTCATCGCATCAACAATCTCCGTCTCCCAAACCCGTCACTCCTCTATCGTAAGGCTTCGTTCACTACTGCGATAGTTGATGAAGTGGGCCTGGATCAAATCTATAGAAAAATGCTCAAGTGTGGTCATGGAGGTGACGACGTCCCAAAGAGGGTCCACTAGGTTTTCGAATCTGAAACTGACCCGAACAGAGGCAGCTTACGGGAATTATCAAAGTCATTGGCGGTGCATGTGCTCCTTCCGCAGATGTCGTAGATTACCTTCTGCACAGAGCGGTGGATGTGGAGGCAGCGGATTATTGCGAGGTGAGAAGGAAGGAGAAGACGAGCGAGTTCGATGAGGGTGTGATATCAGTATGATGAGGGAGTGAAGCAGAGGGCGTTTGTGGTATAGAGGACACTGATGGTTTCAGAATAACTGTAATCGACACGTAAGTTAAGAACTAAAGTGGGCATCAACTTTCAAGCTGTTCAGTGTTCATCAATAGATTCCGGACGCTAACGTAGTCGGCAAGCTAGTGGGCCATGCAAGCTAGTGGGCCACCCAATTATTGGTGCGATTTAGACCTTTTAGCACCCTAGCAATCTTAACAATCACAGAATATTCCAGGTTGTGACTTAGGATAATGATATCCGTGGTTATTTTAATATCATCTGTTAATTTTTTAGATCTCTTGATAGCCCTGTTTAGCCGCAGTAAAATGTTGCCTAGTTTTGGCCCCTAAAATCAAGTAATACCTACAATATAATAGGATTACGCTGCTATACTGCTCCAAACATTCTCTTAGCTATTAAAATGAGCTAGATAGTATATGCAATCTTAAAGCTATACTTTATATCTCGTAGTTGTTGAGATTGCTGGGGTGCTAAAAGGTCTAAATCGCACCAAAAATTGGGTGGCCCACTAGCTTGCATGGCCCACTAGCTTGCCGACTACGTTAATCCAGGATACAGGTTATTAATGAGCATGGCCATCGTTAGGCTGAATTACCCCTAGGTGCTATCGCTTGTGATTCCGGAGCGATGGCCTCGTTGGTCCGAAAGCCGTCGAGAATGTATCAAGGTGCACCATCGATGCGAACCAACAGTCGATCGAGAGTCACGGCAAGAAGCGTGTATTATTCTCAGTCGATATCAGAGAGAAAAGCAACATACACTCACAATTTTGCGGACACGCAAGCAGTAGTGGAGTTCGCGCCACAAACGACTCCCAATACCCACAATTAGAATCGCACTCGAAGCCGGTGACCCTAGGGCGGCAGCAATCTTGGCTGCCGAATCCGCCGTGGGACGAATGATTGAGATTAGTTAGCGCGTCGCCAACCACGAGACGGAAGATTAGTTGGCGCAGTTCGAGCGGCAGTTTCTGGACAAGGACAGAAGAAGTCTGGTCGGCTGTATGCTGCTGAATGACATCACGAGACTCGATCAGTGGCAGGTAGGGCAATTCTTCTCCCGTACCATGGCGTTCGGCGCGCTCGAGGAGCGGGAGAGTTAAGGCACGCGGTCGCAAAGTAAAGAGGGGTAAGCTTGATGGTACTGGAGGTTGAGGGCAGACCGTAGCCGTGATAGGTGGGTCGATCTAGAACTGGTACGGCTAGGAGGACGGATGTACGAGATAAGTTTCGTAAGTTTGTTGGATACAGACTCGCGATTCATGGTTTTCGACTGGCTGACTTCTCAAGGCAATGTAATGTTCCAGTCACTAAGCCTTCATGAAAGAGGAGACGATCACTACTTTGAAGATAGGTGATAGGGTTGCGCTGTCGTGGAGGATGCCCTAAGACGAAGACGAATTGCGATGGGCGAGTGTACAGTACAGTGCAACGATCGTTGCCAATGTACTGATAAAACATGCGAAAGCTTCTCGCTAGCTTGACATAGGAGATTCATCCGAGCGACGATAAGTACCTAGGTACGGCTTATCTTAGGATGCCGGAACGTCAAAACTACGGAGGGCCGATTCCATGTTTGACCGTCTCGTATGCCGTACCTAGGTAAAGGCTTCTCGCCAAGATTGACACGTCAAGACTCCTTTCGTTCAGCTGCAACCTGCAACCAACCCGCATCCAACCTGCGTCCTGCATCCTGTTCTTTTTCCGTCTGCCGGTGCTGCACCATGCGTTGTCAACTTCCCTCGGGAACTGTCCCACCTCCGCGTTCTTTCATTAATATCGATCAGGCGGCAACCCGTTTGCCTCATGACCGCTAATATCTCACTCTATGCGTTCCGTCAGCTTCATGGCGGAGTTACGCAGGACAACGACGACACCAAAAAAATACATTCGCTGTTGTAGTAGATGCGCGGTGTCTTCCATTGTCACATGGGCAATTCAAAATCATCTCTCCTTGATTTTCATCCAGTCTTTCGCAATATTTACTAAATCACCTACATGCACCCCAAGTATCCTCTATCCCACTCAGCTGAGCGGACGCTCTAATTTTGTCGCCGCATGAGCTGACCGCCCTCTCGAAGTACGCACCCACGCAGCCGCCGGACCCGGAATCTGCATGCAGTACTTCGAGTCCTGACCGGTTCGCCTTCCCTTATTGGCCCAAGGAGCAGCATCCCTCACTCCATGCACATGAGGGGCACGGTAGGCCTAAACCCTCCTGCACCGAGCACGTTCCAGCCAGGTCCTCCCAACAAGACTGTCGAACGTGCAGAACCTGGGCCAACCTATCCATGGATTTGGGTTGAAGGGCCCACTTGAACGTGGTTCCCACGAGTTGTATAAACTTCTACGCGCCAATGGCCTGCATCCGTAAGCGCGGGTTCTTCACTATCTGCAGTGGCGTTGGGTCCCGCCACTTCTAAGTTTCATCTCTTGTCTAGATACCTCTTAGTGAGATAATAAGCAAGATACCAGGGCTCTACGCCGCAGCTATCAGAATGTAGTTTCGCCTACGCCGCAGCCCAAAAGCAAGTCTGGCTTCCTCATGACAGAAACATGGGAGTCACAGGATTCACGGTGGATGATCTGGAACGTTTACCGAGCATGATAGAGCTTAAAACTTCATATTTCCATTTGTCACACCTTCCCTTTGCACTTGATTGGGCAGTATCTCGATCAATTGACACTAAACGATGCTTGGACATGCAATCCCGAGGCCAAACCCGTCAGATCTAATCCCAAAGCTCAACACCCACCGATCATAGCCGGCAGGACTCGAGGATGCGAACCATAGAGCGCTACAATCAGCCAGCTGAGATCCACTAGTGACTGATAGCTGAGATCCAGGGCGGAAACTCGGAAGCGAGGTAGTCGGACGCGCCCTCAACCTTGTTGAAAGGCTGAGTATAAGTCCCTAACGCGAGCCGCCACTTACGAGCGGAAGAGAGGATACCTTTCGTATTTCAACACGCTGAATTATTGGTCCCGTCCTACCCCAGCACTTCGGTCGCCCTAATTCTTCCTTACTCGGCTTGACCCCCCTCTCTACTGACTATACATCTATTTCCACCCTCCATAGATCCCTCTTTGCACGTAGTTCCTCTTCGTAGCCTTTCTCTGCTTTTTGTCCCCCCGCATCTTCGTCCTGAGAAACTCGTATAATCCCCAATTCGCTCTACCGTACCAACCTTCACATCTCCCAAAAGTATAGCTTACTTGTGGAGTCGACTACTTGCGGGAGCAGATCTTGGATTGAATTGGAATACTCTGTATTAGGCGTTTTATCAATATCTTACACTTGCCAGACGCGGCGCGAAACCAACATGGAAACTGTATCGCCCCAATTTCACGGACCGTCTCCGCCTGAAATCCGGAATTTGCCGGAAAGGCACCCTGAGAATGCGGCGTCGAATAATCAGACTATCATGATGGACAAAGCGAGAAAGGCAGCTTCGTTCAATACCTACGAGCTGACATGTTTGATACATGGCGGGTGAGTAAAAGAACCCTGCACGGCATCATCCAATTCAAAGTTCAAGCTGACTGACATCTATTTAGAGCTGATATTGTCAAGCAGCGGAGAGCTGCCTTCAACCGCGTCGAGAAGCTCACTGGTACCCTAGATCCTAGCAAGCTCCCTTGCTCATACGGAAATATGGATCGTGAGCAAGCTTATGACGAAGGTCTCGAGTGGGGGAAGGCAGCGTTCGAAGACGGAATTACCCATAAGCATACCATTTTCGACAACATTACACCCCGATATGTTCTCAGCAATGCCAGTCCCTTCGGGTTGACCACAGTGATGTTCATTCCAACGTTGAGGCTTCAGGCGACGGCCGAACAACGAGCGAAATGGCTACCTCTTGCAGAATCGGGGAAAATCAACGGCGCGTACTGCCAGACAGAATTAGGCCACGGAAGTTTCGTAAGAGGCATCGAAACCACCGCCACTTTGGATACCAACACCGACGAATTCGTTATTCATTCTCCGACGCTTTCATCTACCAAGTTCTGGCCTGGGGCTATTGGCTTTTCTTGCACTCATTCTATCGTCGTAGCCCGCCTGATCATCCGGAACAAAGATTACGGACCGCACCTTTTCATGGTGCAGTTCCGGTCACTCTCGGACGGATTGCCTCTGCGTGGGATCGACTTGGGAGATATCGGACTCAAGATGTCCTACAATGGCACATGCAACGGCTATGCTACATTCAAGAACGTTAGGATTCCGAGGTCTGACATGCTAATGGGGAATGCTTCGGTCAGTCCTGAAGGCGAGTACAAGAAGAGTCCGCATGCAAAGCTCTCGTACGCAACCCTTGTCTACGTTCGGACCGTCATCGTGCGTGCCGTCGCCTTCCAGCTCGCGCAGGCTCTTACCATCGCAACTCGTTATTCGATCGTTCGGGAGCAGGGCTTGGGGCCTAACGGTCTTGCTACTACCGAATCAGCTCTTATCGACTACAAGTCTCAATATTATCGCCTCCTCACACTAACTTCGAAGGCGTATGCAATACTCTTTGCGTCTCGCACATGCGATGCTGAATATGCAATCCTTCGCAAGCAACAAGACGCGGGAAATCATGGAGGGCTACCATACAACCACACTCTTGCTGCAGGGCTGAAAGCATGGGCTACCCAGGCAGCTTCCGACGGTGCCGAGGACGCTCGAAAGTGCTGTGGTGGGCAAGGCTACCTCATGACCAGCGGGCTACCGGAGATCGTTGCCAGCGTTACTGCCACAGCGACCTTCGAGGGCGAGAACTATGTGCTTTGGCAACAGGTCGGTCGGTATCTATTCAAGCTTATTGATACCCTCGCCGATAGGAAACCTATCGAGCCGAAGATGAATTACTTAGCAGATGGATGGGCCCATTTCTCATGGATGAGTCCTCTTGCGACGTGGAGACCATCAGATGGCTGCGTACATGTCATCCACGAACCGTGTTCCGCGCGCGGCGAACAGTTCCTCGATGCAAATGTTCAGCTATCTATCTACCGCCATCGCGCGCTTCGACTCATCTTCAGTGCGTATACCGCCCTCCGGAGTTCTTCATTGCCGCCAGCGGAGGCGTGGAACGAACACATGATGAACATCATCAACGTTGCGCGTGCTCATGTCGAGTTCGTCGTCCTGCAAGAATTCGTATCGCACACCTCGACCCTCCCAGCTTCACCGATGAAGACTGTACTCGTTAACCTGCGTTCCCTCTTCGCTTTGTCTACGATCACGAATCCAGCGTCCATAAACGCAATCAGCTTCATCGAAGATGGGTATCTGTCGCTATCACAGCTCTCCACAATCCGCGATTTAGTCAACAGCCTACTTGACAAACTGAAGCCGGAGATTGTAGCCCTGACAGATGCGTGGGACTTCACGGATGCCAGTCTGTGCAGTGCGATCGGAATGAAGGACGGAAATGCGTATGAGACGTTGATGAACTGGACCAGGCAGATTCCTATCAATGTGAATGCGAAGAAGGATGGTGGCGTGTATAAGTCTGGATGGGACGGATGGATTGATCCTGTGCTCCGGGCGAGGTTGTGAGGAGACGAGAGTAGGTCCTGGGCAGATTATATCTCTTCTTCGTCTTCGATCTCAGCACTGTCTATTTGCTTATGTTACATTCGCTTCGCGATTCTCGGATTCTCCACTTTGGCGCCTTGGGCGGTTTCTGTGCTTATTTCCCATCACATCGCTCGTTCTCTTCACCGGAGCAATATAGTAGGATGTTTGGGGACGTCAGTATGGTATACATTGGAGCTAGGACCAGAACGTACGTACATAGGTAGTATGACAGGCATGTCTTCGGCGAAAACGAGCGGCTCGGACCTCCACTTTGTCAAGGAATCCAGCACTCTAGCAGCGATCCTTCAAGCGATGAATGCATCCCGCATTCTCTTTCGTACGAATGAAGCCGACTTGCGACATTTGACGATGGAAAATCAATCTGCCATCAATGCGCAAAACAAACTCCAAACTTCTATTTCTAACGTTAGCTAAGTATTATCGCCATTCTTCACGCGCTGGCTGAACGATCGGGGTATTCTTGAGTAGAATTCAGGATAGACGATGTCTGCGTAATTAAAAGGCCTTGTCGATGGTTCTACTGTATTACCTTTCCAACTTTTCCTGAGTTTCGTCAAATTTTTGCGACATTCTCCATATCCTTCTCTTTTCCGCTTCTACAATGCCGAGGCAGTCCTTTTAAACATTTTCAAATCGACAATTCAAGATCATCACCGCATTGCCATTCCTGCGGGTCCTAACGAAAGCGGTCGCACACTGTCGTAGCCATGATCACTTTTTGTGTAGCAACCTCCTCGACACTTGACGTCCCAACTACATACGCCTCCAAACCCACCAGCTTGGACTCGTTCCTATTCAGCTATCCGTGAGGACGCCACCGAACTCGAATAGGAGGATTCAGACACGCAGAGTCAGCTTAGAGAGCTTTTCGAAGGACTCGCCAGCGCCAAGGTGTTCCATCTATTCAGCATCCGCAATTCGTCTAAGCGATCGTATACATGACTGACAGTTCCTCCTAGTCATAAAGACTGCCCAGAGCCTCTGCATCAGCAAGCAAGAATCGCCCAGCAGCCTCAATGTTTTGCTATCTATCCTATCATCAGAGCGAGAAATCCGCTCTCTGGACGCAATGGCCGCCTCCTACACGTCGCCTTCTACCTTCGTTCATTCATCCTCGTCAATCTCGCACTGTTTGCACCCACAATACTTCGGTGGACCCTTTCAATACCGACAGTCTTTACGGTCCTTGCATTCCTCCAAAAGCCAGCGTCTCCTCTTCTTCGATCATCACAACTTTGGATACCGTCACAACCAGCACGACGCTCCTTACACCCAATCCAACCCCTCCGCGTCTTTGCTCAGAAACACCTCCCCCTCACAGCCGCAGCAACCGCCCCTTGCCAAAAACCCCCCGCCCTTCCAACGACCCGCCCCTCTACCTCCCCTCTCACCATCCGATCCCAATACCATCTCCGCTGCCCGTCCCCGCTCCCAAACATGGACGACACCTTGCCCCCCTCCCCACATCCACATCCTCCATTACCGGCATCGTCGTCGGCTGCTTCAGCGCCGTCGTCATCGTCTCCGCCGCGTCACGGCTTCCCTACCAGCGCACGAATCCACATATCATAAACAGAGGCCTCATGGGCGGAGCGGCGTTCTCCGCGCCCTATTTAGAAGACGTGAGAGCCCATTGCAGTCCGCGTCCCCAGGGCCAAGACCGCCGTGTACTGCCTCAGACACCGGGGAGGGTTGGGCGCGACTCAGCGGCGGAGGAGGAGGAGGAAAGCGAGAGTTTCAAGCGCGCGGAAGAAATCTCGCTGGGGTTGGTTATTGAGGAGGGGAGTGTGCAGGCGAAGCACTCTACGTCATTTCCAGCGCCTCCCGTCAACTCCAGCACCAGCAACGACGCTGGATCTACCGCGAGAGCTAGGGGAAGGCTGGACACGAGCGCGTGTACGCCCACGCCGATGTCGGGGCAGAGACTGAGGGCACCACCGCCGAATATGCCGGCGAAGGGTGTTTTGAGGCCGCGAAGTGAGATAAGGCCGCTAAGAGCGGACCCGGAGGTGGGCGAGTTCGCGGTTGCGCCGCTGGCACTTGGGAAGCGGCAGGGTGACTATGGGGGCTTGGGGCTTGAGGGGAGTTATCCACCGGCTGGGATGGTTTGAACGGGATCCACCATCTGCCTGAAGTGCCCTCATAAGCGTCCAGAAATGTAGGGGCGGTGGAAAGGTCGGCGTTCTGGAGACAAGGCTGCCTTTTGATGGGCCGAAGACGTGCTAGCCGGGCTGCCCCTGACAGCGGCGTTGAGTAGACAAAACTGAAGGCTGAGTGGTGAGATGTATGTGAGCCTGGAGTTGTGGATTACCACTGTATTTGTGCCCGGGGAGGCGTAGGGAGGTGCAAAATCGTCATTCTGGAGTCTTGAGCCAGTCGGTTCTTTTTTCTCATGATTGGCAGATGGGGAAGGGGGCACGGTGACTTAGGGTTGATCTCCGAGTACGAGGGCTTTTGATGGGATAATGCAACTCGTGATAGTGATACCCAATCACGCAGCAATTTGTACCCCTGCGTTACACAGCCTCTTGAACTATAAAGAGGAGGATGGCTTTGACATGACCCGGGTCGGGAAGTCTGATACTGCAACCTTCAAGCGTTCCCTCCGATGTTTATATGACGGATTATAGTTACGAGTCTTGAGCTCGTAGATTGGTTAGTCATAGGTGTGAGGTGGCTCGAGTAGCTGGGCAGTCTTGCAAAAGGCACCATAAACCATCCCAATTCAGACTGTAGATCTGATGGATAGTCTTAGAGAATGATAAGAATGCCGTAATATGCTGTACATTTACTCAGTAGATATAGAACTATACAATACAGGCGCACCTGTCAAATACACTCATGATTTTCCAACCATATGCAACATTATATGCACACATACTCTTCAGATCCGACGCCCATACCCGAACGCCGTCCATATGCAAGACATCTTCTCTTCCCTATCTTCTCGAACATCTCATCTAGAACCCATCCCCCTTTTTCCAATCCCTCCCACAATCCTCAGCCCTCAATTTCGGATCTGTCCCCCTCTTCTTCGCCTTCTTCAACCTCTCATTCAACTGATCCTCAAAATCCTTAATCTGTGCCTCCAGATCCTTCACAATATGCTTCTCGGCATCCGTCAGCACGGGCGTTATCTTCTTCCCATCCTCATCCTCCTTCTCATCCACGATCTGCCCCAACGCCGCCTGCAGCTTATTTTTCTCATTCCTCAGATGCCAAAACTCATTCATCCCCTGCTCCCCACTCTTCCCCTTGTCGCCCCCAAAACACACCCCAAACCCATCGCAATAGCACAAATCCATGCGCGGACAGCTAATCGGCTTCCCGGTGAACAAATACTGCCACAAATACTCCCAAATGCGCCCGGAAATCGCATCGTCCAGCTCCGTATCCAACAACCACTGCCGCACCGCCGTATACCGCTCCAAGCTAATCTTGCGCGCCTGGTCGCCCGACAGCGCAAACTGCGCACAGCACGGCTGCGCCAGGATCTCGGGCACCTCCTCTCCCGGGAAGATCTCGCGGAAGGCCTTGGCCAGCTCGACCTCCTCGGGCTTGAAGACGTCGGTGCGCTCCGTCTCGGGCGCCAGCGGGTGCATCCACGTCGGGCAGCCTGGGTCCCAGTGGCAGCGCACGTTGACGTAGCCCATGCGCTGCACGTACGGCGCGCTGATCTTGTCGATGATCTCGGCGGCGTCGCTGCCCAGCAGGTCCGGGTTGTGCCAGGCGTAGCGGTGGGCGTGCAGGAAGACCATGACATCGGGCAGGGCGGTGTAGTGGTCGATGATGTAGGTCAGGTAGACCATGCCCTCGTGGCCCTTGTTTTTGGGAACCGTGTAGGGGGCGGTCGTGTTGTCGACGACGTAGATGGCGGCGGCGACTTCCGGGTGGAAAGCGGAGAGCCAGGTTGTGTCTTCTTTTTGGAGGGAGGCGAGGATGGCGGTTTTGGAGAGCTCATTGTCGGGCTTCTTCGCGGAGGGGGTCGAGGAGGGCGAGGCGGGGGAGGAGGAAGAGGAGGAAGAGGGGGCGGTCGAGGGAGAGGCTGGTGCCTGTTTGGAGGGTTGAGGGGATTCGGCGAGTGTTGAGGGCTGCGCGAGTGGTGATGATGCTGATGATGCTAGTGATGATGATGCTGCGTTCTCGGGCGGTGGTTTAGGTGGAGCGGTCCCTTGTTTGGGGACCTCTGGTTTGGAGTCGAGGTAACCGTACCCCGAGGGAATGGCGTTGAAGAACAATACAATAAGAATAACGGTGACGGCGGCGAAGACGAAGCGCCGTGAAGTCACGGCACCCCGGATCATGGAGTTCATAGTGGGTCGCGGTCGTCACTCTGGGAGGGGACCAGCGTGGTGTTCCGTGGGTGAGGAAAACAAAGCGGCAAAGGAAACACGGCGGCGATGGCACTTGAAAGGAGGACACGACACGGCTCAGCGCAGGGATCATCAACAACAGGAGGGACAAGGCTGAGGCGTCGGTACGCGTTGCTGTCAGCCTTTCTGATGGACCGCCCGGTGGAGTCTCCAAGCTTCCCTCTCACGGGTCTCCTGCTGCCGTCTACAAAGGCACCACCATGCCATGAACGCCAACATCTTCGTCGCCGACCACAGATCATGTCGCCACAGCTTGAAAACAGGCGCCGTGCTGTCGCTCGCCGTTGCCAGTTGCTGCGACACTGGCGTGCGCCACCAACCGCGCAGCGGTGCTCGGCCACGGTGGCGCAGGCGGTGGCCTCATCTCATCATGCTTCACAGCCGCCCCCGCTTGCGCTTCACCTCCATGCATCACCAAAGGATGGACGCGGGACCCTGATCACTGTCGGATGGTTCGGAAGACGTGGTGCGGACTTCGTCCCTTTGGGCATCACGCCTGTCGCAGATCGAAAGAGAAGACTCCAACTCCCCTCCACAGCACGCCAGATGCCAGAGTACCTGTGCGATGCTCCGAGGCGTTGCCTTTCTGCTCCTGACTTGCGGAGAAACAGCAGCGTCTTGAAGAGACTTCTGCCTGCCTCAAGTAGGTGCCACAGTGTGCAGAACCATAGCTGGGAAAAGACGGACCAAACAGCACCCAGACATGGACGTGTCGGAAGAACTCAACCCACGTGCATCTATTGTAACATGCCGGTGCTAGCGTCTGACAACAGGCCTCTCTGAGTTTGACTTGGCCTTGGGGGCCGTTTTGACTCGACTGCACTGGACGAGTTTCTGCTGGAACCGCCACACCAACGTGCTCGGCTCAACAACGACGAGCAGCCGCAAAGCGAGGAACCGGCTCTGATGCTTCTCCAACAGCTATTCTCGGCAATCCACATGCCGTTGGACTACTTCCATCGCCTCAGATTTCCGATCGTGAGCTTACCGCATCCAGATCGGCTGCACAGATAGGCTTCCCCTTATTTCAGCCTCCACCAATGCCGGCCATCGCTGGGGCTGGTTTAGACTCGATCTGGGAACGCGGCTGCAGCTCTCCAACCAAGCCGGTACCAGCTACAAGGATGGGAATCCTCCGAAAACCTCGCCTCCTCATGCCACACAGCCCGACGATCATCTTCCGATTGCACCACGACATCTTCTGTGCAACTCCCCAATGCTGTTCAGCCGCTCAGCCTCGCCTCGGGAACTCTTCTCCCGCCTCGACATGACGAAAAGATATGCTCAAAGAGTGCAAATCCGATGCCCAGAAGAGTCTGTCGCCTTCGATATAAGGCCCCCCGCCCTAACCTCACGGCTGTAAGCCGGCGGCCTGGAGCCACCAATTGCATTCTTCCGCTATGCTAAGCATTAAGCCGATCCCGTCGTGGCGCCTCAGCGTTGAGGCGCCCAAATCGCAGCCTGTGCAGCTTCCGCGGCTCCTGGGGGGCCGACCAGCAAGTCCTCCACCCGCAAGAGAGCATCCTTCAAACGTTGCCGCGCTCCCCTGCAGGCCCAGTTCAAGGCCCAGCCAACTGCCAGGTGCGTGGGATTGCTTAAGAAATAGCACGGCCCGTCTCCAAGGTTGCTGCTTTTCGTTCCTCCCGCACACACCCGCCGACGAGTTGCTGATCTCCATCAGTGGTTCGCACATTTCTCAACACCATGGCCATCATATCCATACGGCGGCTTGCTCTGCTTGCCGTTCCACTCTTCTTCCAGCTTGGGAGTGCTACCCAGCAGTGCTACAATCCTGACGGCTCCGAGTCGTCTGATCTACCGTGCAGCTCCGACGACAGCTACCAGACCTTCTGTTGTTCGCCAGGCTCTCAATGTATCTTGGATCCAGGTCCATTATGCCAGACCTCGAACGGCTACGAGCGTGGGACCTGCACAGTACAAGATTGGTCTTCGGGAGCATGTCCCAAGTTTTGTTTAGGTAAGTCTCAGCATCCAATTCATCAAACGTCACTACCAGCCTTATCGCCAACCCCATCACTTCTCCTACGATCGCATCCCATTCCAAACTACTCCGTACCAACCTAACACCCTTCTAGCCGACTCCACCGACCAAACTGTCGACCGCTGCACTGCCAAAGTCTCCAATGGCAACTTCTGCTGCGGCTACGACGCCGACGACAACGCCTGCTCCTGCGACACAAACAACAATACCTTCCCCCTCTACGCTTACACCTCCATTAAAGTCGCCCAGAGTGCCGCTGCCTCCACATCCCTCTCTAGCGCCTCTTCTGCGGCCTCATCAGCGTCTTCCGTGGCGACCACCAACAGCGCCTCAGCTGCTATCGCTTCCGCATCAGGCTCCGCGGCGTCAGCCACAGCCTCCGGCACCAGCTCGCCCACCCCCTCGTCCACCTCATCCGACAGCGGCATGTCGACGGGCGCGAAGATCGGCGTCGGCGTCGCAGTGCCCCTCGGCGTCATCGCCATCGGCCTGCTGGGCTTTCTCGCGTGGCGCCAGCGCCGCAAGAGCAACGCCGCGGCCAAAGCCGTGTACCCGGCCGAGCTGCCGCCGCAGGGCCACCAAGGCTATTACGACCCACCGCCGAACGAGGTCAAGTACGCGCACGAAGGCAGCGTGGGGTATGGTGGTGGCGGCATTCCGGGCAGCCCGCACCAGCCGCCCAGCGAGATGTATGCGCCGCCGCCCGGGCAGCAGCAGGCGTACGAGATGGAGGGGAGTGGGAGGCTGGGGCAAGGGCAGAAGAGGGCGGGGGAGTTGGATGGGACTCAGGTTAATAGGGGGCAGTGATTTAGTGGAGAAGAGGGTGAGGCCTGAAGGTGGGGATGTGAGGATGATCTAGGTTGACAGTTGTGATAGCTCTGTGATATTCGATGGGTTTTGGGATTTGGGATTTGGCAGGGGAGGAATGAATGGGCCGTCTACGCTCTACGGTTTTATGGGTTTCGAGCGTTTGAGAGCGCGTGGCGTTGGGTCGTTTTGCTACGCCTTATACTCCTATACTATAGTTTCTTTTTCACATAGCGAAAGCTGAGCTTATACGAACGCGTCGTTAATGTCCATTCCACATCCATTTCCGTACGTCAAAGAGTCTACGTCTCGATTCGAGTCTTCTTAGTCACATTCGATTTGTCTGCGCCCGGGTTCGCCGGGGCGATATTGCTCGAGAGTTCACCCCACTACCCACGACCACAGACCGTCGTCGCCGCTCCGGAAGCTGCACACCACTAGCCCCGGCAGCCAAGGATGCGTGTTGGGGTTTCGCGCCGCCTGCATGAGGGTGGAACGGCGATCAAACAGCTCCCCCATCCCATCGTCTTTCTCATCCAAACCTGCCACCCCCACCATCGCGTTCTTCAGTCCTGTAGCGGTAGCAGATGACGTCGCGGTAGCGCGCGCGTCGGGGCGTGGAGCTTGCATAGTGCAACACGACGTCTTTCGAGACTCACTGCGGACATTCCCTGCTATTCTTGTTGAGCGCGAGATCGCACCCAGCAGCTTCAGAGCAAACATAGGACCATCACGGCCTGTTCTCGTGAGGCCGCTTCGAACATCTGGCGATTGGAGGTGCGAGTGGAAACTGGAGTGGGTTTGGAGCTGGGAGATATTGGGGTTTTGGGGGGAGACACGTCGCGGGAGTTGCTGGAGGCTTGGAGGTGTTTTGGTTGGCAAGGGTAACGGAATTGAACTGTATGGGACTCGAGTTGAAGGACGTCATGGGCCTGTGATGACGCCGCGAGGACACGCGTTGTGGACGCCTCGCGGTGGCCGCTTCGTTGTATGAATGTAACGATTCGAACCGCTTGGGATCGCGGTTTTGGGATGATGCGAGGGTAGAGGGGGCTGGATGGACGGGCTGGCTGAGCAGTTTCGTGGGGTGGGAATTGGAGCAAGAGTGACGGATCGAATCGTCTGCGACTTGATTCAAGACACTAGGCGTGGGAAGGTAGACGTCGTTGGGTATGTACATGTTGTGGATACTTTGTGGTGTCAATGTTACAAATTGTAACGAATAGACCGGTGTGAAACTCAGATATACCCCGAATAATTGTGATTTCAGGTACTTCTACACACACGTTGTGCTAGCAAGGTTAACATTTGTAACGAATCGAACCGTGGGAAAATTCTGCCTGCTAAAAATTTCGTGGTTTTAGGTGCTTCACTTGCCTGCACAGGGTGGTGCTAATATCAACGAAAGTAACGAATCGAACCGCGGAATGCTTTTATTGAGAGACTGTGCGTTCTAAGGAAACATCATGGGGCTCCGGGTGTGGATGCAACGTCGGAGTGATGTCAGCAAGAGTAAAGCGTTGAATCGTAGGAGACTGTAGTCAAGAGACGATACGTGGCTAAGAAAACACCATAGGGCAGTGGGGTGGTAATGTTAACAAAAGTAACGAATCGAACCGTGTAAGGCCTGATTTTGGATTTGGCCGCATACGACGCTGCTATGTCAGTGTCTGGGATTCAGAGAATGGATGAAGAGAGTGTGAGGATCGAGGCTGTGGTCTTCGACATGATGGTTTTTCTCCTGGAAGAAGTGTGTTCATTCTCCAACGGGTGGCTACTGTTTTTCTAGGTACAACCAATGTCATCATAGAGGCGCGATCTTGTGCCGTGAACTAAGCCCAAGGTCGAGTTGATGGCGATCGTGCAAAGAGGTGAGAGCTTTAAGGCGGAGATGGGGCATAGTGATTGTGCTAGCCGGAAGGAGTAATATGGTGCGCCAGCGGACTATTTTTCCTAGAATGGGATTGCGGAAAGGTCATTACGTGAACGGTGTGTTGGCAATCACGCAGAGCCGTACGAGGAGCTGAAGTATTGATCAGAATAGGCGGAGTCGAAGAGATGGGAGAAAACGAGATCTCGGAAACAAATCAGATAGGTGAGACACACAAGACACTGTAAGAAAGGATTGACGTACATGATTAAGGTGCTTCTAGGCATTGGGGTACTGTACCCTTGTAGGTCTAGCATCCATATACGCCATGACACTGGTTCAGGATGTACAGTACCAATATAAACCATGCATCATTTAGATGGACTGCGACATGTTGTACCGTGGTTGAGGGATCGTCAATTTCCAGCCACAACGGCCGCTATTCGGCGCTAAGGGGCAAGACGGACTAGCTACATCAGGAGCATTTGGCGCTCTGGGATTCAGGACTTGAAAGCGCTTACCGAGAAATGCGAAGGGAGACGATGACTCGAATTAAAGTCTGAGACAGTGTCTCATCACTGTACCTTCAAGGCCAGCTTGGACCAATCGTTTGACACTTTGTGGTGGCGGGTCGGAGTTTGGGATGGCGGGTCGGTTTGAGTTACGGACGCAAGGGCGGAAGATGTGGTGGGGCGATAGGATTGATGTTGATCGCAGAAGGTAGTCCTGCGGGAGTGCACCAGGGCGATGAAGCATTTCTTTGCCATCAACCAGAGGCACAACGTCCGGCGGACTCTGGTGTTGAGAGTTTGGTGAGGCTGTTTGCAGAGTTTTTCGGGAGTCAGCACGTAGATTAGATATGCGTGATTCACACCATCTCAATTATGAGATGAGCTGGATTCAGAGTATAGTAAATGGTTAAATCCCATGGGTTGACTTGCGGTGGAGCACTTTGCACAGTAGGGTTGCTTCCAAGGTACATATATATTGAGCTATTTTTAGGACAGATGTACACCGACGATCTGAGGGTTCAAGGCTCGGTGTGAATTGGGCTGGAAGCAGCGCAGTAAGGCTGTAGGCTGACACGCGTCGAAATACGAAAGTAGGTGCGCGAACAGGCGAAGTCGGTGAGAAAATCTACCTTGGCGCGGAGGCCCGCTAAATCGACCAGGAGAGGAAAGGCGTCCAGCCGGGCTCACATCCCGCCGCTGTGGGGTCGGGATTCGGGAAGTTTAAGTGTGAATTCCTGGGGAGACAAGATTAACGGACGCGAGATGATCTATGGGTTGGAATAAGACTCCCAAGAATAAGATTGTTCTTCGGAGAGCCAAGAAAAACGATGATGCGATGAATGCGACGCAGGAGACAAGGAATGATGCGATGAATGCGACGCAGCAGACAAGGAATGGTCCGACGCTGGCGACTACGTGTGGACGAGACGCGCAGAGGAGGGTGATGACAACTCTTCGATGCGGCGTGATGAAGCATCTGACAGTCCATATCGAGGACTAGGACTTCCTATTGAGGAGCACCCCACGCAGCTTCGGGTGAATGGCGATTATCTGGTAGACTGCGTCATGACAAGCGTGGTGTCTGTATCCTCAGGTCGCGAGAAAGCGCGAATAGGTGGAGCTTGCGATGGCAAGGGAAGGTTTACAGAGCTTCTAGCGTCAATACGGCTCTAATCGAGCGCACCCTGAAAATAGAGATGTACGTTGGCTGCCCCGATGGCCGTTTGAGATGTCAAGACGAAGAGAATTGTGGGGTACGGACGAAAAGAAGGGCTGGGATTGGCCGGCTCGTTTACGGCCTTAAGGTTGTGCCGACCTCAGCCCTGCAGTGCTCACCGCGTGTCCTCGTCATCCAGTTCCGCCCCGCCCTTGAGCCTCGCGCTGCGCTCCAATCACGATGCCTGCCGTCTGCCCTCCGAGGCTCCATCCCAACGCCGCCTATGCTCTTTCGGTAGAAGTTGCGACGGCCCGGCCAGCTGGTCTCTCCGTCAGCCAGGCGCATCAGCCAACACCACGCCTACCGAGTCTACCGAGCCTCCAAACTGCGAAACCGCACTTGGCCACGCCTTGCGGCCTTGCACTGCCCGTCTTTCGCGCGTAACTCGAGTCCGCCCGCGTTTGGCCCAAAACACCATCGATATAAGTATTGTGTCGCTCGCCTCCATGTCAGCCATCCTCGCCCAGCTCCACATTCTTCCAATCGTCGCTCGCCAGCCATTCCCATCTCAGCCATTCCCATCTCGGCCTTGAGTCTTATAGCCGTCTCCGCGTCTGTTCTTGGTCTTCATCCATCCATCCATCCATCCACCCCGAGTCTTCCACTCTACCTCAACCCCAATCCTCTTCACCCCACAACCTCCGCAATGCCTGCCCCCAGCGCCCCAGATTGGTGCACCAAGGTCGGCCCCGAGTGCCCCGTCGAGGGAACCATCTACGGCTATTACCCCAGCCTCGGCGGCAATGCCTTTTTTGCTGCCTTCTTCGGCCTCGCCCTCCTCGTTCAGCTCTTCCAAGGTATCAAATGGAAGACATGGACCTTCATGATCGGCCTCGGCTTTGGCACCTTTGCTGAATGCGTCGGCTACATCGGCCGCATCATCATGAACAACAACCCCTACTCCCAAGCCGGCTTCAACATGCAAATCGTCTGCCTTATCATCGCCCCTGCCTTCATCACCGCCGGCATTTACCTCACCCTCAAGCATCTCGTCCTCTCCTTTGGCGAAGAGCACTCCTGGATCAAGGGCGTCTGGTACACCCGCATCTTCATCGCCTGCGACATCCTCTCCCTCGTTCTCCAGGGCGCTGGCGGCGGAACTGCGGCCACCGCCAACCCGGGCTCCAGCATGCTCAACACCGGCTCCAACCTCATGCTCGCCGGTATCGTCTTCCAGGTTGTCGTGCTGGTGGTCTACGGCACCTGCCTCACCGAATACCTCCTCCGCGTCTACCGCAATCGAGCCTCGCTCGCTCCGTCTGCTATTGAGCTCGCCCACAAGCAGCCCTTCCGTCTGTTCATGGGCGCCGTCTTCGTCGCCTACATCATGATCCTCACCCGATGCATCTACCGTATCCCCGAGATGAGCGGTGGATGGCGCAACCCCATCATGCAGAACCAGGCCGAGTTCATCGTTCTTGACGGTGTCATGATTGTCATTGCAACACTCGCTCTCACCATCTTCCACCCTGGATACTGCTTCCCGGCCCTCGCATCAACCTTTGGTAAGAAGAACAATAAGCTGAACGAGGAGAAGCGCAGCGGTGAAAGCTCTGATGGTGTCATGGTATAAGTAACTCCCCCAATTGGGAGAACAGTTTCCTGGTTTTGGTGATGGGAGAAAACATAGAATGGGATACAGCGGTCATGATACCATCTCCTTTGTCTGAGCATTTCCTACGCCGCTGATTTGGCGTTTTGGGTCTTCTATATCTTGGATATTTCACAGTGAGCGCAATAGGCTTAGATCTCGCGTCAATTTCTACGACTTTATAATATAGAATGTATATACCTATCTTATACTTATATACCTTTCTTACACCTATATCCCTGTCCTACACTGTGATGACTCTTCGTCTTCACAATTCTCTGCTGCCTTCTTTTCTTCTCCCCGAACAATTTCCAATGATTTTTATTTTCCACATTCACACGCTTTTACCATCTAATGAGCAGATTCGAAAAAACCTGGAGTAGTCAAGGACGCTCCTTTTATTCGGCCCCTAGAGTACTAACTCCCGCTCCTAGCTGACACCGCCTGGCGGCAACCTAGCGAATCCGAGAGATCCTTCATGATACGAGCTTATATCTTCTTTCGCAGATAACCGAAGTCATATCAAAGTACTCTAGGCTACACCAACGGGGTACGCAATGACAATGCTTAGATGGGCAGTGCCTCAATCATAGGCTTAATCTAAAGCTCTTGCTTGGCAACGAAGTTCTACAGAGCCTCTACCCGTCGCATCATTCCCTGTTATCGCTTACAACAAAGCTTGGCATCTAGCGTAATGCTTATGTACCCCTATTGTCCCCTTTTATGCATAGAAATATGCAGAGACTCTCGGCTAGGGAGTCTCTTCTGATGCCGTCCACTTAGCATCATTTTATGGTCTACACTCGTAACCTCCACTTTTCTTCACCGCCAATCACGTTAGCTGACTATTCGTAGTTGACTCATGTATCGACTCCCATCGACCTAGAGTGGTCCAGCACAAAATAAGCATATCGATTTCACTATCACAAGACAACCTAAATCCTAAATGCAACCAGGCCACCCACCAACAAAGAATCCAAAGTGCGCCATAAAACACGTATCTATAATAACCCATCTACTGTCATAATATCGTACTGTACACACTCGAACCAACCCACCCACTCGATAGATACTAAGTCCCCTCGCCCCCTTCTACCTCCCCACCCCCTGCCCCCTCCACTCCCCGCGCTGAAAACTATCCCGACTCGCACTGCCCCCACTCTGGCTCCCATGGCTACTCTCATCTACCACCTCCACCGCCGTCGTGCGCAGTATCCCCTTCCCCTTCCCCACCGCCTTCCCGCCCGCGATATCCCCCGGCTCGTCTGGCAGAATCGCCCACTCGCTGTCGTTGTCCTTGGCGCCGAAGTTGTGCACCACGCTCGTCGGCTTGGTGATCTCGTAGCTCTTGAGGTGGAAGTTGTTGGCGCGGGTCACGCGCGTGCCGGACGACAGGTTGGGCACGATGCGGCGCAGGAAGGTGTCGAAGGTCTTGCGTAGGGGCGGCAGGCACGAGACGATCAGGCCCATGCCGACTTCGGCCGACGACCAGATGGTCAGGTCGACGGATTCGTAGGTTGTGTCTTTGGCGGATTGGAGGGAGTTGAGCTTGAAGAGCTTGGCGATGGAGCAGGCGGTGCCGCTGGGTAGAGAAAGGGGTTAGTGGGTGGGTCGAGATAAACGCGGCGTTCTTCGGTTGTCTGTTTATCGAACGTGGCCAAAGATGAAGAGAGAGAAGAGAGGATGGGGCACAATGGAGAAGGAAGGGAGACTTACAGGAGTCCCAGCAAAAAGACGGCTCGTAGGCCCCACTGTGTGCTTTTCGCCAGCTGCACGGACGCGAGATACACAAGCGGCGAAGCGGAGTAGATGATGTCTGTGACGATGTTCGAAGCAGACTGCGTGTACCCGCTAGCCGCGTTGACCTGCTTTGGCCAGCAGGATCCCGGCTGTTTCCTGTTCCAGCGCAGCGAAAGGGGGCGACAGTTGCCAAACAGCACGATGCTGGGAAGAATGAAGTTGCAAGTCACGACTAAGAAAAGAGAAAGCCAGATGATCCAGCGGTACGTCGGGGAGAAGTTCAGTGTGATGAGATAGGAGGAAATGCTCATTTTCAGGAATGCCATGCCGAAGACGTTGGTGACTTGGGCGATGTAGATGGATTTGAAGCACTGAACGAGCGTTGGGAGAATGGAAGGGTCCGTAATGTGGCGACCTTGGCCTTGGTAGGCGGATTTGATGGAGAAGGCATTGGCGACAATGTTGAGGATCTTGGGAGACTCGTCAGTGACTATGAAGGAGTGGATGATGGGGAATTCAGTTCAACATACCACGGACAGGATGATGAGATAGTCGCTCAAAGTGAGTTTCCCCTTTGCTCTGAAGCTAACAATCAACCGCCAGACAACAAAGAGGGTGCCCAAGATGGTGATAGGGATCAAAGCGCCTACGATGGCAGGCCCTCGGTCGTTGAATGTAATCTTTTCTGGAGCCATATTGAGCCAAAGACCAGCTGGCAGGAGGAATGAAAAATGTTGAAAGATAAATCAAGAAGTTGTTAACCTACGGCCCACTAGAAGCCGTGACCCGTACTTAATCTATACTCCCTCCACTTTCTCAACGGGCACGGGAAGCAGTGGCCAGCCAAGGTACCATTTCGTACGGTTGCAGCACAGCTTCCCGCATTGCGGCAGCGACGGCGCCACATTTCATATCTGGAGCATACTAAAAACATGCTAGCAAGGATATCGAAAAGCCTCTCGAAGCGGAAGCTGCCGAGCTCGGGAAACAACCGTCCTTAGGGGTCCTATCCGTCCGGATACACTCCATCGTGCCTTACAGCAGAGTCCCTTTGCAAACCATTTTATGTACTGTAGCTACTACACTGACACGTTTTACGATCGACAGGTTCGCCATACCATGCAGATCGATCTTTGTGTTGATCTCTATGTTGATCTCTCTGCTGATCTCTGCGATCCTGAAGCTCTGACGCTCCACAGCTTGAGTGGACCAACTTGCAACGCAGGGGCGTAATCGGTAACGCGCAACGAGGCACGAGGCACAGCGTGTCTGTCGGTTCCTGGCAAAGCAGTCTTCCGGTTGCTCTCGAGATCCTGGACGCAGGAGAACAAGAAACTTATGGTGATCTTTTCTTCTTGTAGCGCGAGTGCCGTGTGTGAAGGGATCACCCAGGATGACAACACCCCACATACCTCTGTTCACGGCTGCTTGGCCCGACACTAAGAGCTCACGAAACCCTTCCTCCGTATCCGACTATGCAAAGCTGCCTCACTCGCGACGGAACCTGGGGTTCGTCTTCCGCTGCTGGGGTTCCTGGGTCTAGGGCGTTCCTGCAGATGCGGTCGGGAAGGGCGGCAGTCCATATTCCCCTGGACCCAGCGAATAGGAGACGTTCGGAGAAAAGCAACTAGGGTTATTCTATTACAGGGTTACGCGGACCGGCTACCGCACGAGGCAATGGTCTGCCGAGAACCGTTGTGGGTGGTTTTGTACCCACCGAGATCAGACAATCAAGCATTTAGGCGATGAAGCTCTGGACTGTTGTTCGGTTTCAACTCTTGAGAACGTACGATAATATTTGCATCCGAAGTAAGAAGATAAGCACGATTGTCCGAGTCAGCTCGGCCTCTCAAGAGCTGTCGGAATTCAGGGTACTGACGGTGAAGCTGCTTTAAGCATACTAGCCTCGCTAAACTCTCGAAGTCGAACGCCACCCGTAGACGTCCGGGACGCAGGTGGATCCCCTAACCACATCAGCAAAGAGAGGGCGAGCGGAACCGGATGCATTGCTCAACTCGCTAACAGCGTGGCCTGATACGCTGAGATGTAAGGGCAGGATAATGCCAAGAGGCCGATATGCAAGGCCAACATAGGGTGGCGTTTGACTTTTGCCAGAGACGAAAGCACCCTTGGCACCCCGTAGGTATTTGGCTAAAAGAAGAAACCTACTGGGCCCATCATCTTCCTGTTCATTCTTAGTCCATGTGTAAGAGATCCTTCTGCGCGGGAACCCGCCTCAGGGAGAAGGTTGACGAAGCTTGAACAACGGATCTCGATCCTAACGACCTTGAAAACCCTCCCCACAATGTCTATAAATCTGTATCGGTACCGAACATCGTTCACTCACGGACCAGGCGGAATTCGAGATAGAGCGAGGTCCATTGAGGAAATTGATAGGCAGCTCTAAAGCGGAGGCGTGTGTGCATACAAGAAGATAGCGACTTCCCCGACCAAGATTCACCACCCATTCTCGCTTATAAATGGAATTCGCTCGAGCGTCAACTACCAAGACTCCACCTCAGATGGATGTACAAATCACAACTACCAATGGCGAAATCCATGCAGAGCTCGCAAAGGACGAAGATTCCTCCGGTCACGTTCCTGCAGGACCCCCCGTCTCCGAGGGGCCGGAGATGAGCTGGATGCTGGCTGCGGTACGTGCAGGGAACCCCATCCTCCAGCACGCACGATTCAAGAACCGCATGCTCGCATGTCTACAACCGACAGTAGTCTCGCCCAGCAACCTTGCAGCCTCGTACTCATCTGCCGCAGTGCCCAGCGCGGCCACGCGAGGGAGAGGGGTATGTGGGCGTGCTGTCCTGTAACGTTAAAGCTGATCCTGGATCCCACCACCCTGGCACTGGGTCTTCCTGCAGAGCTCCTCGTGTTCGTCCTCGTCTCTCTCTTTCTCCACTTGTTCACTGAACATCCACACTCGTTTTTCCTTTTTCAACTCTGATAAAGATGGCGCGTGTAATGCGCGCAGCCGCTCGTTTGGCTTCGGCCGTCCAGCTCTTCAGCATTCTTGTTCCTGGTGCTGTGGCTCTCCCGGCCAGTAATGGGCAGATCGTGGGCCGTGATACTGTGGATGGCAGTACCTACGACTATGTAATTGTTGGTGGTGGACTCAGCGGGTTGGTTGTCGCCAATCGTTTGAGTGAGAACCCCAAAAGTAGGTTCTCTCTCTCAATTCCTCAAGCTTCATCACAAGACTTTCTTCAATGAATCTCAATTTGGAGCGTTGGATTTTGCCACGCGAGGGCCAAGAGATCCAAGCAAGGAGCCCAGGAGTTGAGCCTCCAGCACGCCCACGTGACTATCACTTGACCCTCGACACCATCGGACTGCCTCTGCAACAACACCCCCTAAGCAACAGATGTCGCAACTATACTAATCAAGCTCAGACACCGTCCTTGTTATCGAATACGGCTATATTGACAACGGCCCCAAAACGCTCATCCCCTACTTCGCCAACACCATCAACGCCGCCGACCTATGGCCCGGCCTCACCTCCGCCCCCGACCCCGGCCTCAACAACCTCACCTTCTCCGTCTCCGTCGGCGCCGTCGTCGGCGGCGGCTCTGTTGTTAACGGCATGGAGTACGATCGCGGCGCAAGTGCCGACTACGACTCCTGGGAACTCCTTGGCAACCCGGGGTGGGGATGGTCTGACCTCCTCCCATACTTCAAGAAGAGCACAACCTTCACGCCCCCTTCCGCCGCCGCCACCGAGGAATTCGGTATTACCTACGACGCCTCCGCGTACGGCAACGGGCCCATCCAAGCCACGATCGCGAATTTCCAGTACCCGGATCTCAACTCGATCTGGAATGCGTGGAGACACGATGGCGTGCCCCTCCCCAAAGAAGGCTCAGTAGGTGACGCGGTGGGTGCATTCTGGACGCCTTCGACACTGGATGCGAAATCTTCGACCCGATCCCACGCGCGTACTGCTTATTACGACCCCGTCGCGAACCGCTCTAACCTGCATCTGATAACCGGGCAACAAGCCAACCAGATCCTCTTCAAGAACCTCGCCGCGACAGGTGTGACATTCGTCTCGAGGGCCAACGGCAGCGTTTCCACTGTTTCCGCACGCAAAGAAGTCATCCTTGCCGCCGGCGCGATCCACACACCCCAACTGCTCCAACTCTCCGGCATCGGGCCCAAAGCCGTCCTAAAAGCTGCAGGTGTGAAAGTCAAGAAAGACCTCGCCGCCGTAGGCGCAAACTTCCAAGATCACCCCGCCGCCTTCATGAGCTACACGCTCTCCAACACCACCTTCCCGAACCCCCTGAGCTTAACACTCAATGCAACCTACAACGCAACCTCGTACCAGCAATACGTGGACATGAAGACAGGTCCCTACACTGCCGCTCGCGGAAACAGTGCCGCGTTCCTCTCTTTACCGCAGTTGACCAGCAAGTACATCAGCATAATCGTGAGCCTACTGACCCAAAACCCCCTCGCCTACCTGCCATCCATCTACACCGACTCCGGCCTGCTGAAAGGCTTCCTCGCCCAACGCGCGATCCTCGCAACGCAGTTCGCCACTAACAACGCCGCGGTGTCCGAGTTCCCCTTCAACGGTGGTGGGCGCGCAACCGCCGCGCTCCAGAAGCCCCTGTCCCGCGGGACCATCACGCTGAACGCGACGAACCCCTCCGGCGCGCCCGTGATCCAGTACAACGCGTTCCAGAATCCGGTCGACAAAGCCGTGCTGCTCGCGATGGTGCGGCACGCACGCGCCTTCTGGGCCTTGCCACAACTCGCTAAGTTCTCTCCTGTTGAGGCGGGCCCCGGCGCGCAGTACCAGACCGACGATGCGATCTTCGACGCACTGGTGACGGGAGGGTTATTGCAGCCCACGTTCGCGCATCCGTCGGGCAGCTGTGCGATGATGCCGCAGGTGCTGGGTGGGTGCGTGGGCGCGGATCTTACCGTGTACGGGACAACGGGGCTGAGTGTGGTGGATGCGAGTATCATTCCGCTGATCCCCGCGGCGCATTTGCAGGCGACGATGTATGCGGTTGCGGAGAAGGCGGCGGATTTGATCAAGGCGAGGGCGTGAGGGGATGGTTTATGAAGGGGGGAGGGTAGGAGGTGTTCTTCGTGTGTATTATAATGTTATGGAGGCGGGGATCTGTAAATTTTAATATTGACTTGGATTTGAGCGATGCATTGGGATACGATACATACATGTGGCTGAAATGTACATACAGCATTTGAGTAGCCTCATTGCGCACCTAATCTGGTTGTACCAAGCTTCGGGTACTTTCGTGCGCCATCAATTGACCTGATAAGGGCGGTGTAAGCTCGTGTTCTGACGGATCTCTCGGGTCCGCTAGGCTAGCTACTTCCAGGCGGTGCTAGCAAGGAGTGACGACGAAAATAAATGCTATGTGAACGGGATTTGCCAGCCGATGGGCCTACATGCATTTCTGTGCATAAATGAATATAATTAGGGTATGTATGTACGTACAGACGTAGCATTACACTGGAAGCCGGACATCGGCGTAAGCGACAATCAAGAATGATGCGAGGAGCAGAATTGGATTGATGATCATGAGCTTACGATAAAGCATAGAATTGAAGTACTCTTCCGCGAACAGACGCTCGGATTTGAAAAGGAGTGAGCATTGTGGTATGTTGAAAATGACGCTCAACAATTCAAACTTGTTGCGTTTCAGCCTGAAGTTAGATAACATATAAGACTCCTTCTTGTGAATACGTCCATACTTGTTCATAGCCAAATTAAACAATCCCAACTTTGCGCAGTCTGTCCTCCCAACCGGGGCCCATGAACTCACCTCGCATGATGCCGTGGACGTAGCATGCGCTCAAGTGCTGATATGTCGTCTCGCTTCCTTTGGTTATTGGCCTCAGTTGGATCGGCATTGATAGGCCTGGGATTATCCAGATTTCGTCACCTTCAATAGAGTTGAGGCTTCACAAACCTAAAAATCCATTTTGAGAGCAGAAAAGCTGACCATCACGCGCGTACAGAGGGTAGCTCTCAAGCTTGAGGTCCAATGCGAGATCGAGCAACCGGATTCCCACATTTAGGAGAGGATCTCGGTCCAGCTCTGCTTGCACTTCCATTTGTCGTTGTCTGATACTCGCCAAGTCCGGGACCAAGAGCTCGAAGCCGCGATCTAGGTCGCAAAGCTTGCGTCGAAGCACCACATATTTCTCCTCAACTGCGGACCAACGTTTTGGGCCGCTTGGGTGCGTTGATATATACCAGGCGAGGTGGCTCTCGGCCCAGTCATGGAAGTGTTGGTAGTAGTGATCGGGCACGGGATAAGTTTGATGCAGCATATCTTGGTCCAGGACCAACGTCCGCCAGAGGGTCTCAGGAATGGATTTATGGCTGCTTGTGTACTGCCTCTGAAACCTTTCCACAAAGGAGAAGAGTGCTATGAACCAGTTCGCCGAAGATGGGGAGTTCTCACAAACACCATTGACAGCATCCACGTTCAACCCTTCAAGTAACAGGGTCTTTCCAATTATCCGCGATTTCGTGGAGAGGGTTGTGCTGAGACCTGTGTGGAAATCCTCGCCCTCAGAGATGCCCTAAAGCGAGGACTTGATGGACCAGTCTGGAGCTCAGTTTGGGACGTGTTGTGACCTTTCGATACTGGGCTCAGGTATTTGTATCAGTAATTCGAGACATCCATTCGTGAGTAGTACTTTACTCGCCCACAGGTATGCTTCGTCCTTAGATTGATTCTTTAGCATATCCTCATAGATAGTATCAACTATGTCGCCAGGCTGAAGTCTTTTGATCATGTCGCATTCGCTCTTGAATATAGAGCCAGGGCTTGGTCCACTGATCATGGTTTCCCTCTCCCTGTTGCTGTATTGTTTCTGTACTTCGATATATGCAGTCTCGCGCTCCTTCCAAGGCTTCAATAGGTCCGACATCATAATCTTCTAGGTGCTTGATATTCAATTCCCTGAAATTTAGACAGAGTACGCTATTGACCTGTCTGAGAGAATTCCAATTGAAGACCTTATTGTGACAGAAGACTAAGATATCTTGCGCCAGGGATACCTCTTGAACAACCCACGCACGCCTGAACCATCGATGACGTGTATAAAATCGACAGTATGACGCCCAGCATTCACCCCAGGAAATACTGGCAAAGGGTTCAAGTGACATCTCCGATCTCCAAAATTTGGCATCTCCGAGTCGTGGTCCTGATAGTCGCTCCAGCCAGGGGTCATCAGGCGATTCGTCTTTGTCGAGAGTCTCTAGGGCGCAAACAACCGGTTTCATGGAACCAAGCGAAGTATTCCAAGTCTTGTGTGTCATCGCCCAGCCACACGAGAACCAGCTGCGCTATCGCATATATGTCGCCCATGAGAAGGATTTGAGACGTCTTCTCATCCTTGTCAACTTGGTTCATGCAGACAGCATCGATCCACAGAGGTAACGCTGGGGTGGAATTGGTGAGAGTGGGGAAATGCATCCGAAGAAAGTCGGAGAGGTTTCGCTGTAATGAAATATATCCGATGGGTTCAATATCGTCGCTGTCTACATAGTTTTCATGTCTCTCTCCTCGCTCAAGTCAGCTGTGCGAGTGGATGCAGAGGAAAAATTCCGATTTCGTAGATTGAGAGGACTCATCATCATCCTGAAGAGACGGTTCACCTCATCTTGAAAAGATGGCTCAACCTCATCTTGAAGAGAAATCTCATCTTCGTCCGGAGACGATATCACACTCTCCTCTTCCGAAGATATCTCATCCTCGTCTGGATAGACGGCCGGACCCCAAGTGTAGGACAGAGCATTGTATGCTGGCTTGCCCTCTAGATCGACTTCCGTTAGATAACCAGATATCGTTCGAGAGATCTCATCAATGTCGGTTAGATGGAGCAATCGGATGCTGATGTTGCTAGACAAAGGATGTAAACATAACGAGGAAAAGGTGATGGGAAGGAAAGGCGAGAAGTGGCCATGGCAGCACCTGGACAGATGGGAGGGGCCAAGAGACGTCGATTTGTGACGGGATCGTCGAAGCAGTGTACTATTATCTCGGCTTAGCTTGAAGATGCCTTGATTAATGGCATTCGTTCGACGATGGCTAATAGTTTCTGAGATGCCCGTTGATGCTTATCACTATCGGAGCTGCGTGGTTTGACGGCTGTAGCCGCGATAGAGAAGGCCCATAATCTTCGGAGAATGAGTCTGGGGGGCAGAAGATAAAAGGAGATTGTTAATTGCTGTCGACATGTCAAAAGCATGGTGTTTCGTGGTGGCTGTGCGAGACCGGTGAAGGCCACCTGCAGATGTTGAATTCATTGGTGGAGCTCAACCTAAGGGCCTGAAGTAAGGCACGCGGTCTGGATCGTCTCGCCGATGAGCGGCCTACGCAGACACCAAGACGAGGCTGGTACACCTCTTCTCGCTCTATCAAGGATACGCGAGGAGAAGGACAGAAGCTTGAGCTGAAGACGACGATGGTGTTGAAGCCTCACATGCTTTCCCACCAGGTCGGCGATGGCTCCTCTTTTAGCGGGCGCCACAGGGGATTCTGGCCCTCGATGCATCAACAGCTTTCCCATCGCATGTCCATGACGGCATCCGGGGCCATACAACTACAAAACACCACGTCCATGATCCTCCCCGCTCTTCAATCGCACGGCTGATGCTGACGGCACCCCGCACGCGTCGCCCGCCATGATCATCTCCCCCGCGCGCGGAGGCACCGCCAAAATCATCATTGCGCTCGCTGCCGGATCTATCCTCCTCTTCCTCTGGAACTACGCCCTCCCCCACTACTCCAACACCATAATCCACGCCGAAAATGGAGGAAAGGCAAAGCCAGCAGGTGGAGAGGAGGAGTACAAGCCCGGCGAGTTCTTCCAGGACGCCAAACCCGCCAATGCCAGCACGACGGTGGAATTGAACGAAACTCCCCCAAAAGACGAGATTCAGGAAAAGGCCAAGAAGCCCTCCCCTACGCCTCTCCCTGTGCATGAAGAGACGGCTACAAACACCAAATGTTCCGAGGTCAAGGGCGCCGACGACGTGATGATCGTGCTCAAAACCAGCGCCGCCGACATCTACGACAAGCTCCCCGAACACCTCCTCACCCTCTTCGCATGCGCACCCCACTACGCCATTTTCTCTGACCTCGCCGGCACCTTCTCAGGACATAACGTCTACGATGCGTTGGAGAACGTCACAGAGGGAACACGCAGGGAGCACGATGAGTTCAAGTTCTACGACAAGATCCAAAAATACAGCACCGAGGCGCAACATCTCTCTGATCTGAAGGGCGACAGCTCCAAAGACCTCGACAAGTGGAAATTTCTGCCCATGGTCTACCGCGCCTACAAACTCCGTCCCGCGACCAAATTCTTCGTCTTCATCGAAGACGACACCTCCCTCAGCTGGACGAACCTGTTACAATGGCTCTCACGCCTCGACTCACGCATACCCCTCTACGCCGGTGCCCCATCCAATGTCGGTGATCTGCGGTTCGCGCAGCGCGGTGGTGGATACCTGATATCGAATGCGGCGATGAAGCTATACACAAACGCGTACGAGCAGCGGTACGCGAGCAAGTGGGAGAAGCGGACAGCGAGCGAGTGTTGTGGGGATGTGATGCTCGCGATTGCGCTGGATGACGCCCATGTGGAGTTCTACTCTGCGTTCCCGCTGCTGCAGGGCGAGAGCGTCGCGAGTCTGGATTGGACGGAAAGGCATTGGTGCGCGCCGGTCGTGAGCTGGCATCACATGGATAGTAACGATATTGATGTGGTGTGGAACTTTCAGCAGAGTTGGGTTAGAGATCACGTACGTATACCCATACATTTTCCTTTCCGATTGAGGATGGGACGGAAAGAGGACGGAATGCTAACATGGGATGCACAGGGCTGGCAAACGCCCTACCTCGTCAGACACGCCTTCGCCTCTTTCGTCTCACCGCGTCTCTCCGCCGATCACAACGCCTGGGACAACCTCTCCCAAGATACCCGCATCAAGAAACCCGCCGATAACGCCGCGATCGAGGACACAGTCAACTGGAATGGTCTCTCAGAAGCCGAGAAGAACGCCACAATTTCTTTTGACAACTGCCGCAAGCAGTGCGAGGCGAAGGAGCAGTGTCTACAATACAAATACCGCAAGGGGGAGAACGAGTGCGTATTCGGCAATGTGGTGCGATTAGGAAGAGCAGTATCAGGGGAAGGAGAGAAGGATACAAGGAGTGGCTGGGTGGTGGATAGGGTAAATAAGATGGTGAAGAAGTGGGAGCCGTGTGCTGAGCCGAGTTGGAAGTTCAATCAGTAATCTCTTCAAAGCGGAGAGGAGTGTGAATGATCTTCTCACAGAGCATTTGATAACAATATGGGTTAGGTAGGATAGGATGGCGTTTGGGATGGTATTAGTATTTACGGAGAACGCGCGTGACCCTGGGTCCAGGGAGGCGTCACATTGATAAATTCCGGCGTCTGTAATGCGCGGTAAATCGGACGTCGACATGTTCGTTCGTTGTATATCTATTGTCGGAAGCAAAAACATAAAATACCTCTACTTACCCTTCCTTACTACGCTGATATAAGTTGCCTGACTAGAACAGCTGTAATGCGCTAGTCGTCTAGCGACAACTAAGTCCGCCCTGACGAGTTGGTCTTTTGGAAACCACTGCGCCAAGAGGTGCGGTGTCCTGGAGGACGGCGATGTTTAGGGCTGTTCAGTATATTAGGGGTAATGGGTTTGCTGCGGCTGGAGACGTGCTAGTAAACGCGAGTATAACAGAAGTGCAAGCTGATATTTCCAGCGAATTACTCCTTGAGAACATGAACTTGCTAAGTGACTGCTAGATTGTCATCTTATGTTTGCTATACGATCCCTAGACACCAATTCAATCGCTTCTTTACTCGCACTTCACATCCTTGCCCCAAACTTTGCGTCTCCGTCCCCATCGCCATCGAAGCCGTATTAGCCTCGCCCACATGATCCAGGACAGACTCAAAGTCTAGCTCAGAACTGCAAAGAGGCTTCGGTCTCCAGCTCAAGGCTCGATAACCAATGCCCCCACATCATCGTCTTCTTCCTCCCCTTCTTCGTTCTCCCCCCATCCTCGTCGTCGTCGTCGTCGTCGTCGTCGTCGTCGTCGTCGTCTTCGTCGTTCTGAGAACTTCATGTTGAGGGTGGAAGGGCCCTTATATACCCCTCCTAGAATTCCAGAAGTTGCTGCCTGGCAAGCAGAAGCCCTCGGAAGGAGACGAGGAGCGGGATAAGGAGGCTGGACTTCACTTAAAGTAACTCTTCACTTGGTCCCCTTTTGGGGGGGGGGGGGGTTCGTGATGGGCCCCCAATATACGCAGGGAATGGTACCGGTGCTATGGACTCGGTATGGTGGCGTTCGGATCGGCCCTGTGGCTTCAGCACAAGGCCCTCTTGACTGAAGCGAAGTAGTTCTCTTTCTCTAGGGCTGTTTCGAGGTGTTCATCGCATTGATGATTTTGCTAAATAAACTTTAAATCGTGCCGTTTTCGAGTAAGGTCCACGTTTACAAAAATCACTGAACTCGCTCAACTTTCAGTAATATTTGACATCGAAGATGTGAACGAGAAGGCATTTCGAAGTGTGTGAAAGCAGAACTTATTTCTTCAGTATTCACCACCTCAACCCCCCACCCATCCAAGCCCGCATAACCCAACACGCCACCACCAAATCCCTCCCCCTCTTATCCCCTGCCGCATCCAATATCCTCAAACCTCCGTCCTTGCTCTTCTTCCCCGCATCCTGCTCAACAGCGACCTTCTCATCCTTCCCACTCCACCACACCCCTCCCCGCACCACAAACAGCACCCGCCTCTCCCATTCATCTTCAGCCCGGTAACCGTGCTTTTGTATCCGGGCCTCATTCGCTGGATCCAGCGCGTCAAACCGCTGTGACCGCACCACATGCCAGAACTTCCACCACCGGCCCCGAACCCCGGTGCCGGAGGTGAGCTCGATACGTCCGTCTAATGTCCCGGCGCGTAGACCCCGCAATTCAGCACGCGGCCCGTGCCGGGAGATGTGGTAGAGTGTGGTGTCGTCATCGTAGCGGAGCGCTTCAGAACCTGAGTGCTGTGATGCGGTGGAGAGGCGGCGGCATTCCGTGGGCAGCAGATGCCTTATCGACAACGTAAGGGGGCGGCCCGACTTCGTCGTAGTTTGGTAAAGCTGGTAGCGCGGTAAAGAAGAGGACGAGGTAGTCGTTGACGCGTGGATGAGCGGCGCAGCGAGGGTGAGGTGGGCCAGGAGCGGATCGAGGGCGTGGTAGGCGGGTGGGAGGCCCTCATCGTCAGATCTTGCGGGTTCTGATCGCGTCAATTGGGTTGGGGGGGCCAATGACTCCAATTTGGGGTCGGTGGTGACATCGTCACCTAAGTATGGGGGCGGGAGATCGTCGTGGGGGTTTAGTCTGGTGTTGAGGGGTTGAAAAGATGGGGGGAGTGGCATGATTGGCGGGTCATTGTTAAAGATTGGTAGATAGGGATATGTCTAGGAGAGAAGAGAAGTGTGGTGTATGTAGGTGCGATAGAAATACATCGAACAAGGGGTGAAGGGTCTCATGAGATCATGAGATGGATGGAAAAGCGGGGTCGGAACGGGGATCCTCCGTTCGCCGCGAGGCCTCAGGCTTTAACCTTTCATCAGCTCCTCAGCTTCGGTGTACTCTCGAAGTTCTGAGTCTTTCTATTTCAGATAGATCCAGTCTTGTTTCTCTTCTATGATATGCTACTCTAGTGCAGCGAGAGCGGCCTCACATCGATCCGGAATTCCAACAGCTCATAGGGCAGTAAGAGAGCCTCCAGCCTATTAGGTATCAACGTCTTGTCCTGATTCCCGACACTACGTCAAAAAAAGCTGTTGAAAGCGGCGCCCGTACCTACAGTGCGTTGTATAGATCTGTACACTTAAACGCTACTGTTGTTGGCCCTTTAGAATAACCCATACCGCTAAACAACCCCCTTTTGGGCAAGCTGTGGCGCCTCTACACCACCTCCTGAAGTGGCGAGCAGGTGTACACAGACTTGACACCTGAGCCGCTGCCTTAGATTTTGTTGAATACTCTGAAGTACCACGGCCAGTTGCAGAAGCGTCTACACAGCGAAATAGGGGCGTCGTGTTTTCTCTTTGACAAATTTCGTTTCCTTTATAATCTCGCGCTCAATATCAATGGTTGGATACTGAAATGCTGAAGTTTCTTACTCCGCAAAGGTGAAAATCCTACAGAGGTAATCCTTACTATCGCGAGATTTCTTGCAACCTGTCGTCGCTTATGATTGGTGGGCGTGCCTGGTACGTATAGAGTATTTTCCCACAGTTCTCTATATCGATTTACATAAATCATGACGGCGAGCCATATTCGATATATGGTTCGACCAGAGTATTCACACGCTTCTTAATTCTAGGCTCTTTTTACGCGAACATCGAGTGTTCCGTAGTAAATCTTCTTAACGTTGCATTACCCCCTCATTTATCTTAGCTACAAGTACTCTCTTTTGGTACCATGTTAGAGCATCTCAAAGAATGCATTTCCCTCGTGGCACGCCGGTGCATCCTTCCTTTCGCGACGTTGCAGTCGTACCCAAGAAGAAAAGCGGCGGCCGAACACAATGCCACCAAGAGCCCTATCCTTCAACCACTCCTAGACCTTCTCCTCTGTATCGGCAATCATCTTTCACCTGTTTCTAGACTTCGTTTTGGACAAACGAGCAGGACGCTTCGAAGCACATTTCCTTTACCTGCCGGATTCTTCCCACTCAATGAACAAATCTCACAACTAGAAAGGAATGGTTCCCTTCCATCTACCTGGGGTATTGTGTCCTGGCGCTCCCGGAGGTCTCCGCAAAGCTCGTTACTATGCCCAGCAAGCCCCAAAAGCGCATTTCCACAGTTTCGGATCTGGTGTACGGGTTGCAACACGCACCACTCAGCCTACTTCTTCTCTCCTTGACAGAGGACATCTCCTCCGCTCAACCGCCGCTGTGTAGGGACAGAACACATACTCCGTCTCTGCGCACACAAGAGCTTTACGTACGCCGAGCTGTATGCACTTCTCGGACGCGGAGGCAGGTTCGTATGCCGGCATGCCGACCACGACGTTGCACATTGGCAAGACGAGAACTCGTTCAAGGGATACCCACGTATCGTAAGAGAGTCGAGACCCGCCACGCCTGTCTACAACGCTATCGACGGATACGTCATCACGCGACGGCTCTCACTTGTACGCATACCTCTTAGCGTCCCCGCTGTAGAAGTAATGGCACTCCTCGAATCAGCTATTTGGGCTCTTCGCGTGTTAGACCAGCTGCTTTGTCCACATCAATACACACGCGGAAGCTCACTCGGATTCGTGAGTCTTGTGAGGGATATGTTCAGCGCGCCCGTGTGGTGGCGAAATACCATGGACGGCGTGCAATCCACGTTGGGGCCGTGTTGGGCCGCGTAGCGCCGCATACAGAGCTGCAGTATCCCGGAGTGCAAGAGTTGGGTATACATCTTCCGGATCTGCGAGCCAGAAAAGGATTATGAAGAGTTCGTCCTGGAATCGTCGATGACACTGGATCGCTCACCTGCAATTGATCAGTCGTGGCTAGGGCAAACCTCTTATGAATGGACTTTCGTAGTGGATTGGGTCCGCTTGGCAGAAAGGATGGGAGTGGATCCGTGCAGGCATTTCGTTCTGACTAGCGGCCTTGGGTACTACACGACCAAATGAGATCGAGGTAGATTGGGATTCTGAGCAAATTTACGAGATGTTCTAAACGGCACAACATAACGCTCACCCCATGCTGCTATTTGCTGAGTTGGTCAATTTTCTACGCTGGGCGCCCTAAGTACACCCCTTTTAGGTGGGAGTATACTACACTGCCTGAGAAGAGTTGGGTCCGCTCAGTGTATGGAGTACGTCAAACCGCTGCAAACCAGCTGCAGTGCCCGCGACTTGGATGTGCACTTCTAACCCATAAAGTCGCAAATATTCTTGAAAGGGGATAGTCCTGGATTCTGGAGAAGGCTTCCCTGATCTCATAATAGATACGGAGAAGGATTGTTTCACTTATCTCAAATAGCTCTACCATCTAGCACCGTTTGGAGTTTCGAGTTCCAACAGGCTCAAGGGCCACTTTCACGTGGCTTGAGGATGAACGGTTATACTGACGAAAGAGTACCTTTGTATGCCTACCAAGACTTGCGGCTAATCATAAGGATATCTTTACTTCGGCGATGCCGCCGCTCAAGGTCTTTCAATGGTATGTGGGAATGTCGGGCGAATCATGAGCGTGACTCCTCTCGAGTCTTAATGAGATCAACGCCGTTTCTGGCCGGGGTATACCACGGTCTGAAGTACTTCAATGAGATATGAAAATCGTCCACAGAAGTAAAGTTTCATGATAATCGGGATACAGTTTCCATGAAGAGCGAGGGGAATCGAAGCCACCACGAGCTGGACCAGGATGGTGAGCAATCCAGAGTGCCAGACCCAGTCCTTCTCCGGCTTGCCTGGGGAACCTGCGGTGCGATAGATAGTAACGCGTAATCCGTAATCTGCGGGCACATCCAACGCCATCTTCTCGAGGTCTCTCATTAGGCGAGAAGTCAGCCAGCTGTTGTTCCAGCGCATTGAACCGGTGTAAGAGTTGAGGACCAACGCGTGCACCTCCGGGAGAGGAGTCACGCGCCCTCGCCACTGAAGATAGACACCATAGCAGAGAAGATGTACGGGACCCAGCCAATGCTAAACGGAACTGGTGCGATGATTCCACCGGAAAGCTGAGCCAAAGCTTTCTGAACAAGGTCTCCGCCGATGACGAGAAGGAATGGAATCATATTGGATAGGTCATTGACAGCGACCTCGCGAGTCCACTTCTCGGCAATGTCGCACGCGCGCAGCAAAAGGAGAGTCATATTGGCGGAGCTGGGTTAGAAGAGTTGGACGAGGGGGGGGACGTTGCTCGAAGAGGATGGCGGCGACACGCCGTGATTGCGGGAGGAATGAAGAAGTTGATGGAAATCGGCGGGAAAAATTATCGCTGCAGGTTTCGAATGAAGTGATGGACGTTTTGACCACCTCAGTGTCTTCACGGTGAATGGTGAAAGTTCTAGACGACGCCGATCAAGGTGGCCCAGCGAGTTTACTGATCGCTCCGAAGATTTTATTTGCTCTTTGTGCGAGATCAGGAAAGCATGACGAAGCATTTCAGACTGTGGCGAAGCTTTGCATACGGCGTATGGGCGGGACCGACCTTGAGGGGTTTGATATGAGGTAAAATCTGAGCCGAATAGAGGGTGGTTAATGAGGTCCGGCACTTACCGCCCTATATAACAACTCCCTCGTGTGTAGATGTTGATCACAATCCTATCACCATTTTAGCTCACCACTACCTCTCGATATCACCCGTTTCCCAGGCGGTTCACGACGCCTCCGCCCATATAGCTCGATGAAGTTACGAGCTTTACATCAATCTTTCTCAACGTCACCACACATCGATCGCTCGATCCTACCATATTTATCCACCGCCCACCACTGGTCATCATGTACAGTGTTCCTCAAATGTATACAGAGGATAAGACACCGCTCCGGGCAGAACCTATTCGCCGAAATTTAGTTCGGAAACCGCTCGGTCGCGTCACGGCGCTGGTAACAGTCCGCAACACCGCTACCAACGTTCTCATGGGAGATGTCATCAGCACATTGAGGAGGGAGCAGTGGGATCTGGTGTCAAACAAAGACGCTTCCGCGTGTTTCAGCGCACAAGGGGCCTTAAGGGAACGAGAAGAACAAATTGAACAACCCCTATATAAGACTAACTTGTGGATACCCTGGTCCGCCAAAGTCAACGTACATGGTGTGGAGCTGCCACTCCAGTTCGAAAAGGACATCACCATATTCCCACACACGGCAGTGAGCCAGCAAGACTGGCTTGAGGTGCTTCGTAATTACTCTGGGAGATACATCCGGGCTGTGGGCAATCTGCAAGGTTTCGGAATCGTTCTTTGCATGTTACCTCCCGTCAATATTACTGTGACATGGGGCCACACCACCATGACAGTGTTGGCGAAGGATGGCATTCACATCCATCGAGAGATATTTACAGCCGCGTTCGAGAGCTTGAAACCGCCTGATCGGACTTGGCTAAGCGACTACGTGGAAGAAGGGTACATCCGGATGGAAGAGCTTATAGGACGCATCTCAATCCCGATCCAAGAGGCTTTCCGCCTGTCCATCGATGGGAGAGTCAGGTGGATAGAAATGAAGCCTTCAACATCGACTACTGCGAAGACGCTGCAGCCTGGCTAAGGACGCTTCCTGACCCGCTGATACGACGTCACTGGCGTCAGCTACTCGGAGCGCGAGGCGATCGACGTCTCTTCCTCCGCACTCCGAAGAACCATGCACTCGAAGCAGAGGAGCGAGCTCTTCTAGCCCGCAGCACCGCCGCACAACTCTCATCCGACTCGGATCTCCTGTACCAGCACCGTATCTATCGTCCTATAGCCTGGAACCATAGATGAATTGTAGGTAATATATTGTATATAGACAAGAATGTTTGGATAAACGGACCATCAATGCTTATATTGTGGCCAAATGCTGTCCCGCCCGGAATCCAAACGTCATCCCTGGCCCGATACTTGACCCTCCACCCGGATAGCACCCCCGAAAGACGGAATTCTGATCACATCCGACTGAATACAGCCCCGGAATCGCGCTCCCACTTTTATCCACAACCTGTGCATCTTTGTTTGTCTTCAGGCCCCACATCGTGCTCACGTTGCCAGGATAGAGTTTTAACGCGTAAAATGGACCCTTCTGAAACAGACCCAGATTTGGATTCGGCTTCACAGCCGCATCACCGTAGAACCTGTCGTAGATATTCCCGCCGCGGTCAAACTCGGGATCTTTTCCTTTCACAGCGTTCTCGTTGCAATCTCGGATCGTCTGATGAAGAGTGCTTGCGTCGACTTCCGTCTTTCGCGCAAGCTCGTCAATGGTCGAGGCTTTGATCAGGTATCCGCGTCGAAGAAGACTCCGTATTGGGTAAGGCCACGGTAAGGCCATGCCCATGCCATATTTCCGCAAGAAGTGGTGGTCTGCAAGGAAAAACGCTTTTGTAATCTTCTTACGATGCATGTCCTTAACGAATTCCTGGTAAGGTGCCGACTCATTTGCAAAGCGCTTTCCATCTGGACCGATGATGATGGAGCCTGGCTTTGATCGATCGATGGCAAAATGAGGGTATCTTCGGACTGTGCCGTCTGCCATGTGAAGTAGGGACATCGGGGCGTAAATAGCGTTGTCAGGGTTCTTTTCTGGCAGGAAACCTCCAATTTCTGACCCAATGCGTTTTCCATCTCCTACGTTCCCTCGCGGTTGAGCTGTCCAGTCGTGGTAGACGTACTCTTGTGCCTCATGTGACCTGCCAAACCCACCACTGGCGAGCACCAATCCCTTCCGCACTCGGATGTTCACGTCCTTTCCGTCACGCTTCACGGTGATTCCTTGAACACCATTGTCATAAATGCCCTTGATAGCGGGAGTGTTGTTCCAGTATTCGACGCCTTCTTTGATCCCACTGAAGAAGAGACGCCCAACTAATGCGTTCCCATTCGCCATCTCCGCACCTTTGCCGTAACTCACAAGATCTACAGCATACCGCAGAACTCTCCGCGCCATATGGGCAAGGTTTCCAATACTGCCAAATGGGTTCGAAAAAATCACGAGCTCCGCGGGATCCGCTTGCATGGTCCCAAACGCGGAGTACCCCTGGATCGGATATCTCACTTCTTTTATACGACTCCCCAACTTCCTCCCGTCGAACTCTTGCGTTAGAACTGTTCGGCCGACCGATGCGCCTTCCTTGGAGATGTTGTAGTCTGGCAGCGGAACTGGTTTGAACTTCATAGTCGTGTTTTCCTCCATCCACTCGATCATTTTCGGACCGGATTCTAGGAATGCAGGGACAGTTTCAGGGTCATACAATGAGCCGAGAACCTTGTGAAGATAGGTGTCGGCTTGGGCCTTGGAGTCTTTGATGCCGAGGGCTGGCTGGAACTTGTTGTTGGGGATCCAGGCGCCGCCTCCAGAATATGCGGTGGTGCCGCCGAAGTAGGAGGTTTTCTCAACGACGAGGACCTTGAGACCGCGCTTTGCGGCGACGACGGCGGCGGTGAGGCCGGAACAGCCCGAGCCAACAACTACGACGTCGTACTCATGGTCGTATTTCTTTGGGTTGTCAAGTCAGTGAAAGAGTCACGTGAAGATTTAGGCAGTGAATTGATATACCGTGGGAGTAGATCTAGATGTCCCACTGAGACACCGACTCTGAATGAATGAAGCACGATTCCGCCTCACCAGCCCACTGAAGACTCGACGACGCGCACAGATCAACGACATGGTCACCCGAAGCGAGGTGCGAGCGTGGAGGACTTAATCTTGACGGCTGTCCTGGAAGATGGAGGAGAGGGGTTCCGGGAGGGTGCTTCGAGATCGGCGAGAATCAATTTTAGTGCTAAGTACCAAGATCAGACGGTAATTGTGATCGAGGTGAAGTGGATTGGCCGCCACTCAGGTATGTCACGGGATCTTAAGTTCCTTTCACATACAAAGTGCAAGCAAGCAGAAGACAGAAACAATAACCTGGAACTTTCGTCTCCCTGACCTTTTTAACGGATCCAGTCGGCAACGTGCTTCCAGGGGCTAATGCAAGATACCTCGCTTCTCCGCACTACTGTGGAGTTCCCCGGGCGAACTTGAATCGTGGGGAAGAAGCGTAGGAGGGGCTGGGGAATCAGTCCGTCCGAAAACATCGTCAGCCTCGAGAGGAATTCTGACCAATCAAGCTGACGAGAGAAGTAATCAGGAGCAACAACAACGATCGAGACTAATTTAGCGAAAGTTGTGATTATTCCGATCACGTGATAACAAAAACGGAGGACAAAAGATGTCGATTCTATGTAGGAATCTAGCTAGGCTGTATACACGTAGGGAGGGCCCGTGCGGCCCTGAATATTGACTAGATCTATAGTAGGAAGGCCTCCCAGTATAGATCTACATATTACGTGTATAGAAACCTATACATCACGTGCCTAGCCACCACGTGCCCGAATATCAGCCGGACGCTGAGAATTCTACAAAGTTTCGACATTTAGCTAAAGCTCGGTGGCGAAAATCGTAGGAGCGGAATTCGACTCTTTGGTGATGGATATAGGCGGATGAACGTGGGATACAGCGGTTCCTGCACACCCCGAAAGAGAAAAGAATAGCTTCGATACCGCTTCTGAGAGTTATGAAGTTTCAGTGCACGAACGGAATCTGATTATCAGACTTTGATCTAGTGGCATGTGATGGCGTCCGGTCGCTTTTGATTGGTTGAATAGCAAGTCTGGTACGGCTTCTCTTCTAAGTTTATTCAATTGCCTGCGCCAGTGGGCTGTCCTTTTACAAATATGAATATCTATCCCTGATGAGACTAGGAGAATGTTTCCCGCAAGGAAGGCCTTTTTACGTGCAGTATCCTAGCCCAACGCGGCATGGGCTTGTATAAAATTAAAGCATTACTAAACATCGTACAGTGCTACTTCATTTCATTTCGGAGAGTCCGGTGGAGCTCGCAATTGAGATGCGAACATTTCACACCTAGCTCCTTTTCTATACCTTAACCTCATGCGTGTCCTCCAACTGAACCACCGCCACCTTCTCCACTTCATTCTCCGTAATATCCTTGAACTCGACCTCGACCCTTTCGCCAAAGGCACCATTGACTTCTTCTAGAGAGAGACCCTTTGTCTATGAAGATGTTAGCGACAGCACTATCAGCAATGAGGTTGGTATCTTACCTCAGGGAAGAAGAAATAAACGATCGGTAGGAAGAAAAGGTTGCAAGCGATGAAGACAATATTGAATTTCCACGCAATCTTGTCCAGCGCAATCGGCGTCACTTGAGTGAAAGTCAAGGTGACTGAGTTCGCGACGAAAAGTGCAATCGCAACGCCATTTGCGCGGTTCTTCGTTGGCAGGATCTCGGCGGCGTAGGCGTAGGGTGAGGAGGCGTAGGTGGCGCCGAAAAAGTAGATGTATACCATGACGAAGCCGACACCGGCTTTGCCCCAGCCTGAAAGAGTGTCAGCAGTAGTGCTACAGAACTTGAGGGTTGGGGATACTACTTACTCTTAGTTCCGGTGCTGGTATAACGCTCGGAGCAAGCTGCAAAAACGCCCAACATTACGGAGAGAATGACTAAGCCTGATAGGAAGAGCTTTCTACGACCAACGCGATCGATCAAGATCAAGTTGGTCACACCACCGCAGGTGTTGCAGATGGCAAAGACGCCGACCATTAGCAGGACTTGTGTAGTCGAGAACCCGAGTCCGGCGTAAAAGACAGACTGGAAGCAACACATTAGTGACTGCGCCCATCTAGTGTGATTGTCGAAGCACCCACCTGGTAGACCTGGATCGTCTGTGCCCCGTTGGTCTGAACGGAAGTCAAAGCAGCAATCGCAACAAGCAGACGCCGAAGTTCACTCCAGTTGGTGAGCATGTGGGTCCATGAGGCCGTCTCCTTTTCCTTGGCCTCGACCTCCAGCTGTGCCGAGATCTGGATGTATTCCTTCTCCCAGAAGGTAGAGTCTTCGTGGGAATCGTGGAGTCTCTTCAGGATTACTTGCGCTTCGGCGTGACGGTCCTTGGTGATTACTGTGGTGGTTAGTATTCTTTCTGATTGATACACCAGTATAATGGAAACTTACACCAACGAGGCGAGAAAGGGATGAAAAAGCATCCAATGATTAGAAGGATAGCGGGAAGGCACTGCAGACCAATCGGAAAACGCCTGCATGATTCAGTACGAGGTCAGGAGAGAAAGTGGGATTAACGGGCGTACCATTGGAAGGATAGATTGGTCGAGTGATTACAAGCGAAGCCAACCCAAGATGCTAGTGCTCCTGCTAGGTTGAGCGTCACGATCTGGAACGCGACCATAGTACCACGGAGGTCGGGTGGCGCAATCTCAGCTTGATAGACGTTGACGGTGGTCAGCATGATGCCAGAGGCGATGCCAGCAAGAACGCGGCCTGTGAAGAATAGCCCGATTTCATGAGCTGCGGTTTGGAAAACGGCGCCGATGAGGCCCACCGCTGCGCCGAATTGAATTGTTCGCTTGCGGCCGAAGCGGTCGGCGAGAGCACTGACGAAGAGGAGGCCGATGAGGAGACCAGCGAAGTAGACGGAGCCGACGGCGCTGTCGAGGGGTGATCAGCAAAGGGGCTTGATGGAAAGTTGACTTCTGTTGAAACACCGAGATAGGGAACGTACCCGAGAACTGTCGCAGACGGGTTGAAGTACTCCAGAAAGCCCGGTTGCGCAAGTCTGGATCACCGTCAGAATGGCTCCGTCTTCCTGCTCCTCTTCGTCAACGCGACACTCACGTTCCAGCAATGACTGCAGCATCGTAACCATACAACATACTACCCGAGCCGGCAATGCCCGCGCACATCCAGTTGTACGCCTTACCCATGATGGCGGTCGATATCCTGGAGTTCTGATGAAGGTTGGAACAAAGTGGTGGAAGTATCCAAGAGCGATCGTCCAGTCCCGAGCCTCTGGGAATCTGGGGTAAGCTGAACTTTATATGCGAGTTTGGCTTGAGGTTTAATAAACGAATGGCATTGGTCACCTCCCGAACCGGTACCCTAGATTCGGACGGACGATCCTCGGTGCGATTGGCTTCTCCATTCTTGGTCCTTGAAGTGAATCTAGACCCTGTGATATAAAGTGGAGAAGCATTTCCGAGTTTACATGAGTCGGTGGTATTTTGGTTATCTTCTTATAATTGGTGACGGCATCACTTCCATGGGGGTGGTTGTGATGGTCGCAAAGATCCCCTCTTTTAGTTGCTTGGCACCGGGTAATTCAAACCTAGAACACTTGCAGCAAACACACCGAAGATAGATCGTCTAGATGCATGCAGCGTGATCAAGAACATGTAAGTCGAAACTGCAGAGAGCGGAAAGCTAGGGCGTGTCATCGCAATATTCTACACCGTGCGTGCTCCTCTTGGTTGCTAGCCACCGCCAGCAAGAGTAGCCAAATATGGAGTGACTTGCCAGTTGAAAGCCTCTTCTCGTCAACTCCCTCGCAGTGAATAGGGTTTCTTATCCAGTCCAGATGTCAAAGGGCCTATGGGGGCAGAGTACACAATCTTTTGGTAAAGCAGCGTCGAAGTTGAGTGACGGTTCGTTTAAATATACGATCCAATAGAAGAAGAATGATGTTTAGGTAATGAAGAAAACCTCTGCATCCACGCTTCCACTAGGTTGCCTGCCAGTTACCAACACCATGGTATGCGGACCCGCCGTCCTTCTGGTCGGTCTCGCAGGGGGTTCGGGGATCGATTCAAGCACCCAATGTCCCTCGTCTGTCTTCACATCTACCCTGGATCCATTGACAAACACCTCAGCCTCCCCGGTCCCACTAACCCTTCCATCCTCATACTTCGCAGTCATCTTCCCGCTGCCAAATTCCCGCTTCAACTCTGCTGTGATCTTCGGTTCGACTCTTGCCGCACTCTTCCTTTCAAACGCCGCTGCGAACTCTAGCAGCTCATCATCCGCATATGCTTTTCCCGCAAAGGTCAGGTTCACAGGCATGCCAATATCTGGCAGTACTCCCATCGGCACGCTTATAGTCGGCACGCCTAGATGCCTTAGAGCTCGGTTGCCATTTGAGTACCTGATTCCATTCTGCATGGCGTGCCTCGCGCTCTCCGTATTCTCCTCTACATCTGCACGTCCGATGCCGCCTTGTGCAGGGAACGCGACGAGATCAAACTTCTGTTTGTCGAGCCAATCTTCGAAGTCTCTCTTACGCTGCGCTTCAAGCGCCGGGAGAGTCTCCGCCATGCCCGGAATCTCCCAGAGCGAGGTTGATTCTGCGCCGAGTTTGGTAAGGCCGGGGTAGTTGATGGCATTCTTGGCTTCTGCGAAGAGGTCTGGGATGTAGTCTGGTGGCTTTGGAAAGATGTCAGCCCCGTTGACGCTTGCGAGGCCCGGGTGATCACTGGCCTTGAGAAACTGATCCCAGGACTTCGCGATGATGAGACCGCGTTCTATCGTGCTCCAGTTATGAGGTGCGCCGACGACGTTGTTGGCGAGGCCAGACACACTGTCGTCCTCGTAGTTAGTTACCAGGGGAAAGTCTGTCAACACCAATTCTGCGCCAAGTTCCTCGAGTTGCTTTCGTGCATCCTTCCATAGCTCAATCACACCAGGTAAGACAACCGTGTCTTTCCCGTCTTTCTCTCCGACATAGGCTCGGGGGACGCCAATTCGCTTTCCCTCCAAGTTTTGCTTATCCGTAGTCCACCGAAAAGATGGAGAGGGTAGCTTGACGAACGTCTGCTCGCGCCAAAAATCCGTCACTGTCTCTTCATCCTTCTGACACAGTACATCCAGCACCTCAACCATATCCGCCACGGTCCGCGTGTACGGCACCACGACATCGCAAGTTCCATAAAGTGGCCACAAACCTCTACACGAAATGACCCCTCGAGAAGGCGTGTAGCACACAAGCCCGTTATTCGAAGCCGGCGAACGACCTGAGCTCACCGTCTCCGAACCCAGCCCAAAGGCTGCGAAACTCGCCGCCGTCGACGTCGCAGCACCTTGCGAAGATCCAGACACAAACGCTGCGGTCAAGAAGTCGACATTGTATGGGGAGAGCGCGCACCCATAGAGTCCGCGCTGCATGCCTCCCGCAGCCATGGGCGGCATATTCGTTTTGCCAATCAACACCGCCCCGGCTTCTCTCAATTTCGCAGCTACCCACGCATCTTCATTTGAATGTAGATCTTTGAATGCGAGGGAGCCCGCAGAGACGGTGATTCCGGCATACTTGTAGCTATCTTTGAGCGTGTACGGGATGCCGTCAAGCGGTCCGAGGGGTTTACCAGATGCACGGCGCTGGTCACTGGCACGGGCTTCATCGAGAATGTGCGAGTTGAACACCGTGAATGAGTTTAGGCGCGGGCCAGCGAAGTCGTAGGTTCCTATGCGGAGGAGGTAGGTGATGACGAGCTCGACGCTGGTAGTGGCTCCTGAGTTCAAAGCGTCGCGGTGGGAAGCGATGCTGGCTTCCACGACGTTGAACATGATGGGAGTATGTATCTTGATGGGTAAAGCACGTATTTGGGTCTATCGGATGTTAGACTCGGGGATTTTTCGAACCTCGCTCCGGACGACATACGTATGTTATTCTCGATAAGAGATTGAGAGGATGAAGTCTGGGCGAAAGTTCCTTATCAATAGTCCTACGGTCTTACAGCATTCCTAGGGTCTTAGAACTACAGCATCTCAGCATACGTTTTGCATGCCTCAATTGATCCTTGGACTATAGACCACTGGGGTTGTAAAAGGTATGCCGTCAAGGTATCGGGAGATACGCCGTTATTGGCGGACACTGGAGGCCGAAATGCTAGGCTCGACTAGGCAGTCCGGCTGAGCAATGAGATATGCTCCACGTGACCAGCACGAGACAGGGCATCGTACCGAACGTGACTTAAGCCAGGGGATTCCAGCTGATACTCGTTACCCTAGTGCTTGTGCTGCATCACTCTTCCAAGCAGACCCCATGAATGCTATCGAGGTTTATATTTCTCACGATACGCACCGGAAATCCTTTGCGAACAATACTCAGGCTCTCTCGAAGAAAAAGTGGCAGAACAAACTTTTTCTTTGCCTGCGTACACTTGCCTGGCACCGCTTGATATCCTCTGGTATGCTTGAAAAATGGTGAAGTGCCCGTTTTGGCAAGCCTAATAGCTTTCCGGGCCGCCTCAGGCTGTAGGTCTATCAGACTGCCACGTCCGCGTTCGAGGGAGCCGCCTGCTATCACACAACAGCATGGAGTATGGCAACGCTTTGAAGTAGACCGTCGCCGACGCTGCTATTAGCGAAATCCTTAAACCGACCCAGCCTCTACTAGCATGCAACACTAATTATTGAGAGAGGTGCTTCCAGAATAGCTTTCAGCCTCTTACCCGAGGTACGGTGTCCGCGGCACTCCGTAAGGTTTCGACTGGCACGTTCTCACTTCTGTCCACTTACTATCCTCTCTTTGCATCACGTCCCATGATGACGAGTTGATCGAGGTTCGTGGATGCGAGAGCCGATGGTTGATTTCAAAAAGAAAGAAGAGGGTATTTCTAAGCTCAAGCCCGAAACCCGAGCACGAAAGGCGGTGGCGGGGTAAGAAGGCTGTCCTCCGCCGCTGGTTTCGTGCTCTCGACCTGCAATACTTTCCGTCGATATCATCTACTTGTCCCCTAGAAATTGTGGTTTTTACCGCATCAGTATGGCTGTCAGCACTCGAAAACCAATCCTCATTTCCGGCGCTGGCCTTGCCTCTCTTTTGCTCGCGCAATCGCTCCTTCGCGCTTCCATTCCCTTTCTCATCTTCGAGCGTGACAGCTCCTTTTCCTTCCGCGCGCAAGGCTACAGACTCCGTCTCTCCTCCGAAGGACTGAATGCGATCGAGTCCGCCCTCGAACCTGAGATGTGGAAGCGCTTCTGGGAAACCTGCGGCAAGACCGGTGGTGAAGGATTTGGAACCATCGACGCGAAGACAGGTTTGAGGGTGCCTGAACCGCCAGACGACAACAAGAATGACAAGCCAAAAGTCCCTAAGGAGACCCTCACATCCCGCGGTGGAAAGATCGTGGGAATTTCAAGGGGCGAAATGCGCAAGCTCTTCGCCTCCGGATGCGAGCCTTTCATCCATTGGTCCCACCGCGTGACAAGCTACGAATTGACACCATCCGGCGTCCACGCGGTCTTCGCAGACGGCTCCAAATCCGTTGAAGGAGAGATGTTGATCGGCGGCGAGGGCATCTACTCCAAAGTCGCGAAGCAGGTTTCTCAAGGCAAGCTGAAGGTTTACGATACTGGCGCAAGAGGAATCCACGGCCAAGCACCGACAACGGCGTTCAAAGGCCTTGGGGAAGGTGTTTGGCGAATGGTCGATGATTCTAATCCCAAAGGGCGATGTTCAGTTATCACAAACGTCCGCTCGGGCGACATGGACGATCCCAATGTGCAATTTGGATGGACAATGGGGGCCCAACCAGGCGTCATAAAGGTGCCGAATGACGACGGTGCCATGATCGGGACTCCAGCAGCTGAGATAGTGAAGGAACTCACCGCGGATTGGCATCCCCGCCTGAAGCCCCTTTTTGATGAGATGGATGTTTCCGAAGCGGCCTTCTGGAAGATAACTTGCTCTACTCCGGCAGGCGTTCCGGAATGGCCAAACGAGCCACGTGTCACTGTCATTGGGGATGCCGCGCATTCCATGACACCTGCTGGCGGGATTGGTGCGAACACGGCTGTCCAAGACTCTGCGCTGCTCGGTAGACTAATAGCTGAGGCGGGTGGCTATTCGGACGGCGTGACCGCTGCCTACGAGAAGCAGATGAGGGTATATGGCAGCGAGGCGGTTGGGATAAGCTATGGACTAGCAACGGTCGGGTTTGGAATTTCCATCGACGAGAACTCCAAGACGGTGTGACGCAAAGAACGAAGTATAGGATCGGGCTGGCGTAGGAATAGGTTATAGATATGATTATGAAAATAATGATTAAATTATATAGAAGTAATATCAGCCTGTGCAGCTGCCTTTACCACAGCGCCACAAAACAGTGTGATTGAGAATCGACCTTGATTGCTCAACGCCAGCTACTTGTAAACGACCAGCAAGATGCCTCGCAAGGCCTAACATTAAGCTCGTTCAGACATCCGACCCCAAAATTCCAGTGAAAGCTTTCCTTTTCACCCTTGCAACTCAACTCCAGACGCCATCGCTCTATCCTCCTCTCCATAATCCTCGTCATCATCCCATCCCTCCCTATCATCCTTCTCCATCCTCACAAATACCAAGTCCAACACCAGCGCGAACAGGGCAATCCCGCAACCGAACCAAAGCGCGGAGCGATAACCCAGTACACGATGCTTATTCGCCTTATCTACCTGCATCTCAATCGTTCCAGCGAATCCAAGCCCGATACTGTTTCCGTAGAGCAGCAGTACGCCAATCAGGCTGGCGGCGACGCCCTGCTGTGCACGGCCCACGGCATTACTGGCAATGATCTGCGCTGCGGTGAAGACGAGATCCGGGCAAAAGGACATTAAGATGGTAGCGGGGAAGACTTGGGCCCAGTAAGTCTGCTCAGCTGGCATAGTGGCGATGAGGATGTTGGATATGGCGACCGAGAGGAGGCCGATGGCGAGAATGTATTGCACTGGCACACGTGGCACTAGCCAAGAGGCCCACCAGGCGGCGAAAACGCCAAAAAAGAGGAACGGAGTCTGAGTATGCTTTTATCAGTTTTGCCCTTTTGTGGTAGATACTCCTGGATAGGCGAAGAAGAGAGTGGGAAAAGGTATCTCCCCCAAGCGGCAGCAAAATGGAGAACGGACCAGCTGCGGACTAACTGGACCCAAGCGACCATGTACCATAGCATTATCTGTTCTCCGGGCATCAGCCAGCTGGCAAGGCAAAGACGTTAAGCGCATGGTGGGTTTACTTACTCCAAAAGACATGAAGGACATTAACACTGACAGCATCAGCGGTAGGAATGATGGCGCCTTCCAGATGCTAAGAGGCATAATTGGTGCAGAGGAGCGGAGTTCCCAAGCTGCGAAGAGGGCAAGAGTGCTAATGCTACCGACGAGGATGCCAATTTGATAGGGATTGCTCCATCCCGCGGCTGGTGCTTGACTGCAATGGACTCAGCCAGGCTGGACTCAGACTACAATATTGTAGGGTATTGCCTTACTTCCAGGTAAAGTTGAACAGAATTAGTCCAGCAGTACCGAGCGCAGCACCAATCCAATCGATCTTGCCGTCCGCGTCGACAGGCTTTTCGGGAGGCAAAAGCTTCCATAAGACGGTAAAGACGACAAAAGCAAGGAGACCCAAGAAGAGGAACAAGCCCCACCAAGGGGTAAACCTCGTAAAGATGCCGGCCAGGACAGCGCCGAGATATCCGCCGATGGGAGCAGCAGCGCCGAAGATGCCTAGACAAAAGTTGCGCGAGCGGCCTGGTGGGAAGGTGATGCCGATCATGGCAACGGCGTTGGGAAGGATGAGCGCACCACCCATGCCGGTGAAGCCACGAGCGATATTGAAGGACAAAAAGGAGCGGCACGCAATGTTCAACAACGACCAAGCGGAGAACCAAGCACCACCAAAGAGCAATATCTTTTTGTGGCCGTACACAGAGCCTAGTCTGCCGCTGACCAGGACAAAAGAGCCTTGGGTGAGGCTGATGATGATAGAGAGGGTTAGCTACGATATAGGATAGTGCTGTCTTCACTCACGGATAGCTGGCGGCGACCCAGTTGGACAGTCGGACGTCGCGAACGCCCAAGTCTCTTCCGATTTGGAAGCCGCCAGCGACTGTGGCACCGTTGGATATCATCTGCACCAGATTTGCGAGCAAAACGAATACAGCTATGGCGACCCGTCGTTTCCTTGAAGTTGTCAGTACCGGTGCCGGTTCAGGTACTGCGACGACCGCAGAGGGTGACGGCGGTCGTTGGATTGTCCTGGTCCCGGTCGACATCTCTTATTTAGATTTCTTTACAAGATAGCGCGTAGTCTATAATAATGTAGCTGTGGATAGTAGAAGAAAAGCTAGCGGTTCGGGTTACGCAGCTTCTAAGCAGGCTAACGTAGTCGGCAAGCGAGCTGGCCACCTGCCCTGCTACCAAGGCCAAAAAACGTGAATTACATAACAACGAACAATCGTATTATATGCAACTATCTACTAGCTAGTTGCCTGCTGTCTAGGACAAGTACGTCTATTATGTTCTAGTAAACTGCATATACTGCACTTAGGTAGTGCTCGTTGCTATGGCCCGGCCGCTGCCTTTGCTACCACCTCTGCTGCCACCTCCTGGGCAGTAGATGCCTAAGAGGCCTCTTTAGCGCCTAATAGTACCCCTCCCCTAGCTATATATATGCGCTTCTATACCTTTTTCCCTTTCTAGCGCTGGTTTTCTATCTATAGCTTATTATCTTTTTCTATTTCCACGCTCTCACTCAGCAGAGGGGGCCGCCCGGCTAGTTTAGCTATTCTAGCCAAGCTAGCCGGCCGTGCACAGTGCACCGGCTGCATGCAGATGTTGAACTGTGTATGGATTGGGCAACAGAAGCCTCCGTAGGCCGTGCCAGCCAGCTGTAGAGCAAGCTCATGGTGTTGAGGGCGCATCGGCGAGGCCGCCAAGGCCTCGCACGAGCCGCAGCCGGTCAATGCAAACCGTGAGGTTGCTCAGCTGTACGCACGCACCGAAGGAGACCTCCCAAACAAGTGCCCAAACCCGTGGAGCTAAGAAGAAGGGGTGGTGTAAGGAAGGGGGATTCCGGTAAGGAACTGGTGGTTGAGCCGGAGTAGGATAGTTGGGTTGGTCGTGAAGTAGAGCCTAAAGGCGTCTGAAGTCCAGCGGCCAAGCGTCTGCACCTGGCTATTGAGGGCGCCTCTGTTGTGAGCGTGCTGGGCCGCTCCTTTGCGGAAACTATGGCCTAAGTAGCCCTCTGGGTTAACGCCAAGCTGCGTAAGCTGCGACGAGAGTCGGCGCAGGAATGTTGTGCGGTTGAAGGGCGACCTCTGGAAGCGGAATAGCGGTGCTAAGGGTGGCTGGCTATCAACACTAAGGAGCCCCTCGAGCGCTCGCACTGGGCAGGCGTTGTTGCTTGTGCGTAATAGAAGAATCTGCACGCCCTCGTGGGCTATATTAGTTTTGCTGCGGCTAAGGCGGAGCGTGGCGTGGTCGGCCGCTATATAGATGTTGCTGCGGGTAAGCCTGGTGTTAATAAAGGTCCTCTTATTAATAAGATCTTTCTTCTTATAGGTAAACTCGCCGAGCCTAAGAAAGCCGGCAAAAGCTACCCGGCATGCGGCTAAGAAGTTAAGGTTGTCAGCGGCTAGCTGCTGCGGTGCGTCTATGCATCTAGATAGCCCTGCAATTATAGCCTTCGAGATTAGGTGGCGGACGCGCGATGCTGGCTGCGGGAATAGCCTCCTCCCGCCGTCTACTAGGCGCTTAACGTGCTTATCCTTAAATACCTCCAACAGTAGCCTGCAGTCAACGTGCACGGAGCGTAGCGCAGAGAGGCCTATTATTATAAAGCTGGGCCGGAGTTGTTTATATATAGACGACCCGAATAGGCATGCAGTAACCCACCTCGCCAGCAAGTCCGCTAAGGCCGGCTAGGCTTGCATCTTATTAAGGGCATAGATCTGCTTATAGCTGTTCTGCAGGGACTTATAGAACTGCCTTATACCTACTACTAGGCCGTTCTATAGCAGCTTAAGGTGCGCGTTGTTAAAATAGGGTGTCTGCTTGCGGAACCCGCGCGGCAGCTTAAGGCCGGTAAGTTCTTCTACTGCGGGTAGATATTAGCAACGCGTTTAATATCTAGGCGGGAGAGGGCGTCTGCTAGTGCGTTATTTTTAGAGGAGAGCCACGTTAGTAGCAGGTCGATATTGCGGGCGGCGGTAAGTAGCAGCAGCTGTTTAAGCGGTGCGTCCGCGGCGCCTTTAATATAGCCCTTCTATAAGCCCTAGAGCGCGGTAGTGCTGTTAGTATACAGCATAGCTATATAGCTATGCTACTAGTAGGAGAAAAGCTATAAAGCTTTAAAAATTACCTGCACCTCTTTAATATTAATATAGTTATTAGCGGCTGCGCCTTTAATAGCTATTATTACGGCTTAGGTTTTTAACAGGGCTTTAGCATAGGCTTGCCACCCGGTTTAAACTATAGAGGATTTAAAGTAGAATAGGCTAAGGCTAATATTAGATATATTAGTAATAATATATACTATTAGCCTGGCGGCGTTATTTAGGAATTAGACTCTATTAAAGTTCGGAAGTAGGTTTTTTTACTATAGCAGGTCCGCTATAAGTTCTGCCGGGATACAGCAATATATAGACTACTTATAATAGGGTAGGAAAGCTTAGATAAAATTAAATAGAGGGCGTAGCTACAACCTGCTAAGTATTATAACTTAAGTATAGAAGTTAAAAAAGCCCGCTAATAACTAGGCTTACTAGAGTAATATGCTCCGGGCTTATAGTACTACTATAACTTTACTATATATATAGTCTATTTTATTCTAGGGCAGCTTAGCCTCTATAGTAATACTATTAATTTCTATACCTAGAATATTAAGGCAGGTGCTGTATTTATCCTTTTTATTATTTAGCAAAACGTTTAGCCGGTTTATAGTAGCTATATAAATAGTGCTAAACTACTATAAGCGCGCTAGATACTCTATAGCAGGGGCTGCTATAATAATAATAAAGTTGTTAAGGTAGTAGTATACTAACTACTTATTAAGGCTAGTATTAAAAATCTAGTATAGTTCTTCTATAAATAGATTAAATAGAAAAAGCGCTATAGAAAGGCTAAAAAAAAGGCAGCGCTCTATATATATAGAGCCTAGCTACTTAAAGCCCAGCAGGTACTAATTATAAAGAGCTACTAGTACTATATAGAAGGCGTTCTTAATATCTTATTTTACTAGTAGGCAGCCCGCCCTAGCTTTAATAATATAGTTATAGATTTTATTAAGCTTAAGGTATATAAAAAAGGCCTAGTAGCGCAGGATCTAGTTATTAACGCCCTTTCTGCGAGGATATAAAAGGTTATAGATATATTTCCAGCTGCTATTATACTTTAGTATAAGGCTAAAAGGTAAAATAAAAGTTATTTATAGTAATACTATTTAGACTCTATATAGGGCTAAATTTAATTGACCTTACGTTTATAATAGGGTGGCTAACAGAACGAACAATTTCCTCCACGGTACGAGAGGAATAGAACTGCGACTCTAATCACCGGCCTATATACACGGAGTTCGATGTCTCACCACTAAAGGCAGCCGAACCCCAGCAGCGTAGGCTGTGGAAGGATGTAGCATGGAAAGAAGTACGAGAGAACCTAGCAATACGGCTAGACGAGCTAGAAACTCGGAACGACCCGCAGGAGACGGAGGAAGATCTTAATATGTTTGCACACCGCCTATATAAGTGCATATAAGCCACAATAGACGAAACTATACCACTCGCAAAGCTGTTGAAATAAGCATCACCTGCGTGGTTAACAGAGTGCACCGAGGAAGTGCGGGAGACGAGGCGGGCCTATAGAACCTGGCGCTCGTTAAGAACAGTAGAGGACTGGATTTTGTACAGAGTACAGTGCAACAGAAAGAAGAGGGCTATACGCAAAGAGAGCACAAAAGCATGGCGCCGCGCAGTAGACAAGATCACGTTGGATCCGAAAGGCGTATAGAAGCTAGCTAAATAGGGCAGAACTATTAGAAAGGAACCACGGCCACCGCCTTAATTCCCCCCTCTTTTACGGCCTAACAACGCAATGCTCTATATAGACAATAAGACCAAGGCCTAAATACTTGCGGAACAGTTTTTCCCACCTCCTATAGAGGCAGACCTCTCCAATATTAAAGGATACTAATACCTAGAGCCGTATAAGTCCTTATAAGACGTTATAGTAGAAGACATCCTCTCCGCGCTAATAGGAATAGCCCCGGACAAGGCCCCGGGCATTATAAAGATAACTAACAGAATCCTTAAGAAATGCGAAACGCAGCTAGCACTAACGCTGGCCAGGTTCTTTACCAGGTGCGTGCGTATAGGGCACCACCTACAGCTATATAAAGAATTAATTACTATAGTACTACGTAAGCCTTAGAAAGCGTCCTATAATATAGCAAAGTTGTATAGGCTAATTGCGCTGCTGGAAATAGTAGGTAAGCTGCTTAAACGCATTATAGCACGAAAACTATCTAAAATAGCAGAAGAGAAAGGCATGCTCCTACTAAGCTAAATAAGCGCAAGGCCTAAATAATCTATATAAACAGTACTAGAACTTCTTATAGAATAAATATAAACTATATAGAAGGGCAACTCTTACCTTATTACCTTTCTTTTTAGCCTGGACATTTTAAGGGCCTTTAATAGAGTATTTTATAAGAAAATAATATATAACCTATAGGTCTAATATATACCGGAATAAATAGTCTAATTTATATTATTATTTCTATAGAACCGAACTATAAGACTTTCTATTAGAAGATATATTACTAAAACTATCCCGGTTAATATAGGTATACTATAAAAATCCTTACTTTTACTAATTTTTTTTTTATTCTTTATAAGCACGCTTCTGCCGGCACTATAAAAAGGTAATATAACAGCCTACAGGTTTATAGATAATACTAATATCCTTATATTTAGCAAAAGCACGGAAGAGAACTGCAGGGCAATTAAAAGTGCGCACGTATAGTATATAAAGTAGGCGAAAAAGTATAGTATAGTATTTACCCCGGATAAGTATTACCTTATATACTTTATAAGGTGCTATTTAAATATAGTAAATATAAAGGCTATAGTAAATATCCGGGGCTTTATAGAGGGCTTAATTATAAAGCTCTATATACTTAGAGTTTAGGTAAACTCTAAACTTAAATAGGGCCTGTATATATATATTATAAAGGAAAAGGCTATAGTATAGATAGGAGCCCTTACACGGCTAATAGTATTAAT